CAAGAAATAAATGAAATGGCAATAGATGTCATAAATAAAACTGCAGCACACTCCCCTCCCGCTTTGGAGATCAAAAGCAAAACCAACTTTCAGTGCTGTGACTTGGGAAAACCCACTGAGAGCCCCAAATCCAGCAGGTTGATTATGTGCCCAGAGAAGATGCTGGTGCTGAAGCTCTCATCGATGCGTGAAGGAACCACCATTCCCCCCAGCTGGAAGCGCTGAGAGAGGGATGCGTTAAGAGTAAATTATTTCCAAGGCTGCAACAATCCAAAGGATTGCTCCATGGTGCTTTTGCAGGATAATCTTGGTAGACCAGACCTTGGCACTGGGGATTTTACAGTGCTAATTCCCAGTCGGTTGCTGACTGGGGCACAGCATCCTGCTGCTCTGAAGGGGGGATGGAGACCAGCTTGGGGGAAGCATCACGGACCTATGGCCCATCCTGTTTTTTGGCTCTAAGCACTGAACGCCAGGGCTGGTATTCAAGCTTTCTGTTTTTCTGCCATTTCTCAAGTCATGAAGCTGCGCTTTTATACTCTCTAGCGTCAGTAGTGCCTCCTGGTTGAAATCAGAGCTTTTATTAAGAGAGATGACTTGAAAAGCATTAAAGCTCTGTGGTTTTGAGCCATTGGGTAATGGCAGGAGAGCAGCACTGGTTAAACAGCGACCGACAGATGTTGAGAACATCAGCCCAGGTTGGATTCAAAGGCTGCTCTTGCCTTAAAGAAAAATACATGGAAAGGAAATAGAGAGGAAGGAAAAAAACAGAAGTCCCCACTGCAGTGACACGGTGATTTATGGGTAATTATGATAAAACATTGCTTCCCACCTGCTGCTGTCGCACTGTGCTGTATGGCAAAGCAGAGGGGAAAGTGGAGCAAAAAGGGAAAGCAGAGAGGTGGCTGTCAGACGAGCTCAGATTCAGCCTCAGCAGCACCCGGCAGCTGCAGGGCCACATCTAGCCCCACCACCCACCGTGGCGCTGGGCAGAGCCTGCGCACGGGCTGCCCCGGCTGGGTAAAACACAACTTTTCTCTGGAAGGAAGGGGTCACGTCGCACAGCTCCTGATTGTTGAGCATTACAGCGATCGAGCGAGCTGACAGCCCTTGCACCGATAATTCCTGACTGCTGCAAGATGAGAGGTCACCGAGCCTTTCCAGCCGTGCCGTGGGTGAAGGTCCCGGGCATCGCTGCCGCAGGCTGCAGCCTTCACCCGAACGGCGCGATGGGACGCGGTGCTCTTGGCAGGGGGACGCTGGCCTTGCCCTGCCAAGTGACACAAGAATCAGCCTGATGCGGCTCACCGCTGCGGCAGCCGTCTGTCCTGCTCAGATCACCCATGATCAAATAAAAATATCTGGAAATTGTCTGGCTGGTAGAGAGTGCCTGGCTGGCAGGAAAGCCAGAGTAGTGAATTTGCAGTGGCAGAGTTCCTGTGCAAGGTGTTAAGACAGAAGGGATACATCTGACTCGCAATGTATTAGCTTTTGCTGGAGACTGCAGCTTAATTTACAGGTGGTAGTGAACTGCCAGGAGGCATCTCTAGCTCACTTGCTCTTTCTCATAGAAATCATGGACAGGTTTTGTTTTTTTCCCCAGAGCTGTGGGTCAGATCAGTTCTAGTCTTCTGATTGAGACATTAATAAAAAAACCTAAGCCAAAGCAGGCCTGGCTGGGGAGAGGATGCTGGACAAAAAGCAGCTGAACATTGAGAACAGCTCTAGCTTGCCTTGTACACTGCAAAAGCTTCGCTCTACCCAATGCTTTACATATTCCCTTCATGCTGAGGCACATTCCTCTCCCCTTCTCATTATAGCCTCCCACTTGGTCTTGCTGTTTCTCTCTTTCCAGAAGAGCTATAGTCACACTAAGGAAGCCCAATACTTGGTATAAACCACCCATTCACAGTTTGTCTTCTAGGGTGTTTGCCCAAACTCACCTAGCCCATAGAGAAGAAATGCCTAGGATCTGCTCTCTAAATTTAATCACAGCCAACACCTCTTTTTTAGCCATTTTTATTTTTACCAGCCTCATACAAACACAGTATTTAAGGAACCAGGGAGGGGAGCATCACTTTGAGAGATAATAATAAAGCAGGGTGCATCCCGACCAAAGCTGTTGTGCCTTGCAGAGAGCAAACGGGGGGCGAGCACGGCGCGGGTTGGGCTGCGAGCCGTACGCGGCAGAGCTGCACCCCCCCGGCCCAGGCTGCGTGCCCCCCCCCCCAGCCCCCTTCCCCCCCCGGGCTCTGAGGAGGAGCGGGAACGTGCCCGTCACCACCAGCACAGCCCCAGGGTCAAAGCACGACCGGGGGCGAGCTGCACCGTGGAAAAGCCGCTTTGCACCGTGGCGCAGGCAGGAAAGGCGCCTGCACCCACGCTCCGTCCCACGCGAGCGATGGGTGCACGAGGCTGCCCTCCCCACGGCCTCCTGGCCCACACGTAACCTCTCAGTGGAGTCTCAGGTGGCAAATACGTGGCTGAGCTCGTGCTAAAGGCTCTTTTCTCCGCCCCACTGCCTCCTGGCCCACACGTAACCTCTCAGTGGAGTCTCAGGTGGCTAATACATGGCTGAGCTCATGCTAAAGGCTCTTTTCTCCGCCCCACTACTGACTCTTACAAACCACGTAGGGATGTGTTGTTTTAAGGACAGCCCCAGTTCCACCAGCTGAATCAAGCCAAGGGGCTCTGAGAAACAAGACAGGGAGCCAACAGACGCACAGCCAGCATGAGGACCTGGGCCCCTTCCTCCAGAACAGGGCTAAAAAGAGAAATCAAAGAATAATTCCCATTTTACAGGCAGAAAGCAAGTCACACAGCAGTTCATGTTTTACCTTTGGAAATGGCTGGGAAGCAAGTGTACACATCCTTGTGCTTGGGTCGGGCCAGGTAACTGGATGGGAGAAAATCTTCAGGCTTCATCTTCTTCCTTAATACACAGACGCACATAAACCCCAGCCTAGTTAAGCCCCTGCCTGCTAGGAAAAAAACACAGGCAGAACAAAGCAGACACTGATAACCTCACAGCTACCCCTTCCCCTGCCCAGGCTGGCTCAGCTGCTTTTAAAGGCTGTTGGAAACATGATTGGGCTCAGCTGCACTCGGTTAACTCTCACGGCCTGAGTTGTACTGGGGGTCGGTGCTGCTCTGCTCCCCCCAGGGATGGCGCGGGTGCTGAGCTCCATCCTCCTGCTCTCCTTGCTGCATCCTGAGGTTTGAGCTGCTGACCCTGACCTTGTGCACCAGCCCCATCCTCAGTCCAAAACTGAGCTGTCTCGGGTGTTCACATTCTGTTTCGATAATCTACTGCTTTATGCTGTGGATTTTCCAAAAATTACCCTCTGTGTTTCACCTGGCAGAGTTACTGCATTGTAGCTCTAGCACCGAACTATGGAGCTTCTGTTATATGAAGAGAGATGAAAAATATGCCATGGCTTCTGTGTCTGGCAGTGCCAGACACAGTCAAATCCTTTCTCAGATCTCTGCTTTTTTCCTAATGGCAGATCAAAGCTCCTCTCAGCAGTGAGACTCGGAGGCATTTGCTAGAAGTGTTTGCTGCAACCAGCAATCATCTAGCGCAAATCACAACTGGCAAGTCAGCACGGACAAGGTTAGTGTCACCTTGAAGCACCAGCAGGATCCAAGTTGAATCTTTCTAGCCTGGTCTAAATAATTATTTTTCCCCAAGTTTCTTCCTGTAGCTGTGGTGCCTCTGCATTTCTGGGGTCCATTTAGGTGAAGATTTGCCCATAATACCCCAAGATTTCCCCAAACTACTCTTACAAGCTAACTATAATCTTAGACTAAAGGATTTTGGCTTCTGATCTGAACATCTCTCTTAATCTGAGATCTACCACTACTTGCAGCCAAAGAATAAAGGTGAGATGCTAATGGGACACACAACTTGGTGGGGTCATTGCAAAGCTTTGCGGATAGAGGTGGATTTGTGCACACGTGTGTGTGTGTGTTTGTACGGTACGTACCTGCTGCGTTGCATATATGGACGCATTTTCAAGGTGTTGCCATCTTCTTGAGCCTGCCAGCCATCAGCACCAACCGAATGATCTTTGCAAGAAGCCCCCCCCGAGACCCAGAGCGATGCAAATCCAGCAGCAGTGGCTGGCGTCGGCAGGCAGAGACGTGCCGTTTCTTACAGTGGTTTCCAGAGGAGCCATCACCTTCTCGCACAGCCCTGGAGCGAAACCCGCAGGAGGTAAGGAGGAGAGGATGGGCGAAGTGTCCCCCCCATTGCATCCCCCCAGCACGTCCATGCAGCAGCGCCCTGGGGCCGAGACGAGAATCTGGGGGGTTGAGGAGCTCACCAAGAAGCTGGAGAAATGATTTGTTTCCTGAACTCGTCTTGGGGTGAGAAGATCATCCAGAGCAAAGGCTGCGGTGCCGGGCAAAGACTCCTCGGGTGTCTCCAGCCCTTGTTACTGCTGGGGTGGCCGCTGAAACCCCCGGGGTTGGATTTCTGTACTGTTGGGTCCACTGGAGTTTCTCGCTGAGAAAAAAAAAAAAAAAAAAAAAAAAGATTCTAGGCCGGGAAGTTCTCTCTCTGATGGGTTTGGTTTCTTATTTTACAGTATATATTACCTTTACGCACTTCCACTGCTCCTCTGATGAACTCTTCAGGCACCACTGAGCAGAGGGGTCGTGGGGAAATCACGCTGCAATCAACTTCAAGAAGACATTCACATCACGTTGGTTTAGGTGGAAACAGTAAACTTGATTTATTGAAAAAAATCTATTACATTTATTCCTTTATTACACAGGTTTAAAATATTTAAAAATAGCTCTTATGGGCATTACACTTAAATTTTATGACATGTTTATTGGACTTTGAAGAAATGTACAATATGTCATTTGACACTATATTTTAAAAAGGGCCTTATGTACTAAAATTTTTTTCCATAGGTTTTATTTTTCTTATCAACATTTGTTCAAGTCATATATATTAAGGGAGGAGGGAAATAAAATTACACAAAAAGAATGTCTGCAAATACAAGTAGTAATTTTATTGCAATATACCGTAGCTAAGTGGTCTGGGGAAATTGGAACAGTTTGGAGCTCAGTACAATTACAACACTGTGGAATTCAACAGAGGAATTTTTTTTTTTTTTCTTAAAGCAGAGAAATAAAAGGAAAAATAAAAGAAAAAAGCTCCCTTGATGAAAATTTATAACAGAATCACATGACCTAGACAGATGCACACGTGTGTACATACATCAATATATGGCTTTTCTGTTGCAGAGGAATGTGCAACCTTTTCTGACCTTCCCACTGTTCCTGAACAAGGCTCTTGCCAAGGTGACTGAGAAGCTGAATTCTCCTATATATTATTATATCCTCCTTTTCACTGCTTTGCTGCCGGAGTCTGCAGTTTTTAAGGTAGCACCTTTTTTTTTTTTTTTTTTTCCCCACAAGTTGGAAAAAAAAAAATTTGAGAGAACACAACAGAAGAAGGGAGATGGATGGACACGGCTCTCCCAAACCGAAAAGCACCGTGCGGCATCGCCGCTGCCTCCAGCATGGCTTCGCCTCCCTTCCTTGGCTGCTGCTGCTTTCTGCTTGGGAAGGAGGGGGGAAAAGACATCATATATAGGCTTTTCTTCACAGTAAATGTGATATCTTTTCCTTTATGGTGAAAGACCCCCCTTGGCTCAAGCGTTGCTGTAATACTCCAGGCCAAATAATAATAAAAAATTACACCCTGCAACATCTATTTTCCAGCTGAGAGATCTAAACAAGGAAAACGGCCAGGGAGAAAACAAACAAACAAACAAACAGAAAAAGAAGATGGTGTCAGCAGGTTGCGAGCTGAAAACGCTGCATGAAAAAAAAAAAAAAAAAAAAAAAAAAAAAAAGAAGCCATCCTGGCAGAGCCACTGTGGGAAGACCAAGAAAACTGCAGACTCCCGGGAGCGCTCGGCGGGCAGGCACCCCCACGGCTTCAGCATCACGTCAGGACATCCAGCAAATACATAAATTAGCACCACAAACATTCAGCGACTGAGTACAATCTGGTATGGTTACCACCGTACAAAATGCATGAATATTCTTGAGGGGGGTGAAAAAAAAAAAAAAAAATTAAAAAGATGGAAGCACACTTAATAGTTTTTCTACATGGACTGTATAAGCTACTGCAATACGATTAAGGAAAGGAGCGGGTCTTCTACATAACAAATATGAAGGCGGCATGCATTTATAATCAAAGACTGTAGCAAAAGCCTGCAGTCTGTGTTGAAAGTGGCTAAAAAGCAAAGGCTGGTGGGAGATTGGCCAATGGCAGGGTATCACCAGTGTTGTATTAAAGTTATTCAAATAGATAGCACCATAGAGACATGTAAAAATAAAAAGCACCTTTTTTTTTTTTTTCCTTTTTTTCTTACACTTTATATTCAGAGAAGACAAATGGATTTCCCCTGCCACTGCAATCTGCTGCTGGGAATGGATTATTTTAATTATTATTATTTTAAAAGAATGCTGAAGGAAAAAAAGAAGAATTAATTTAAAACATGTATGTTAAGGTAAGCAAGTGTATAAAAAGGCAGAGACTCAAAGCAGATCCTGCTTTTAGGTCAACGTTTTGGAGAAATCTCGTTAAAAAGTGGCTTTAATTTCTTTCTTTTGAAGCGAATCGTTCCAAAAGGCAGCTGTGGCTTGGAGGGCTGGTTTGCCACGCATTGGGCCCTCATCCTGCAAAGGCTCGTGCCTGGGTGTAACTCCAAGCCCTTCCAGATCCAGGCTTGGGGGGGGGGAAGAGGCAGGAGCGGTGGGGCCGTGAGCTGCCGTCTTCATTCCCAGGTGGATGCTTGGCTGGGATGGTGGGAAGGGTGGTGGTTTTCATACAGACAGGGTCACATGCATGTTTTGAAGCCAGAAACATTTAAACATTTAAAATAATGTACAATACAAATATTTACTTACAAACATACAAAAATATAAGCACCTTTAATACGTGGGAAAGAGATGCCCAGTGTGACTTAGCTATCAAATTCATGGGTTAAATTTTGTAAAATGTAGAGTAACGTGATTCAATGGAGATACTAGAATTCTGGAAATGGCCATGACGTCTACTTGCTAGAGTCGATCCAAATCTCTTGGAAGTCAACGAAATGCCTCTGATGAGCTTCGGCAGGGTTTGGATTGGAGCCAGGACTGCCGGGACTTCAACGTCAAGCTGAACACAGGAGTTTCAAGTTTTTTCCATTTTCCCTTAGAAACAAACAAACAAACAACAATCTACAGACAAGCGCTTGGTATTGCTTCGCGGCGAGGAGAAGAAGAAGAAGAAGAAGAAGAAGAAGAAGAAGAAGAAGAGATCTTTGATGGCGGTGGGGTCTGCTGGGTGGCCGGGGAGCAGCAGCGGTGGGAGCAGCGGTGGCGTGGGGACAGGTCTCCGGGCCACGCGTGCGGCGGTCGGTCATGCGATTCTGCGTCTGTCGTGGGAACGGTCCTCTCGGTCGGCGGTTCGGTACGTGTGGGTGCGGTGGCACAGAGGAACTCGGGCAAAACGAGGAACAAAACAAAACGGAAAAAAATAACCCATCGCTGTCCAGTTTCAGAACGTGCATGTGACAAGGAATTATTTTTTTCTTTTTTCTTTTTTTTTTTTTTTTTTTTTTAATTAATTAAATGGCGCAATGAGGTTACGAGGTTGCTCATTTGGAGACTAGTTTTCAGGTGGCTCTTAGCCCATGAAGCAAGCTGGTCCCACCTCGAATCCAAATTTCTGTGACGCTTCTCCGAAGTCATTGAACATGATGTCGACTATAGGTACTTGCTCTACTTTGGGCGTGTTGATTTCCAAGATAGTCTTCTGATAGCCCTTCTTTGCCTGATGGGGAGAAGAGGGAGAGAGAGGAGCTCCGATGATGCCTCCAACCCAACAAGAGCAAGTTAGCATGAATGACCATTCACCAGTCAACTGGGGATATGGCGACGATCTTGCCCAGGCATTTTCTGAGCTGAATTAGAGGCACCCAGCACCCAAAGACACATTTGCCCTGCAGATTTAGCAGACATGCTCTCAAGTGGGATGGTAACCACTGAGCACGCCCTTTGGAGATGACTGTCCTGAGCCCACACATAGGAGCAGAAGAAGCTGCTGCCATGCAGATAAAAAACCCACTAACTCTGCTGTCAGCACATCTCAGAGCTGGAACAGGAGCCTGGTAAAATTGTTGTGGCTGTGGTATAGTTGTTTTGCCTCCCTGAGGACACGCATGGGTTGTTGAGCAAATGTGAGCGATTTAATTTGAATATATTTGTTTGACTATTATCCGAGCACTACTGAAAAGATTACATTTAAAGTTTGATGGAATTCACAAGGTGATGTTGTCTTTTTATCGTGCCTGGTAGCCATACAGTTATTTCCGAAATATAAATAATTATTAGAGGAGCAGAAGTGCACCCGAGGGCATACAAAGCTGCACAAACAAGTGAATTTATGGAGCAGCTTTTGGCTCTCCCTTACCCTCTGATTTGTGCGTCTCAGAAGAGTAGGCTATATCACAGCTACTGAGAAAGGGCTGTAAGATCAGGAAAAACACATTCAAATAACGGCCGGAACATTAGCCCCGGAGATCTGCCGGCGCCGGCTGCAGCAGCCTCCGCCACGGCCGGAGCGTGGGTCCCACCAGCACCCCAACAGCAACCCCGTGTCGGGCAGCCCAACCTCATTTTTCACCTGGTAGGGCTCAATCTTAAATATCCTGCCCGTGGTTCAGGAAGGATGACCTACCAGGGTACCAGAGATGGTACAGGAGATGCAGAGCCTCTTTCCGCAAGGCAGCAGTAAGCTCCCTTGGCGTATTTTACCTCCTTTTTACAGCCTACAGGAACAACTCCCGCAGAGAGGAGGGATTGGGGCACGCCGGTTTGGAAGTGACGCCCAAAGCCCTGAGCCAGATGACATCTCTGTGCCCCACCATCGCACCCGGGGCTCGTTCAGCCTCTCCTGGGGCTCCCCCACCGCGGGTTCCTGTTGCTCCCGCTGCTTTAGCTCTTGTCACAGGTCGTTTATTTGCAACACTGAGACTGGCTCTGCTAACAGCCGCCTCTGAGAAGCAACCAAGCGAAAAAACTCTAAGGAGCTACAGTCCTCTTTCCATGCAAATCTCCCTCGTTAGGAAGAGGAATGCAGGGCACCTGAGCCAAATCGTTTAAACCAAAAGGGTTTTCAGCAGGCACATTTGCCTTAAAATGCGCTAAGTGTGTTCTTGTAGCATCCCTGAGACTTGAAAAGGGAAAGGGAGGGGAAGGCACTTTTTTACCGAGGACACGTTGCATTAACAGGAGATATGAAGTACTTGAGGATAAACTTCCCCATGCGGCTTCTGAGTGTTTCCAGAAGCGGGATGGCTGCCCTTTTCCTCTCTGCGAGAGTGTTAAAAGAAGTGATTCTCATCTGATTTTTCTCATTGCTCCTACAGCAAAAAACGTGTGTGCCAGAACAGAGCCACTTTCATCTCAAATTACGTGGAGGGCTTTTTCTGTCAAACATCTCAATCTTTCCGTCCCGTGGGCTTCAAGAACCGCAGTTGCAGAGGGTGAGAATTATGCACGCTTTTACACCAGCAAGCTGGGTCTCAAAATAAATGCAAGCAGCACCTGCTTTGCCAAAGTTTTAGCTCCTCAGGGCAGATTTTTTAGAACTCAGTCCTGAATCAGGCACCCAACAGAAGGAGGCAGAAGCAAGGGAGGATGCTGGGCTCCTTTGGAAACTCTGGCTGTTGCTCGTGGCCAAAGCAAAGGTGCAAAGCAGCACAGGCTGTGCGGGGAGAGGAGGGCTGCAGCGTAACGCCCGCTTCTGCTCTCGGGGCAAAAAAGTCACAGGGAACGGAGCTAGAGAGAGAGATGCTAAAGGTTGCATTTGAAATGCGAGCAGGGGTGCAAACCTCTGTCTCCTGTATCCCGCAGCCTCATCTCATCTTGCCGTACAGAGTCAGGACTTGCTGGGGTTTGCCCTTTCCCAAGGGCACAGGCAGCTCCTGGCAGGGGCAGGGGTTTGCAGGCACAAACCAAAACGCTGCTTTGGGCTCCTCCAGCAGCTCAGGTGACACTGGGCTGGAGCTGGGTGCACTCCAGTAACCAGCAGAGCCCTCCTGGGGCCGCACGCAGTAGCGTGCCGCAAAAAAACCACCCCAACCAACTCAATGCCAAACACTTAGATGTTTTGCCTCCCAGATTTGCTGAAAGCACTTAAAAAAAATTGCCACCAAAGCCTGAAAAACTCGGACACAACTGGGTGTTGTGGCTCGCCTCTCCCCGTGTGAGTAAAGAGGGTAAGAGCAAAGGCAAGGGGGGACATTTAAAAGCAACGGGTGGTTTTAGGCAGGTTCCTTTATGCAGAGCCAGCAACGAAGCAAATTAATCTGCTTTCTAGAGGTGCTGCAGCTTCCCCTGACCTTGAGCGGAATCATTTATTCCCAATCATATGGAAGGCCAAGCTCAACATCTCCCATGCTGAGGACAGCCCTCAAGGCAACTACATCAGCAGGCACAGGAAATTCGGAGATCATTTTCTCCGAGGCAGATGGTGCTGGGCAACCAGAGGAGGGGGGACAGATGCTCACTGGCCGAGACCAGCTCTGCCCACGTACCGCGCAGCCGTCGAGGGCGGCTCGGATGTAGGGGTTGTTGTCGTAGGACATCTCCTCGTCGTTGGAGCCCAGGAAGCGGATGGCCTTGTCGTAGCTGTCGGTGGTGGCGTCGTGCCAGGCTACGGACTGGTAGCAGTTGTAGGTGATGTTCTGGTGGGCTGAAGCACTCAGGAGCCGGAGGAAAGTCATCTGCACCACTCCGATGGGGTTCCCGTCTGAATCCACGTAGGAGAGCTAGGAGAAGGGGAAACACTGGGCAGTGAGGGGCAGCACAGCAAGTTTGGGGGGGGGGGGGCTCCGAAGACCACCAGTCTCATCCATCTTTATTACCCCACACGTGGGGCTCAGTCTCGCCACCCCACGGGGTGCAGCCACTGCTCCTGTCACGCTATGGGCACGGGGCTGCTGTGGTCCTCCCGCGGCCAGGGCGCGGCTACCAAGAGCAGTTTATTTCTCTTGCTAGTTGTGAGCTAAAAGAATAAGGCTAACACAGGTTGGGAGGAGAAAGGAAGGGGGATTTCAGCTCTGGTTGCAAAAAGGTGCAGTGCTAAGCAAATTTGGGGATCTATGTCTCACGTTTAAGCCAATACTGAGCATACTTCTCCAGTTTTTAAAGAGGAGAAAAAGCAGATTTCTGTAAGGGCTTGGGGCTTTATTTTTCTATCCTATTTGACATTATTTTCTGACTGCTGTGGGTATTTCATTCTGCACACACTGGGGTATTTCCCATTCATTTTTCCTAGGCACCAATACACTGGCTTTTAAGCAATCTTTGCATGTAATCTGCAGCAATCCTGTTCCTGCTGATAAGGTCTCTGTGCTTCCCTGCTCAGCAAGGCTACGCTCAACTAAAGGGAAAATGCATTTGCTGCCCTTAGGGCATGTCATAAAACGCAGAGCTGCACTGGCACAGGGATTTGCTCCGTTCTGCACATCAGGCTCCTTTTCTCCCTTGGAGAATGGTGTCTAGAAATATAGTTCTGCAAAATACAATTTATTGAAACCCACTTCCAGCACCAAGGCCCTTCTGGACTTTCTCTTGTACCCCCCCTCAAGGAGGCAAACTCACAGTAGCACTACTAGTTTGCATGTATAAACTAATTGTACTTCAGGTGGCATCTTCAGCCATGGCCAAGCTACCAGAGCTGCTGTTTGTTACTGTCCTCTATGGACAGTGGGTTTCTTTAGAAACAACCAGGAGAAAAATACAGGCACACACAGAGCGCAGTGTTCTTCGAGGTATCATGAAACATCGGTGCGAGCTGTAAACAGTAGAAGAGATTCATAACCAGATAATAAAATAACGAGTAAAAAGATAATAAAAATAAATAAATATACCAACCGGTTGTCAGGATACTGTTGCGCTGTCCTCCTGAGAGTTAAATATGACTGACCATGAGAGAGCCACACATGCCAGGAGGAAAGCTACCAGAAAACCACCAGGACGTGGAAGAAAGGGGACACAAAAAGATGACTACGTGGCACTACTGATCTGCAGGACCCACTTCTCTTGTTTCTCTTATTTGTTATTTCAAATCCGTGCTTGGTTTGGGAGCCTGACTGCACGTTACAGGGTCTCAGTTGTTGTTCTGGCTCTGCAGATTGCACGAAGACCTGTCCCAGCTTTGCAGCTGGAGCCACTGGGTTGTGTGCATAAGCCTTGCTCGTGGGAACACCGTTTTGCCAAAATCAATCTTTTCCTTTTTTCTCTGTGATAGTATTTCTCTGTGGCAGATGCCATACAGCTACGAAGGATAACAGGACGGGATGGGTGGCAGGCCTTGCTAGAGCTACTGGGAATTGTGTGTAGCACACACAGAAGGAAAGCAGAGTGTCCAGACAAAAACATCTGCAAGCCTTTTATCCCTCTAAGTGCAGTTTAGCTGCAGCATGAGAAATAGTAAGAAAACAGCTCCAAGTACTCTGTGCCATTGATTAGTGACAGTGCCGAAGCATCGAAACAATGATTTCTTTGTATTTCATATATACTGTGTTCTTACTTCAGCTATCCCCAGAAGAAAGGCGAGCAGCTCCGCGGCTGCGCATCTCGTGCAAGCACCGAGATTCACACATCAGCAGCGCTGAGCGGCCAGGTGGAAACCTCCCCCTTGGTTTCGGGGATCCCCATGGGCCCAGGACCCCCAAGAGACCATGCTCAGCCTGCGTGGAAAGACACCAGGGACCTTCTCTATGGAGGGACAGGAGCAACGCTGCACCCAGAGGGGAAACTCAAACTCGTTCGTGCTGCCTACCTACACACAGATTTCAACTGCTCTTGGATCCAGGCAAACGTCTCCTCCATTTACCAATCTCATGGTTTTAAGTGCTGACTGGGGTGAAATGAGAGGTACTTTAAAAACAAAAAACCTCCCAACTTTACTTATATGGCTTGTGTGCTTAACAGTTTTGTGGTTTGCTTAGGCAGGTCTTCTACGTGCTGGTGGCTTTTTTACAAACAGAAAATGCAGGACAGGTAAAAAAAGCAAGAAAATGGCAACAGAGAAAGATGGAACAAAGGGCTCCAAGTAGCACTGAAATTCCTATATAAAAAAATGGGCCCTAAGCTCTAGGGTGGTAATTCAGCCTCTCACATAGATGATAAACAGAGAGGGGGTGGGAAAAGCAGAGAAGATGGAGTAATGGAGGTACTCATAATATTAACTGATGAAGTGCTCTGTAATTAAGCTATGAGTAGTTGACCTCCAAGGAGCTATGAGGCTGAAGCCTTGGCTTTGCGGCCTTATTCAGTAATGCAGAAAAGCTGCAGAAGCCATATCCTTCTTGTGGGCAGAATCAGAGCAAAATGTGTTTAGTGGCAATGAAATGCAGCTTAGGAAAACAACGCTGTGATTTTCATTGTTGTTTGCCTTTTAAGGTGGAAGTTTGGGTCACTGCAAGAAACCTCTGCCCTAGGGAGAGGATGAATGCACGAGGCAGCTCAGCCCAGTATGTCAGAGCAGCTCCTGCTTTCAGGGGCAGGTTGGTTTTATCCACTGAATATTTCCTTCTTCCCTAATTCTCCTGATTTGACTGAGCTCATTAGCTGCATCCCACTAATCCTACATGAATTGATACACAGGTGGGAGATTTCTGTTGCTTAAGGAGACCTGGCTTACACTAAGCAGTTGCTGCTCTGACATCCCCGACCAGGGCTTGGGCTTTGTGGGAGCGATCTATCCACAACATGAATGTCCTGTCACAGAAGAAAATATCAGAGCTTTTTCTTTGTTTTATGTGTTGCTGTCTTGTTTGCTTGCTGACATCAAACACTGTTTGACCTAGAGATAGTTCTCCCTTAGAAAAAGTCCTTAATTGGGACTGTCAAATTCCTGTCCCCCAGGCTTGGCAAACGCACGTGGCTTGAAATCTTCCTTTAAACCAATGACTTCACGTCTCCCAAGCTCTGGGGGGTGGCATGGGAGCCCCTGACGTGGCTCATCTCCAGTGTGGGACACAAAGTCCATCCTTTGGGGAAAAACCTGCTGCAGACCAGAGACGTGCAGATTCAGCGCCTCAGCCTGGGCCCCAGCGAGCACGGGCTGAAGCATCATCACATTGAGGGTCCCTCAGTTCTCAGGATCAGGCTGGGGGACAGCAGCACAGGGACACCCAGTTTGCCCCTGCTCTAACGGGAACTGCTTAGGAGACAGCAACAGTCCCGGTGCAGGATGTGCCCCGCTGCAGAGACAGACCTGCAGCAGCTCCAGCTCTGCAGGGCCCCCCAGCATGTCGGTGTGTCACCTCCTAACGCAGGGGAAAGCCGTCCCCTGCTCCTAAGTTTCCAGCAGACTGGAAGAAGTGTCCCCATCGGGTTTTGTTTCTGTTTCAGTATTCCACCTTAAATGTTCATGCCGCGACTTGCGATGGTTATTAGTCCAGCATGCAGAGTGCAAGAGGTCTGGCCATACCAAAGCAGATGACACGCTCTGAGACTAGAGGGCCACGGTTAGCCACTTACCAAAGACCCCCGCTTGTATTGACTATACCATGTGGAAGGCTGTTCTTTGGGCCAACGAGCCATTTTACTCTGTAAAATATGACACGGGTTAAAGGAAACAGAAAGCACCAAGATGCATCTTACCAGTTTACCGCGCTTGAATTCACTGAACCAGGAGCCTGGGTTTTCCTTTGGCCAAGAAGTAATTCTAGCCTAGTTTGTGGACGGCAAGGAGGAAAGAGAGAAAAAAAAAAAAAAAAAAAAAAAAAAAAAGAAGAAATTAAAAAAAGTTACATTCAGTTCTACAAGCAGAGTCTGCATGTCTTATTGAAACTGTCTAACTTCCTTTAATATATTTTCTTAAACTTTATACAGCAGTAACAAGACCAGTTGGCAGAGCCCTAAGGTGCCAGCAGCCTCTCAAGCAGAATGGGACAGCGTGGTGCTGCCCGAGTGCCCAGCGCTGCCTGGGCACCAGCCTCCTTTGCTAAGGGCTAATGATGTCTGCCTCCCAGATCCTTTGGATGCAAAACCAGCAGTGCAGTCTACTGGCAGGAGAGATAAAAGGAAAGAGAGAGAGAGGAAGAAAAGGAAATATCAATGGTAAAAGATGCATTGATCTTCATGGGAGGGCTGGGGTGGAGAAGCAGTGCCGGTAACGGAGAGGGCTGGCTGTCAGTCTAACGCCAAATCCGGATGCTGTGGGGCTGGGAAAGGCAAAGAATGTGATTAAGGAAAAGCCTCTGCCTGCCTCCTGTGCTTGTGCAGCAATAAGGTGCGGCACAGGCAGCGCATCTTCCGCAGTCGGTGCTGGACCACCACACGTGATGGAGCTCCAGCTACCTGGAGCAATGCAGGGGGTGACCTTGACAAGAAATGAGCTGTTGGAGCATCCTCTATGGCAGCCCTGTCTAAGCAGCTGAATCACTTTGAGTCAGAGCACAAGGAAGGAGCGTGGCTGCTGTCTGCTCCCTTACCCTCCCACAAGCTCCCCCTCACTTCTGCTGTAAATCTCCCCCAAAACAACAGCCAAGCCATATGCAGGTGTCTTGGGATTGTCCTTTCCTTTCCAGCACGTGAACCATAAAGCAAGTCAGCGTGTTTCTGCTGGGTTAAGGATGGACTGAAAGGGGATATGGCTTAAACTCTGCTGTGGCTTATAATAAAACCACTCAGCCAATACTTAATGCTGGTGTGGTAGCTGCTTTATTCCTCTACGTGGAAAAAAGAGCAGGCTGAAGCTTTTTCTTATTTACGACAGCATTGCAGAAGTGTAGCACAATTTGCATTTGAGGAGCATCGCAGCGGTCAGAAGAGCAGCTCCACAGTGGACGAGATGGGGCCAAAAAGCCACTCGCAGAGTCAGCGTGTCAGGAGTCTGAGCAACTGTAAGATCATGGGCAGACTCCGCTTGTGTAGCTGTCAACATTTTGAGGAGAGCCACGGCAAATTAATGCAAAGGAGAAGAAATACATTCCCTATTTAAACAGCCCTAACAAAAACTCAAAGAAGATTTATCTTGTATGTTATTTGTCCTGTGCTGGCACATATTTTTGGTGGATGAAATTCAGCAAGCAAATGGCTTTCACTGGAGCAAAGAGCTTTGTCTGCACCTTTTACGCAGCTGGAGCACAACCGTGACACTGAGAGATCTCCCGCAGGCTGCTTTGCAAGAGTTTCTGCTTGGCCAGTGCAAGAACTGGTCCCCAGGCATCAGGGACTCCGTAAAACAGTGCACAGGCACAGGACAAAAATTATGAGTATGGTTGAGCTAAGCACATCATTACACAAATAACTTAATCAACCTTGTGAATTGGTGCCAGGAAGAGCACTGAGGCTAGTTGCAATCATTTAGGATCATTTACCCACAAGAAACATCAGGGAAAATGACAGAAGATAAACATTTATCTGCTCTGCCTGAAGACACAGTAAGGGTAGAGGAATCAGTGGTGCTTATGCATGCAGACAGCAGAGCGGCAGCCCGGCTGCGGGAGGGAAGACAAGGAATCAGTTAAATGAAGCTCACAGGGAGCCACAGTTCCTGCGCCAACACACACTTCTGCCTTTGTAAAGCAAAGTAACAAAATTAAGGTTTTAGCATTTATTATGCCTGTGAAATCATCAAAGACTTGCCTCACATCACAGTTTAAGTCTGACTTACTCAAAGAAATTCCCTTTGTAAACATATTCCTTATCATTTTAGAAGCCAACACAGAGCAACAAAGAAATCTTCTGGGTGTTTAATCCTTACTATTGTTCAATTCTCCTGAAATTGACTGTCTATGAATATTCATATTAGCAAACAATCTCTTATTGCCATGATATAAGGGGGAAAAAAAAAAAAAAAAAAGTTGTGTGGACTTACTCCTTCAGATTTCTTATCAGGGAAGATGCAAGTCTCTCCACCAGCTGTGAAATTACAGTAAACTTTGAAAGAGTCCCTGGAACATCCTTGGTTAGGATCAACCCAGTATTCACCTGGGTGCACAAGAGGGAAGAGAAGGGAAGAAAGAATCAGCACTGTGAAGGAGGGACAATAGGCACTTCAGCACCCATCTTACCAGGCATGTTTCATCTCTGTTGTAGGCTACTAATTATAAGTATTTTTTGGAAAACTGGTTATGTTCTGATTCCACATAATACTGTGGTACCTTACAGGAATAGCTATTTTTCATCATATATCCCCATTCTTAGAAGAAAATAGAATATTTCAGTTGGAAGGGACCGACAGTGATCACCTAGACCAACCCTTCTCTACGTACTCCTCCTCTGTCAGCCACATTCCTCATGGGGCACCAGGGCCAAGGACTCCCCAGATTACTTCTCTTCCTGCACTTGCTTGTATTCACTGCGTGGAGCTGGGAACCCCCCAGTGTTTTCCCCGCACCCCCTTTGTCCCGGGACACACCGTCTGGGAAATCGGGGTGACAGAGCTGCAGGTCCTTGCAGGTACGCGCTGGGTTATGTTGAGTGCCCAATGGATGCTTCATTTGCTCAATTTCCAGTTTCAAGGAATTCAGCGAGCCAAAAATTTCCTCCATGCCATCTGCATAGTCCATGTAGTTGTCGGCATTTCCATCGTCCACCAGCTGGCTGGCGTCAATGTTTCGCCTGGTCCTCTTGGAAGACTGGATGGGCAGCGGCTGGATGACTTCTCCAGGAGGACCCTGATTTGTGGGGAAAGAAGATACAAATTCTCATTGCCTTGGCAGTGGGGAAGAGACAAGAGACAGCCAAAGCAGGGTCACAGGAGACACACTAGACATGCAAAACACCCAGGATGGTACTGATAAAACCCCCTGGCCACCAGGCTCGAACATTGGGGCCATCCTGTCATTTTCCCATTCGTAACTTCTCCCATCACATCTTGATTTCTTCCCCAGCATCTCTAGGAGATGCCAATCCATTGCTAGAACTCCCGATATGCTGAATCTTTGTCCAGAAATCTTCTACTTCCTAACTTTACAACACTCATTAATCTGAACCCCACTTCAGACTTTTTGTAATGGGTTCTACTTACAGGAGGCCCTGGGGGCCCAGGAAGACCCGATTCACCCTTTGGACCTGTTGGACCCTGGGTGTAAAAACAAGGAAAAAAACATGAGTCACTCAGGAAAAAGCATTTGTCACTTTTATCACATCCTAAACATTATTTCTTTTAATAGTCTCTTGTGGGAAAACCTTCCTTCCTATCCCCTCAGGTACACAAAAGGAGTTTCCTTGCACACCTCCAAGAAAATGTTTATTTTGGTTATTTTCGATGTTTAGGTAAAAGAAAAGATCAGTCAAACACTTGGGGTTAAACAGTCAAATTTTTCTTAGGTTGCCTATGGAAAAGGAAGGATCTTCCAATGCATGAAAATGTTAACTCTCCAAATCAATTCAACAGTTTTGAAAATCAAATAAAATCTTAGAGTTAATAAAACACTGAATTCTGCATGGGAGAAAGACACTAGGAAGTTACCCAAAAGGAATTTTTTGCTGCCTGCATAGGAAATTTGTAACATGAAGCTTGTTTCAGTGTCACATTTCTCACAGAGTTCTCCACTTTTCAGCTTGCCACCTCCCGCTTCACAGTCTATTTTTAATACTCTCTGCTTTACAGCAGTAGTTTTCTCCTAAGGACCATGCACTGGATTCCTCCATATGATCTTTGCTGCACTGATGTTCAATGAAGTACAGCGTGTGCAACAGAAACCTCTCCCAATTATAATTTCTGGGCTTAGACAGCCTGAAAAGGCTGCATTTGCTACAGTCATCTTTGGCTAATTGCCTTAATGCCACTGATGTGGAGGCATCGCGGCAGGTTATGCACTTAATAAGAGCTCCTCAGCCTCTTCGTTTAACACTGTCTATACTCACTGATGATCCTTTAGCACCTTTGGGACCAGGTGGACCCTGTATAGAGAAAAATAAAGACAGAAGTCAGTACATTACCTAGCAGAGAAGTCAGTCTCTCCTGAGAGAGAGACAGAGTAGTGTTATACAAGGTGGTTTTTTTGGTAATTCACTTCCTTTCTGCTTCCATTTTTCACATCCACTTGAGTTCGGTATTGCTTTTATTTGTCGATGCACAAAAAACATTTGTGTTGGAGCTATCTGTGTCAGTGCTGCTTGGATGGGGACTGGAAAAGCTGCTGTGTGATTACTGTAACCCAGGGCTGATCCTGGCTCTGCGCTGAGGACACCCAGCAATAGCAAATACTGGTCGCCCAAGTGTCCAGGCTGCAGCCTTTGGGCATCCAGGGGAAAAAAAAAAATAAATGCAAATAGCAAAAAGAGCAAGAAATCACCTCGTGATTGTAGATAGTCCAAAAGAAAGTGAGAGGGAGAAACAGGGTGGGCTAATCTCCCTGCCTTGGTCACGCCGTGTCCGCTGCGCCCATTTCTCACTCACATGTCACCCCCCAGTTCTCCAGTAACTCATTCAAGTGTTTTTAACGGGCTCAGCTGGGCGAACCCATTGCCATCAGCATCCTCATACAAGGTCAGGCTAAAAGAACTGTGCTGGGTATATCTGGGAGCACCAAGGTGACTCCAGAAAGACTGCATAGCTCCCAAGGAATTCAACAATAATTATTTGTCACATACCGGTAATCCTGGTGGCCCTGGAGGTCCAATTGGTCCAGAAGGACCTGTGATACCCTGAAAAATAAAAGCAGAACCACATTGATCTGCATGTAGCAATGCTGGCCTATGACTACGCAACTAACATCTGCTTGCAGATGACCACCCGGTTTTGGAGGACTCCATTCAAATCTGGAGCTTTAACTGGTTTTTAAGTGTGTGCATGATCCAGACAAGAGCATGACCAGGGAATCTCCTAACTCATTTAGGCACACAATTTTTAAAAATCAGTCCTCTAGATTCATATTTAATGTTACCATCCCTCCAAGTCTATTTAACTCTTTTCATACAACCCTTGAGAATCTGCTTTCCACTAAAATGTGTAATTTGGAACATCTTTACAATTTAAATGTAGAATAAAGCACATTAATATAGAAAATATTCCTCAAAAATTAGCAAGAGTCTCCTGCCAAGGTTGACCACCTCTGCTATGCCGTACCTGCTCAAGGGCAGCAAACCTCACAGCTCAAAAGCACATTCCGTGATGGTCTTACGGAATATTTACCTGCTCTCCTTTGGGTCCTGCTGAGCCTTGGGGGCCTGGGAGGCCTCTGTCTCCCTTTTCTCCCTGTTCTCCTGGCGGTCCAATAAGACCAATTAAACCTGGATGACCCTAGGGAAAAAACAGCAGATGTTAATTATCCTCTTTTGCTGGAGTTAACCAAACACCAAAGCTACCCAGCAAAGACATTTCTAAATACAACCCCAAATATCTAAGGTGATAGGAGCTTGTAGCTATCCCCGACACCTGGAAGCGGCAGAGCAGAGCAAAGCACTAGCTTTTTTGCAATAGAAAAAACTACAAATATAGAAAGAGAACGGCTGCACTAGAGCACCTGCTCATTTTGTGTGCTAACATATACTGCATAAATTTCTACAGGACTGAGAATCATGCCCTAAAGCAAGCCAGGTGTCTGCACCTCCCCGAGCCCTCTGCTCTGCCCGTGTTCAGGCAGCCCTGACAACTAGAGCTGCCATGGACTGCAAGGGCTGACGTAGGGGAAGGCAGAGATTGAGGTCCTCTGTGTCACCTCGCTGCCATCAGTGCTGGTGATACGGGGATGGGAAACCCAGTCTTGGACCCAGATGGGCAGCACCACACGCTCGGCCACAGCAGGACCTGATTCAATCCTTGGGCCATACTCGTGACTCTCCATCTCTCCTTTAAAGATCTATCCAATGTTTCCAGAGCACGAGAGCGCACATATAGGGCTGGTGGAACTCCTCAGCCATGTCATGCCAGCTGCAGGACCCCTCTACAATGACTTTTTTTTTTTTCCCCCCACACCCAGACATGGACGTCAGGTCATGCAGTGAGATCGTGTGTGCCATTCTCACCTTCTCCCCTTTAGGACCAGAGTCTCCTTTAAGACCAGGCAAACCCGGTGGGCCCTTTGGGAGACAGGGGGAAAACAAAAGAAAAGGAATTAATGTAAAATGCATTCACCTATTTCAAAAACTCATGGAATTTGATGGTCTGGACATACCATTGGGCCTGGAGGACCATCTGGGCCAGGGGATCCCGGGAGACCTTGTTCACCCTGTAAAACAGTGAAATTTCCTCAAAACAATCATTCAAGACAGCAGTGCTCCCAGCTGGGATTATTCTGATTATTCACCCGTCCTTATCTGGTCCCTGTACCAGAGAACATTTCCCCTGGCTTCCCACAGATGGTAAATGTAAAAGGATTTACGTTCCTTTCCTGCTCAGATGTCTACTGGAAAAGGGACTTTGGAGGTCATGGAAACTCTCATCGATGGAGAGTGGGTGAGCAGACCCAAGACTCAAATAAAACATGCTGGGAGATGATATTCACTGTTATATTATTTCCACTAAATATGCTTTGTCTGCTGTCAGGCATTTAAGCATAAACGGAACATTACTCTGGGAGAAAGGCATCTTCTAAGGCAGATGGGTTATGGTAGAACACCAGGAACAACCCTGCCAAGAAGCTTTCTCAGACTTTGCTCAGTTTGGGAATACTCACGACTGGACCAGGAATCCCTCGAAGGCCATCAGGGCCAGGCTTCCCTGGAGCACCTTGGGGACCAATTGGGCCAGTCTTCCCAGGAGGTCCTTCCAAACCAGCTTCACCCTAGATGCAAGAGGCAGCATGGTTTAATTTGCATCGGGGCATCAAACAATCTTCTCAAATACACTGTGGCTGCCATCAGAATGTCACAGAGTGAAGCAGGTCCACGCAAAGCATCTGACACTTTTTGTTTGTTGATTTTCCTATTGCTTCCTACCCCTTAGGCACTGAAGACAAGTCTTCAGAACTCCTTCACTTTTCAGCCTTGCCTATTTCTGCTGATTTCCAGCAGGAACAGCTCTTTGGCTACGAGCTCTCTGGAGCAGAAAGCTTTCCTGGGTTCGGTCCTGGAAGATGAGCTAGCAGAGGACATCCTCCGCCATCAGTGTTCCTGTGGCTGCTGTAACAATTGAATCTATAATTTGCAATCCCACTCTACGTTTCTCCACCACTCTTACCAAAATTTTGGTCCAATAATGCTGTGTTTGCCCTGGGAAAGGATGTAGGGCTGTGTATGCTATATTATTTACAACACATTAAATTGCCAAATATGGCACTTTGTCATTTCAAAACAAGAAAAACATTCCCATGACCTTACCAAGCCCTAATTATCTCCACAGAGTTCATTAAAAGATGAAACAGAAGCTTGAATTTGAGGCCAACGGCCCGAAATTCAGGCTAATTTGTTGTAACATGCAGCAAAATCAAATCACTGTCTTTTAAACACCAACGCTGTCAGCAAGTGAGATCCTTTTGGCATACAAAGGGCATAACAGAAGTGAAATCACATTCAGCTCTTACCTTGGCTCCTTTCTCTCCTTGTCTTCCTTCGGGACCAGCTGGACCAGGAGGGCCCTAGAGAAAGTACAGAATAGATGCAAAACACAATTAGATCACACTGATCTGAAATGGTCTACTGGAATTAGCAAAATGATGCTACAGCCCCAGGGAAAAAGACAAAATGGAGACAAATATCTCTGAAAAGCTTTTTAAATTAGCTTCTTGCTAAATGAATCTCTGGGCTCTGCCAGCAAGGCAGGAAGAGCAGGAGCACCTCATACTTGTATTTTCTTTTGGGTGTTAAAATCTCAAAAAAAGTCCATGGGATTCTGTTGACAACTTCCCAACAATTTCCAATAGCTGTGGATGACGCATCATCATTTTTAAAATTATTATTATTATTATTTATTTTACATGCTACTGCCTTGCATTTACTGTAGACCTAGTAATAACATTAGTTTCAAAAAGCCAGTACAAATACATTTGGAAAAATACTCCTGAACAATCAGCTTACCCTTTTTCCTGGGGGTCCGGAGGGGCCTGGCTCTCCCGTGGGACCAGGGGAACCCTAGATGGAGAGGGGAGGAGAACAAGCCATAAGTGCACCACGAGACATTGAAAGGAGGAGCAAATGTGTAAAACTTGAGTTGAGATCTAGAGTTTGTGCAAAGCCGAGGTGTGGGCGGCCAGTACAACTCCCGACACCTCCTCGGGGGTGCAGGTGGTATCTTGTTTTATCCCTTCCCACCATGAAATACCATAAGGGAAGGCAAAGTTAAAATGAAAGACTAGATTTTGTTTTTCCGTGAGTTAATTTCTGCTTTCAGGATGTATTGCTAAGTAGCCCGGATGGATGGCAGCAGCCAGGCTGGCAGAGACAGGAGGGACAGGCATCAGGGGACCAGTGCAGCAGAAGCTGGTGGGAATTAGGTGCCGTATTGTCCTTCTGTGGTAAAAGTCTTTGGATCTGCACAGAGAAACCATGGGGACTGATGGGGAACAGATCTCAGCTACCCAGTTACTCACAGTCTGTCCGGGTTCGCCATCATCACCTTTGTCACCAGGAGGACCGTCTTGACCCTGAAAAGGAAGAAAGAAAGAAACAAGGACGTGTATTTAAGGTGTGAATAGAGTTGAGCAGGGTGGCAGCAGCAGCAGGCATGCTTCATGTGGTCTTCATGTCACCAGGCACCATCCCTCCCCATCTCCCGTTGAGAACAGTGGCAACAGCAAACGTCCTGTGTCAGATCCTGTGGACAGCAGCGTCCGTATAGCTACTGCCCCACAGGTTGTCAGACAAGTGGTCTTTTGGTGGGACTTCCTACTCTTTCCCAAGTAAAGGAAGAGTAAATGCCAGAGGAGCTGTTGGTGAACAAACAGCACGCAGCTGAATTTCACTAAACCAAGAGGAGGAACCTAACTGCCCTTCTGAGAGACAGACACTTACAGCTGGACCAGGTTCTCCAGGAGGACCAGGGTCACCAGGGAAACCGACTGGACCCTGCAAAGAGAGAAAAGGGATATCCTCAAGTCAGAGATCTCGCATCTGGGGAATTGCAGAGCACTAGTGCCTGCTACCGCAGCGACAACACGGGGAATCACGCTACAGAGCAAAATCCCAATTCCCTACCCTCAAACACAATCCCAGATCACAACCCATCTTTGCGTCTTCAGTAACCTCATCCTCTCACAGTCACCAGTCCAGCTCTGCATCCAGACTAAATAAAGCTCCAGAGGCAACACTGGGAGTTTCATCTAGTTTTTGATAAATACATCGGACAAGTGACAGTGAAATCCTCGCAGCTTTGGGGAATGTGCAGATTAGAAGATTTTGCTGTTGCTTACTACATGGTGCCTAACATTTTTCACATGAAGATCCTTTCAAAGCATTTAATGACCAAACCACTTCACCATTCTCCTCCATACAATGTCTATTGTGTACTTCAAATGATTCTGAGACCAGCGTTCAGACAATGGGCTTTAACCAATAATGCAATATCCCAAAAACCCATCTGTTAAGAGAGATGACTAACTCTCCTGCCTCCTCTGCTGTTTCATGCCATCTTTGCTTATCGCATAATAAATTTCTTCAGCCAGGAAGCATCAAAGAAGCCAGCAAGATAAATACTGTACCATTGTCATCTGGTATAAATCAGTATAGCTTCTACTGGCTTCAAGAGAGCTACAGCAATTAGCATCAGCAGGGATCTGACCCTAGAGGTACAACTCCCAGATTCACACCAATCTCCTCTATGCTATTTTGGAGACTTCGCGCTGGTGCAGAGGACCTTGGCAATACATAAGTTCAAGTGCAAAGTAAACCTAGTGCAGGCCCTCTCCATAGGGGTTAGTTTTCCAATAGCCTGCTAAAAGGACTAATAATTCAAGTATTGCTGGAAGACATGGTACAGCTGGGTCTTTTCCTCATTAGTACCCTAAAGAAGGCGACTAATATCACCTATCACTAGAGGCAATTCTCTAACTGGTAAACTATTTAGAATTTTCACAAAAATCTCTGGAAAACAACTTTTCATGCAGAAATCTCTGCTAGGCAAGACAAGGAAGCACTGTTTGGACAAGAAGGGGTACTTACAGGGCTTCCTTTGGGACCGTCATCTCCTGGTGGACCTTTGGGGCCAGGTGGACCAGCAGCACCAGAGGGACCTGCTTCACCCTTTTCACCTCTTTCACCTTTAGGACCCTGAACAGGAAAAAGGGTGTTTCTATTATCCAGAAAAACAACTTACTGATCTCTAATTATCTTTTAATCACTTTGAGAAAGAAGCTCTATTTGTATCTCAAGACATGAGGACATGATTTAGCAGTCCCCTCCCACAAAGATTAAATGGTGTTCATGTTGTTCAGTCGTGGGTAGCCCGTTTTTGGTGACTAAACATTATACTATAAATATGCAGTAACACGGCGATGTGTCACCCAACACCCAAGCCAAGGACATGGCTAGTTCAGTCCCTGCAGCCCCATCCTTGCCTCTCTGACACCCCTTCAACCAGCTCCTCAGGGGACACCACCGAAGAAGAAAAGCTCTTCTCCATCAGGGCAAGGGCCACCCTGAAGCGTACTTACCGGCAGGCCGACCTCGCCAGGAAGACCAGGCTCACCAGATTCACCAGGTTCACCCTGCAGAGGGAAAAAGAGGACAAGCACGCTTATATTTCTGGAGGGCGCTGAGTTTTCTGCCGGTGTAGCAAAGCCCCTGCATGAGTGTTGTAGCAAACTCCTGCAGGCTTCAGTCAGGTTTGTCTGGACGGTTTACCTTCTCTCCCACTGCACCAGGATTTCCTATTCCCCCGGGAGGACCCTGTGGACCATCTGCTCCTGGTGGTCCAGATGGACCTCTGGGTCCAGGTGGGCCTGGCGGGCCCTGAGAGACAAGGGAGACAAATTTAAAACGTGTTTCTTGGAGCAATGTCTATGTCAGTGAGGAAAAAAGAAGCATGAAAGCATCTTACCATTTGCCCAACGTCACCCGTTTCTCCCTTCTCACCAGGTGGTCCAGGCAAGCCCTGTGGAGGCGGAGGGGATGAATTTTAGCTGTGAACATCTCAGGTGGAGCCCCAGCTTTCGTTACCCTAAGCTCTCCCTCGATGCTGCAAATTACCTGCAAACCCACTGGGCCTGGGGGACCAGGGAAACCTCGAGGTCCTTCATCACCTTTCTGACCAAAGAGACCTTGCTGTCCTCTGGGACCTGGCTCTCCATCGGCACCCTATGAGGAAAGAATCTAACACAGCTCACCAAAGACATGAGGTAGATGCAAAGCCCCATCCCCACCATCTCCTGCTGCAGCCAGAAGCAATGCCCTACTCGTGTGCTGGGCATCAGCAGTGCTTTCCAGGAGATTTTATGGTAAGAAAAGGGATTTCTGCTAACAGGGGACAATACTCACAGCTGGGCCAGGCTGACCGATTGGACCCTGCGGGCCAGTAGGACCTGGTGGACCCTGTTACAAAACAGAAGTGCAATGTCACCATTAGGATCACAGAATAAAAAGCTCACCTGGAAAACGTGATGCCCTTCAATACAGCCTCCATTAAACATGCATTAATTCCCAAAACAGAGAGGGAGGACAGGGTCAAGTTTCCCCAGACACATCAGCACCCCTCAAGCCCTGGTGCCAATGGCACAGCAGAAATGTCTAAATGCATTTTAGTTCCAGCAAAGCAATGTCACGCCACTCAGTTCTCTCTGGATACTTATGTGTAATTTATTCTCCATTCCTCAGGCTCTGAGCAGCACATAAAGGGTGTTTCAGTGTGCTGCAAGCAACAAGAAAAGGAACTACAGCCGAACTCCCAACTTTAGTGGCAAGGGCTGATAATGTTTCACAGATATTTACACAGTACATGGGTGACGGGAAAACATCTCTGTGAATTCCTGGGAGCTGGAAGCTCACACTTCAGGCACTCACTTTTTTTTTTTTTTTACATCCTGTGGGTATTTGGTGAAGCAAAGGAGAAGATGAAGCAATGATAGGAAGAAATTAAAATTATATTGTTTTCTGTTTCCAGCAAATCACACAACAAAGCCACGCTCCTTCGGGGAAGCAGCTATGACAACATCCACCCCACTCACCTGCTCCCCTTTGTCGCCCTTGCTGCCCTTCTGGCCAGGCTCCCCGATCTCACCCTGTCAGGTACAAAGGGGCACAGTTAGTTCACTTGGTGACCACTTCCATACCTCAACATTCAAGCAACAGTCCTGTGTGTCTGCACCCTCATCCCAAGGATGCCAATTCCCACAGAAATACCCCTGAATGTTCTGAAAAAGACCAGATTGTTGGCCGCTCCAGGGGTAACCAAACTCTTACATCCTGAAACTTTCCTTAGCTGCCATGCGATGCAAGATGTGCTATTTTGCAGACCTTGTTAGCAGCGATGAGTGATTCATCCCAGCTAATGTTTTCTAAGAAGCCTCCAGTCCAGGGGGGCTTAATGAGAGAGTGGGGAAAAGTAATTAATTTGGAAAGGCCAGGCACCTGTGGGCAGGCCACCTGCTACAGGCTTCGGGGGGGAGGTTAACTGGGTTTCAGCAAGCGGTTTGGCTGGCGGAGCGCACACAGCCCACTTTGCCTGCTGCTCCCCAGATGGGATGCTGCTGACCTCGCGGGATTGCCAGCACCATAAAACATCCTCGTGTTACGGCCGGCAGCACATCCAACCCGGTGTGGTGGAAGCAGCGTGGTGGCAATGGGGCACCTTGCCCAGTTCCTTCCCAGTGACCCTGCGCAGCAGGTTGCTGTTCCCACCTTGTCTCCGTCCTCGCCGGGGGGGCCGACAGGACCTGCTGGACCTGGCAGTCCCACCGGGCCCTGGATGCCGTCCCGGCCAGCCGGTCCTTGAGGACCCTTCTCTCCCTGGAAGCAGAGCAAACAGGCAGGTCACACAGAGCTCTCCTCCACCCTCCAACCAGCCCATTATAGCCCATTAACATCTTATTCAGCTGCTAATGACCCCTGACTATATGGGTATGTATAGCAAAACCAGTTTCCAGCTGGTATTTCATCAGTCTCTCTGCGCTTGCTGTCTGAAACAAGACAAAATTTCTATCTTGAGAGATAAAGAAAGAACAAACAAATCTAAATGGTGAATACCCAGACCACAGCTGCAACTTCACCACTATAGCAATATAATCAGATTTAATCTGAACCCTCTGCCATCTCTCTCTGGATGACAAACAAGACCCCAACTAATTTTTATCCTCACAAGCCAGTTTTTACAGAATCCTGGCTGCCCGAGGACTCACTGCCTGCTCCCTCCCTGGCTGATCCCCAACTAACAAGGGGTTTCTCAGGAGGCCCTGAGCTCTCTCCTGAGCTTCTGGACAAAGGAAAACACCTGAAGTGAATAAAGCAATCTCTGCTGGCCTCCTGCTTAAACATCTACTCATATTCCCCAGACCTGGAGCCTTCAATCAAATTTGTTTGTTTATAGGAACTGAACAGTGAATATTTTCCAGTTTCCTTGTACATAATTTAATTGCATCTGAATCCTGGGTGCTCTCTTCTGAATAATTAGATGCCACATAAATTGCCTATTCATCTATCCACTGATACATCACATAGGTACTTGGCAGGACAGATGTTCATAAAGCTGATTCACCAGGAAATTCTTGCCTCTGGACTAGCTGCTGAAGTTTCTAATAAGCCAGCAAGTGTGGAATACAGAGGCTGATAAACACTTTTGATAACAACAATCAATCACCGTAAGTGTCCTCGTGTAGTGCGAAATCACCGATGCCAGCATTTGCTCATTTTGCTGGGTCTGAAGCTGAGCTCAAGTTTGAGGCAGGCAACCCAAAAGTCCCTGCAAAACCATTCAGGCATGAATTCGAGGCAGATCCTTCCTCCCCGGGACTGTCACGGTGCTGGGCTCTTCAGGGACAGAAATAGTCATGCCAGCCCACTCCCTCCTGCCCGCACGTGACATTTCACGCTCGTGCCTGGGGAGCGAAAGACGTGCGAGTTTGCGCGGGCTGGCTGGTGAACGCGCAGGAGAGGGACCATATGGCAGGACTCTGCGCGGGCTCCTGCCGGGAGCGGCTCTTTCCCCGGGCGCCAGCGGGAACGCGGATGCTTTAGCAGCACGCAGCATCCCTGGAAAATGAGCCGAAACCTCCGCAGCACCTCCCTGCGCTGCCCCTTGGCTGGGGCAGTGAGGGTAAGGGTTTATTTGGGCTCAGTGGAGATGGCTGCTGCCACTGCATCCTTGTAAGCAGTGATGGGGTTGGCTCACTTCTCTGCCCAGAGGCCTGTCCTTTGGCTGTTGTCACTGGGAGGTCACACAGGCTGTCATTTCACCTGTTCAGTCCTCATCCCTTCTCATTGCCCGAAGACATTCTGGTCCCTGAGATCACGTCCATTTTTGATAGCACGGGTGTCACAAGCAGAGCAGTTGAGCTGCTAACGTTCAGTGGTTTGATGCACCCAAGATGAGAAAATTCCTTTCTAATCAAATTCCTCCTCTTCTTTTTCTGTTTAAAATCTTTTATACACCCACTCCAGGGAACGTCTGCATGCTCAGCTTCCTACTGTACCCATTTCTGTAAACATATGTACAAATAGATACACATATTTGACCCACAGCTGTTAAACTGGTACTTACTGGAGCTCCCTTTTCACCTGCGGGTCCCGGAGGTCCCTGGGGGCCAGGTCGCCCTGGCAAGCCTATTGGGCCAGCTGATCCCGCGGGACCGCGCTCGCCGGGAGAGCCCTGTTTGGAGAGGGAAGGAAGCATTAACTGGAGTATCGAACTTCATCTATATACACACAGAAAGAAATCCAGCAGTAGGATGCTGCAAATGCATCATCAATAAGTGAGCACATTTGGTGGGGTGACTGCCATGCGATGACTTGGTACCATCAGCCTAAGGGGTCTTGCAGATCATTTTTTTAGTTAAAATCCCTGGAAGGGCTGAGTTCTCCTCCTCTGGACGGTGCAGGGTGGTCAGTTCCCAGGGGCATATTATCAGCTTGGAACAAGAGCATGAGCCACTTCATGGCCAATGCATAAGGGAGGGCTGGATGATGAGGGTTTTCTTCCAGGAGGGCTGCACTGAGCATGAGTCTCAAGTGGGGACAACGTTCGGAGGGAAAGCAGGTGACTTAGAAGCAAAATTCTCCATGTCCCGAATCATTCCGGTTCCCTCAGTTTGTCACGTATGTTCACAGCTGACACCATAAAATGTCTGAGCTATTACATGCGTGTCTTGTAAAATAAAGCAATATCCAGCAAGTCGTTAGTGCAAAGGAAATAACGGATAAAGGGCTGAGCTGTGACTAACCCCCCGTTTTGGCTTGTCACCCTTGTAAATGCGTTAGGTGGTGCCTGTAAGGGCAAGGATACTCACTGCTGGGCCTGGGGGGCCTGGGGGACCTTCGTTGCCTTTCAGCCCTGGAGCGCCCTGGAGAGAAGAAAACAAAGTCATTTTGGGAGGTGGGTGCTGCACCACCTGGGCATCCTTCCCACTGGAGGGACCGGGCAGCCTCTACTCACAATGGGGCCAGGGAGACCTCTCTCTCCGGGGAAGCCTCGCAAGCCCGGGGGACCGTCCTTCCCTGGGAGGCCAGCAGGACCAGGGTCACCCTGCAATGACAGTGATAAATAGCTGAGGATCTGCAGGCTCCATAAAGACCCAGCTCCTCCCTCCGGGCACAAGTCGTGATGAGACACTGCGAAACATCATGTCTTTTCTGAATCATCCCTCTCCATCTCTGGGAGGGAGGCAGGCGGCCAGGCTTGCAAGGAGGGTGAATTCAGGAGGCTGCTGGTCCCTACCTTGGTCCCTTCTTTTCCAGTGAGGCCAGGAAGACCTTGTTCACCTGGGGGACCTGGAGGGCCTGGATGTCCTCGTTCACCCATTGGCCCAGTCTCACCAGTCGGACCCTGAAGAAACAGAAATCGGGGAGAAGGTGTTGGGTGTCAGCAGAGCAATCAACGATCTAAGATGTGCAGGCTATCAGTTTACTCCCTTAGGCTGCAATGGGATGGAAGATGCTCCTTCCCTTAGCTGTCTCCTGAAGTGCCACCAGGAATCCCTGCAGAGATGTGTCCTTTGGCATCTACAGGGACCTTATTTTGGAGGTGGAAAACATTGCACTTGACAGAGTAGAGGCACTAGGAACCTCTGGAACGAAACCATTCACATAAATGAGATATTATTACTACAATTATTATGCTTAGGGTTTTTTTTTAAATTGAAAACTTCCTAAGTACTCTACAGTCATGCTGATTCTTCCTTATATGGGGCATAAATAATGGATTAGGCTTGTACTACACGGCAATTACTGACTGTCTCTGTGCTGTACGTGGGCACTAATGGTGACGAGTGTAACATAAGGCCCAGTGCAGAAGGTTCCCCAGTGGCCCATTTTGGAGGAGGACAAAAGCCATACACACAAGCCTATAATGTCCCTGCATGCTGGTGTCCGCTGGGATGGCGGTTGTAATTCACGTCACGCTGCAGGGTGCCACTTAGTGTAAGCAGAACGATAACATTGCAATCGCTCAGCAACCACAGATCATGCTAAGTACGTGCAGCAGAGCCAAATAAAATTGCCATAGAACCTAATTTGCACTTGAGAAGACAGACACAGTCAGGGAATTGCCCCTAATCAGGGAATTTACAAATCAGGGACTTTACGCTTTCATTAAAGAGGACAAATTAATTACTCTCTAATTAAAGAGCAACCTCCCCAGCAGTTCAGGGAAGAAGACTCAACCCAAAGCCAGTCCTACTCAGTCTAGGACTGCCTACAAAACTGATCCACGAGCCTTGCATGCCTGTACTTAAGGGGTACAAATTCTGATTGTGCAGTTACTATTTCCAGATTGCACAGAGTTCTTTGTGACTAGAAGAAAAATAGCCCAACTCTGACAGAATTTGGCAGCACTGTATGTTAGAGGGATGCATTTTTTTCATAGCGACATGTAAGAGCGCTCTTGCATCACGCTTACACTGCCTTGCCCACCCCAGCAGCTGTACAGCCCTTTGAGATCTCCTTTAACTCTCTGGCTGCTAAAAGTCTTTTAGTCAGGTTGTGTGTAGCTGGTCTCTCTCTCACCCTACAGTGATTTTACACCAGGGTAGCTCTGTTAAGTTCACAGGAGCCGCTTTATTTCCAGAAGCCTACAGGCACATTGTCTAAATGCCATCCTAACACCTCGACAAGGTGCGCTGGGACCCATTGGGGTACCTCACACTCTGGCCAGGAATTTCAAAGCCAGCAAGCTTGCTTCAGCATGAATTTCCCTCCCCTGGAAGAGGAATCTGTGGTGTACAACCTGCGGTCCCAGCAGCTCCAGCTGAACCACCAGAGCTGTGAGAGCTTGCTGTGTGAACCAGTGAAGGTGAGCTGCCGACGGCTGGTGCAAGCATGAGCATTTGTTTCTTACCTGAGGGCCTACAACACCGGGGGGTCCTGGAGGGCCGGTCTTGCCTTGGAAACCCTGTTAGAGAAGGGGAAAAGAGAAAGAGATGACACTTCTGCCAAGGAGCGCCCCAGCAAGGGTCACAGACTGCCACCCGACTGCTCCTCCTCTGGTGAAACTACTGACCAAGAACGGGTGGAGACCCAGACAAAAGAAACAAGAAATCAAACAGGAGGCGGAAAACATGTCTTTGTACATTTATACAGGGGTGAAACAGAGGAAGAAAAAGGGATTCTCAAAGCTCAGCTCTGCTGTTTTGATGGAGCTACTGAGATTTGGTTGAAGGACTGGCCATATATATAAAAAAAATTTGCTACACTCATAAAACTTACAGAGAAAATATCTATTGAAAAGTCAGTGTGAGTTTCTTCATGCTGAGCAATTCTTAAAAGCCATTTCCCTTCTCCTGCTACCCGTTCTGGTACTGATTTAGGCTTAGCTCTGTTTTAGGCTTAGCTCCCGGGAGCTCAGAGGCTGGGTGACCGTCTTTCACTTTTGGCACCAGCAGCGCCAATCTCCAGCCCCGCTGAAGCCCGCAGCCCACTGGCTTTGGGGGCTGAACGAAGCTTTATTTCCTTCATCAACATCTGTTGAAAGAAATCACCAATGTGTTTCTCTCCAAATGCTGATGAGTAGCAAAGTCTCCATGACAGCTACTTATAATGACATTTTGAAGAGTGACAATAATGAACTATCACCACTGCAATTGTTTAGCTCTCCTAAGCCACTCTTTAAAAAGCACATTAATTATCATTCTTACTATAGCATGCTGACAAGCTCAAGCTTGAGAAATGTCATTTAGGGCACACAGGCTATTTTCTCATTGCCACAAAAGAGGATCAGATAAATCCCAAGCCAATGGTAATGTGTCATGCTAAAAAAAAATACCCAATGCTATTCTAGGTGTCTGCAGATCACAGAAAATATCCTGTCATTGATGGGGAAATGGCAAAACATCTTTGTGAAATGAATGTACAATTTAAACTCTTATCATAGAAAAATATTTCAGCCATTTCTGTGCTTGACTTTTCTTATTAATCTGAAGAAAGGGGTTTCCTTTTATCCTGTTTGAGCCTTGGGCACAGGGGATTTAGAATTTTTCATGGCTTTTTAGATTCATTCTGTGTAAATCTAATATGGCCAAATATTTCAGCATCCTTCAGCATGCCTATTTATTTTACTTTTCATTTGGTATCAAAGGGGAGTATGTGACACACAGATTTCAAGTCTATGTTTTCTTGCATGAAAGTACGGAGTGCACTGACAAGGCTACAGGTGTGGAAATGGTATTTAATTTGTTTTTCTGTTTCTCTCCTTGCTTTTTGGTGCTGTATAAGGAAAGGGGGACAAAAAAAGGACTTCTGCTACCTGGGTCTGCACACATCTGCGTGCACCCCAAGAAGATGCAGGGGAAAATGATCTTTGCAAGCTTGTTCACGGCACAGATTAACAAAGTGTTTGTTTTCTGGAAGGATTTGCCTGTGATAGGCAAGCTACTGCTACAATGACTGAAGAAAGCTAGTAGGGAGTACTTTCAGACCCAAAATAATTGAAAGCCCATTCTCCGTTCCTGTTCACACAGATTTGGAGTTTGTTGCTCTATTCCAGTCTCAAAAGTTGACACCAGCAGATGCAAGAAAAGTTTTTACTGCTTCCTGCAATTTGAACATAGGTACCCTGGATGTTATAGATAACTCAATGGAGGAAGGCTCAATGTCACATCCAGGCTCTGGCAGGTGAAAACTCTTCTCTTCACCTTTGAGTTAATTCTGACCTGAGGACTGTGTGTTTAAAAATACCACAAGACTGACGTTAAGGCAATGGTTATGGAGTGTAAATAAGTATCTGGTGTTGAGCAGAGCAGTATTTGCATTGCCTTGCTTAGCAAATGCCAGGCAAGTTAATTAAATTGTTGTGTGATAAGTTGAGGGGAAAAAATGCATAATGTGCAAAGCCTTTCTAATGCTCATTTGCTAGGAAAGGCAGTGGAGAAAAATGCAAAGCTGAGTAGAGGAAGTTGTTTGTTTTTTCCTGTAAAATAAACACAGAACAAAGAGTCTATCTGCTAACATGCAGCATGCAGTGTTGGGAAGAGGGACATACCAACAACAGTGAATGAGCTGGATTGTAAATAGCTGAGGGAAAAAAAAAAAAAAAAAAAAAAACATCCCCAAAAATGCCAAACAGAAAGATACGAATTACTGCATGCAGAGGAACACATGGCAGAAGGGTCATTTTTGCTTAGGGTATCTTTCAAGCAAAAAAGGTGCAGAAAACAGACCACCAGAGACGCACGACAGCCAGGGTATCATACCTTCCACATGCCTCATCGTTCTCCTTTGGTGAGAAACAATGATTACATCTGTGCAACAAAACCTTTTAAAATGGACAAAGCAGTATGCGTACGATACAGTGAGGTACCTAAACAGCCAGGAGCTGCTCCCTGGCTTGCAGCAAGGGATTATTGCTGGAGGGGGCTTAAGCAAAACTTGGTGAGGCCCTTGTGCATAGCTTTGGCTAAAAGGCAGCGTCAGCAGAGCTGGTCTCCTTATTCAGGTGTTAAGGTAGTGGCTGATACATGAGCGTGCTGCAGTAACCGGTGTGGACAGAAAAACTAGAGTAAAACCATTGCACCCCTCGTCTTGGCCAGGAATTACCTTCCTCTCAAAACAAGCACTGCCAAAACTGTGCTGTAACTCTCTTCTGCTGTACAACAGTTCTTGGTGTTGGCCGCATGGCGCGTCAAGAAGTGAAATGCGTTTATTTCTCCCCATTGCAGGTTCCAGAGAAAATAAAACTGCCCCTAACCTAACGCAGCCGGGTGCGGAAAGCTGAGCTTGCAAAAGATGGAGCCCGTCTCGCATGAAAAATTTCTGCCATCACATCCCTAGAGTTATGTCTCTGGAATAGAGACGTAAAACCTTCAGGTCTCCAAAGGACAGAGTGGGAAAGAAAGCACAGATTTTACCCGTAACGCTCCAAAGAGCGGAGGCACAGCCTTCCCCCTCGGGAGGGCAAAGGGACCAGAGCTTCGGTGAGTCCTTGGGGTACAGAGCCCAGCTGCAGGGGCTGCTCGGAAATCACCCCCCAGCTGCTTCTCCACTTCAGGAGAGCAAGAGCCACTCTAAATGCTGGAGCTGACCCAGACTCAACCCCAGCCAACAGCCTCCCACCTCGCGAGGACCTGCCTCTTGCAGAAACCCAACTGCCTGTGATGCCGCTGACTGGCATCACTACATCTCCGCTCACGTTTTTTCCATGCATGATGCACATGTTGACCTCCACAATCTACTAAAGGGACAGAGAGCGAGGAGTTGGTGCCCAACCTCCACATAAACCATCATTAGACCGACGCGTCCTGCTCAGAAGAGGGTTGCTTCCCATAGACCATCCCATGCAGCTGGAGAGACACAGACCTTCAGGGGAACCAAACGCATGGCCACATCTCCCCAGCTGCACAGAAGGGTTTAGAAAAACCAACCGGCAAGACGAGACTCAGGACTAATGATCTGCCCAAGGTTTTTGGCTACTTACAGTTTCTCCTCTCTGTCCGGGGTGACCAGGCAATCCATCCTTCCCAGGAGGACCCTACAGCAGAAAACCAGGGTGAGAAGGAACATCATGAAGTGCTCAGTAGTAAAACTGTGATAAGGACTGAAATCAAACCTGCTTGCCTCCTTGCATTAGTTCCCATCCATTTTACGGTGAAACAGGGGTGCTTAGAACCCTGAAAGATACAGCTCTTTCCCACACATCTCCCAAAGGAAAGATTTATCTTACAGGTCCAGTGTGGGAGCAAGCTGTTCACTGCAGGGAAGGAAATCACTCCAAAAAGGTTTCTGAGGTCCCCCACCAATGTATAATAATTGCAGAGTGTTACTCTGTTGTGCTGTCCTCCCAGTATACAGAGGGAAAATAAAGAACAGAGCAACCATGAAAGATCCTAGTGATATTGAGTCATTAGGAAATGAACATTTATAATCAGCTGCAATTTACTTGGCTATTTAAAATCTTTAACCGTCGGGTTATTATCCTGATGTCTCAGTAATGCCTTTTATTGGGTACGTCACTGCTTGTCAGAGAAGCAGCTAACACTGAGCTGGCACAGGCAATCACAGCTGGATGGGAAAGACTTTATGTATTTCTTTGCATGTTCTAGAAAAACAGTTACTTACAGGGGGGCCTTTTGGTCCAGGAAATCCAGTTGGTCCTTGAGGCCCTGGTGGTCCCTGAGATGTAAAACAAGCCAGAAAACGTGGTTAAGGAACCTATAATGCTTTACTATGAAATACTAGCTCTGTATACGAACAGCAGATGAGCACAAAGATACAGAAAGGCAGCTACTTCTGCCCCAAAGAAATGCCCCTAAGTATGAGATGCAGCTGCACGGGTCCATCCCTTGAAAAAAATACATGGAGAGATAAGAACCACTGGGCATGTTTAACTGAGTAGCATGTCCAGCTGCAAAAAGCACTGCAAACATGAAGAGGGCTATCGACCACTTTGTGCCTTTCCTTCCCAGAGCTATGAAAAAGAGGTCTTTTCCCATCCCAGCTCAAGTGAGAGCACCTGGGAGCTCCCAGGACGTGCAGGAATGAAAAAGAAGAGAGGCTGGAGGCTTTGGGGCCAGTGCTGCAAGGCAGCTGATGTTCTTCAGAGCGCTGCTTCCCCGGAGCAGCGTCAGCAGTAGCTCCCGCCTCGCCCCTGAGGTCAGAACAAGCAGATGCAAAGCAAGAACTAATTTCATATATTTCTTCCCTGGGCAATTTTGTAGAAAATTTACAAACAAATCAAAACCCAGGAAAAAAAAAAAAAAAAAAAAGCAGAAATTGAGGTAAAAAATCATGAAAGTCCTGTTGTTTCAATATTTTCCACCTGTGCTGTAATCTGGAGGTCCTAGGGGACTACCTCCTCCAGAAAACCAAGGCTCTGGCTGTCTGCACAAAATCCATGGATGACTTTGCCCTTCTCCTGTGGAGCAATGCTTACACAGCACACCCAAGGTCCCATTCGAGCCTTCCTTAGAGAGCTCAGAAAGGACCTAAGAGCTGTAGGTGGCTTGGGAAACCTCTCTCCACACAAGCCCAATTCCACCTCGTATTTCTAAACAGATTTTTCCTCTTTGCTGACTGAGCTATGCTAAGCTGCACTCTGGTTCCAGCGAGAACAGGGTACTTGGTGGGCTGCTCCCTGCTAAAACCCCTCAGCACCACCCCAGCCCTGCACAGCCGCCTCGTCTGCTGTGTTAAACTAAAGGGTTTGGATTGAGTCCCGCTTTAGCCCCACGGAATTGCCTTACCCTTTCGCCGGGAGGACCAGGGGGACCATCACCACCAGAGTTGCCCTTTTACGAATAAACAAAACAGCACACCGTTAAAAATACATATATCACCATTGCAGCTGCTTTGCACAAAGACTTCAAATGGCACCAAGCCCACAGTGACACCACACCCCACCAGCTCCCCCAGCCCCTCTCTATTAATAATTCTGTGTCAGGAGCAGTATCCAGTGACAAACAAGCAGCTGCTCGTTCCCCCCACACCGCTTAATAAAAATACAGGAAAGATAACGTCAGTGAGCTCAGGATATTTCTACCAGATAATGGCCTCCCTCTGAGAGATAAATGCCGCCGCAAAGACGAGGTATTTATCAAAAATTCATGCCAATACAAAGCCAAGACATTTATTTTTAAAGCTGGCAGTGCAGTGGTGACAATGTCTCACTACAAAAGCTTTGCTTCCATCACGCCCAGCGATTGACGGTCACTTAATCGGTCTCTGCAGCAGGTTCTGGAGCTGAGCGTGCCTCCAGATTGACTGAGAGGAAAATACCTATTTTGCCCAGTGACCAACTGTGGGCACACAGCGTGCATGCAAAGTGGTTTGGCAAGGTGCAAGGTTCTGGAGACCAGCAGCAATACGTGTCCCTTTGCCCACGGCACAGCCGAAGGCCTCAAAGGTGGTTCAAATGCTGCTTAAACACCAAAAAACAGGGCTTAGGGGAAGCGTCAGTGGATCGTAGGGTTGCGCTGGTCCCTGACATGAGGGTGCTCCCTCCCTTTCTGGTTGCAACGGCCCTTAGTTTGCGCATGCACTTGATGCCCTACTGAAACGTGGGCCAATGCATTTTTAGGACCTGTGCACGTACTTTATGGTTGGGTTATGAGCCATTTGGCTGGGCGATGAAGATCAGGAGAGAAGGGAAATGGAGGGTAATGAACCAGATGGCCTCTTACACCATCACTTTTTAGGACGATTCCAGCAGCTTCCCCAAAATCTTACCTTTGGGCCGGGTTTCCCAGTGCTTCCCCTAGGGCCTCTTTCCCCACGTGGACCCTTAAAAAGACACAAAAGATGACGTTTTAGCCCATCTTGCTGCCCACAGCACTGCATTGTGATCAGGCAGAGCACCCGAGCCCCTGAGCCGCGCCGGGCCAACGCGTCGTCCCACCAGCAGCAAGGGGATGCCAGGAGCCTCCAGCACTGCCACTGGTGGTCTGCAACCATGTTCACTGGCCAGCCCCAGCCCCACATCACCGTGTCCCCCCTGCTTAGCTTTAACTGTTGAAGGCCAGATCCTACCCAGTGAGGACACAAATCGGATCCTTAAGAAGTTTTCAAAATGCACGAGAATGAAGAAATGGATCATTACCGTTGGACCGCGTTGCCCCCTTGGACCTGGTTTGCCAGGTGTCCCCTGGAACAAAAAACAAATGAAGAAGAGTTAGCAGCCAGCATCACAAGCTGAGTTCACAGCAGATGAACCTGCAACAGAGCCTGCTGCACACAAACTGCCCCCCCAAACCTCTCCAGTTCTCATGTGCAATGAAAAGGACAGCAGCAGGCTTACTTTAATCTCCTGATTCTTGTATTTATTATAATTTATAATGCTTAGTCCGGTCTGGACAGTAGTCCCAATGTCCAGACGTCATCCACCATCTGAGGGAAGGAATCTCTTAAGAAAATGTATCCTGAGACCTTTAAAACACCACAAGGACTTTCAAAGATGAGGCCACCCATTTGAACCATCCAATTTCCTAAAAAGCTAGCCAAAAGCACCAGAGCCAGCAGAAAAACTCTTCAGCTCTGCCGCCCTAAAACCTGTAATTCCTTTTCCCACTGACCTCTGCTCATCCCTTCAGCCAGCTCCCAATGTGGGGAAGGGCTGGTCCTCGCCCCAGCCAGGAGCAGGGCAGGCTGGCTCACACTGATGCACACACGTGTTGCAAGACCTGGGCTGTTAAATATTTAAGGAATGACAGCAGCAGAGCAAGATTCCTGCTCCGAGCAGTTATTTTACGCCACACAAGCCAATTAAGCTGCCCCACATATTTACAAATCTTTCTTCATCTCTGTGAACTTTGTGCTAAACAAGTAATTTAAGACATTGTTTTGCAGCAGCGACAAAGCAGCAGGCTTATGAGATCTGACAGATGCACTCGGCTTCCTGTAATGGGGGACTGTGATTAATTCTGACAGAAAAAAAGACAAGGACGGCTGGGTCCTAAATCTGGCAGTATGTTAAGCTCCATTACCTCATGCCTGAAAGAAAAATAATCACCTAGAGCTTGGTCCCTGAAAACACTATTTTGGCTAGTGTCAAGTTATGAAAAAAATTCCAATGGGTTTAACTTTTGTCCTTTGGACCTGCAGTCCACTATTGTTACCAATCACTTGTTAGAGGAAGGAAGAGAAAAACTTGCTTTCTATGTAAGGAACATAGAATGCTTAAAATATCACTTGCCATTTTCTGCCCCAAATCCATCACCTCACAATCTTGCCTTCTCATATTTGGTGCTCATTAGCCAGGTGAACACAGAACAGAAGCTAGAAAACTTTACAATCAACTTTCTTCAAGCTACTAAAATTAGTCCTGCTGAATCCTCCTTGTTCTGCGGCTCCATTTAATAAACCCTGCTGGCATATCTTTTTTTAATTAATTACAAAAATCATTTTAAAGTACTCCAGCTGGTTTTCCTTTAGCTATGGGAGGCTAAATTCAGAGCAGGTGGAGAGGACTGTGTGCCACCTCCCTGCAGGTAGCCCCACGCACTCCTCTCCTTCTTCCTCAATTCTATTTTTAAGCAAAATTTTCCCCTGCTTATTGCTATCATTAATCATGCATACAGCAACATGTACCGTTGCGAAGAATTTATATAGCACTGTAAATGTACACAGACCTCTATTTTTCAAACAGGGATACTGAGGGAAAGGCATCTAAATTCAGATTATTTTCTAGGAACCCAAATAAATGGTTGGATTTCGGTACCTCCATGCATCCCTTGGGCTCTGTCAGACTGGGTGAGCAGGGAGATCTATTACCCTGTGCTAATGGCAGAGGCCTATTAGCTCTAAAAATAAGACCACTTATTCACATCTAACTATTGATTTTATGATCAGGTTTTGAAAACATCCAAGCAAGCTCACCCGAGCTCGCCTCTGGCTGTGGGCAGTTGGGTGAGAGCAGACATGGCAAAGAGCAGCTGCTCGCCAAAACTATCGTGATATTTAACAGGTCACGCTTCTCAAAAAACACTAAATGTCCTTTTCCCCTACCCTCTCTCCCCCCGCCCCCCATCATTTTTAACTGTGCCAGCCCTTTTGTGCAGCTGAACTGTTTAAGGAGGTTTGAGGAGCTTTAGTGCTGCAGGTTCTTCCAGCACCAAAATTCATCTGCCTGCACTGGCAGACGACCTGCTGGTGCTGCTCTTCTGCCTTTGGTTTCCACCTTTTTTTTTTTTTTTTTTTTTTTTTTTTAATCACTTAAGGACTTGAGAAGACTACTTGTGTTGCTGAAATAATGAGCTGGAAAGCTTATTTCCATTCCTAGATGATGACGATCATAAGAGAAACGTGTGATTCATATTATTTTGGACACATAAACAACTGCATTGAATAGCATAATAGTAATACCGTGTAAAAAGAGACAAACAGATGATTTTTGGTTGCTTCAGCTGCAAATTGGGTTGCACAATGCTTCTCCACAATGCACTGGAGAAGCAAATCTTAGACACTGTCTTTCTTGACTATATGTGGATATGCTCATAAAAATAGTGAATTTAGTGGTCTCAGGAGAAACAGAGGGGGATTTATCAAGTCTAACTCAACGAAGCTTAAATTAACTTGATGGTCTCCATTTGTTTTGGTGCAGTGTGATCCCAGCTGTCTATTGTTCTATATATAATTGCTTTTCACTTATTTCAAATTGGATACTTGGGAGCAAAAAAAAAAAAAAAAAAAAATAAAAAAAAAGAAGGATACCAAAACAGTTACTGAAAATCAGTATTTCTGCTATTCTTAGAAAATTTTCAAGCTGGGCTCCTTTTACTAAAGGAGAGATTTGTTCATGAAAATCTCTTTCTCTCTCTCGCATACAAATACACTGATAAAACAAGTGCAAGCTGCTGGATTAGATGTAAAATGGCAGAAATGGTCCAATCACACAATGGAGAGAAAAAAAAAAAAAAAGTTACCATAAAATAAGCCAACATATTTCTATTTGACAGAGGCATGTCAGAACACGCTCCCTCCCATAGGTGTCGGGGTACCAGCCCCTGCCCCTGCTCCCCATGCACAAAAATCCCCTCATTTCTCCCCAGATTCCTGTTTCCTTCCTTTACAAGCAGGGGTTTGGGGTGCCAGCCCCACCACAGCGCGCTTGGGGCCAGTCTTGGCCCAGACACTTCTCAGCTCCCAAGCCAGGACAACACGAGCTGCCCCATCTCCTTCCAGGCTGCACTTGAAATGCAAAAAGCCCTTTTTGATTCTTAAACTAAAGAAATGTGTGGCATGCCAGGGGGTGTAACCAAGTGTCCTCACTACCTCCTAAGAGCACAAAGCTGATTTAGAATAAAAGCGAGCAAACTGATGATTTTTTCTTTTTTTTTTTTTTTTTTGCCTTTTCCTGTCTTATCATTGCTTGCACCTGAAGTTGGGCCCCTTCCCAGCACGCCTGCTCTCTCCTCAATCCCTTTCAGGCTGGACATTGTCAAAATTCAACCAGCCCAACCCTTGGAGTTTTTTCCAATCTCATAAACAGCCAGCTCCTGGCACCCGCTCTGCTCCCGGAAAGGTTTCCCATCCCAGCGGTCTGGCTCTCCATCCCACCAGAATAAAATTAGCAGATGGAGCAAGGAGGATGCAAAGCAGCACAGTTCTGCCTCACTGCGGTGCCGGCGTCCTGTTTTACACCACCCGAAAATCCAGCCCAAGGATTTTATTGTTGTATATTTGATAAGGCGGGTGGTAATTATAGGGCTACAGTGAATTCAAGGCTGTTGTGGCAGCTGCCTTATTCATGGCCTCCCTCCTCTGCCTGGCTGGAGCGGAGGGAGGGGAAAGGATGATGCATTTGTAGTTCAAGAATGAAATGAAAATTATTCAGTGGAAAAAAAAAACAGGGGGGGTGGATATAAACCAAATTTCAGTGGCATGATATTAATGCAGTGCAAAGTGATTTATATTTTCTGGGCTCCTATCAAACATGTCTGTTAGAAGTCATTTGTATTTAAATGAGAGTAAAAAGGAAACTAATTCCACTTGCTCTCCTCACTCCCCCCCTTTTTGTCCCTGTGACCAGAGCTGGTGCAGAAGATGACTTTATGTTTGTACTCCAAATCCCCTAATTCAAGCATGCCTTCCACAAAATAAAAAAATCACCAGTGTATTTAGACAATCCCTACTTGGAAGCAAAGTCTGTGGAGGTGGGGTAAGAGGTAGAGACAAGTCTGGAGGACCGAGCTCCCACATTTTAAGGGCGTTTATGAATTTAGAATAGCTCCACTTGTTAAAAGGAGGAACTTGTAAGAGTGTTTTCAGCTATGCATTTTGAATCTCAAGTTAGGCTAAAGATGGTTCTTGTTGCTTCTGAACAGATTCACCCATCTCTAATAATTACTGTTAATTAAAAAGGTCTTTGTGCCCTGAGCAAAGTCTGACAGCGCGGGAAGGACTCGGGTTCAGAGAAATCGCTTAAAATATCTTGAGGGAAAAATTTCCAGTGTTTAATTGGAAAGCTGGTGCCTGCAGAGCTGACTGTGCTATTACTGGCATCCTCCTCTCCCAACAGCCGGCGTTGGGAGCCTCTTGCCGGTCCTGCGCCGGGGACCTCATCCCGGGATGGGAGCGGGTGGGATGCCCCTCTCTGGGCAACCCCTTCGCGCAAAAGCAACCAGGGCACTGGCCCAGCAGCTGCCTGCCACGGGGCGCTCCCCACGTCCTGCCCAAGGACCTTTCTTTGGGGAGAAAACCCATAAATCGGCAAAGAAGCTTGCCAAAGCGGCTCTTACCCGTGTGCCCTTCTCTCCGTTGGCTCCTGGAAATCCTGGGAAGCCGATCGAGCCCTTGGGGGAAAGAGCAAAGAGAGAAAAAGCTGTTCAAGACGTGGAAAGGGGCAGCTCTGTCCATCCACACCAGGCGCCCGCTGGCCTGGAATAACCCCAGCGAGCGCCTGCTGACGTCTACAGCTCCCAACGCTTCTTTTTTTAACCTTCCTTTAATAAAAACAAAATCGAAGACAGACCCAAAATGAACTCAGAAACTAAATTTCATCCAAAAATAACAAAAATAAAGGTCCATGCCTCATTAGGAGTCACAGCAAAGGCCCAAGCCCATGGTTGTGCTGGGCACCTGGGGAACAGGCAGGCTTTTGTTTTTTAGCTCCTAAGTCACTATGTTGCACATGAAAATTTAACTCCTGGCTTGTCCCTTTCTGATCTGAGTGCCTGGAGAATAGCTGCTGCTGCTTTTAAAATATGAATTAGTCAAAGAAATGCAAAAAAACCCCTACCCCAGATATAAAATGCAAATTAAAAAATAAACCATCAACACCACAACCAGGAAACAATCTCTTGCAGATAATTATGTCTCCAGTGTTAAACAAGCCTTTTTTTTTTTTTTTCAAGCAGTGAACATGAATAATAAAATATGATTCTCAAAAAAAAAAAAAAGTTAACAAAAACATAAGTTCCCAAAGCCTCCAGGGTGTGTAAAAACTGGGCTGCAACCTTAGTCTGGGTAGTGGAATTCACAGTTTTAATTTAAAAAGAACATTTGAAAATGGCCCAAATGAAGGTGGGCGTATAGATAAGACACAAAGGATGTTTGTAAATCTGCAAATGGCAATTTTATTTTAATTTCAGGGAGATCCTGATTCATTAGCTATTCTCCTTAATTAATTAGTTAACACTAGCACAGATCTTTGAAGATATAAAACCTAATACAAGGAGAAGAACTACTACTAGCATGAAAGCTCACATGGACCTTGTTTATATCCATCACCAGAGCAGCAGTCCTGCATGCCCACGCGTGCTGCAGCCCCTGTCCCACTGCAGCTCTTCCCACCGTTTTGCAGGAGCCTGGAGCGATGCAGAACCAGTTGCCCAGTTCCAGCAGTTCCAGGCTGGGAGCTATTTTTACCCATTTATAAATTTGTCCTGCAGGGGTGGGAAGGAGGGACCGTGCGGTGGGAAATGCCGCTGCTCCACCTCGTCCCATTAGAGGGGGCTGAGCCCCCTGCACAGCACCACCAGCAGAGCTTGGCCGTGGCCACTGGGCTCCCCGCAACCCCCGAGGACTGAACCCACTCGAGTTACCTTTGGGCCCTGCCTGCCCGGGTAGCCGGGCAGTCCTGGCACGCCGAGTTTTCCCTGAAACACAAATAACAGCGTGTTAGCGTGAGAGACCTTCCGATTTGCACCGGCAGAAAGGGGAGATGTCAAGTGCAGAGGAGTCAAGAGCAAAGCGGATATTACATGGGTGGAATAAAGCTGTCAGGGCACTGCGATCATCCCCTGCCCTCCCTGGAGGAAGCCCAGTGGCTTTGATGCAGACTGAGCACTGTAAATGTGTCAGAAAACTAGTAAGGAATGGCTATTTTTTAATACTTTTTTTTTTTTTTTTTTTTCAACTGGCTGCACCTAGAAATTAGACTGGAGTCTACCTTCAATCTCCATTTTTTTCCTCTGGCCTTTTTTTCCAAGACATTGCACCCAAGCAGATAACCCCAAAGAGATCAATGTCGCAATGTGCTCAAATCACTCTGCTGCAGTAGAACCATCTCCCTCGGGTCTCCTCTGGTCTTTGTGTTGAACAACTCTGGCCAACCTTCACACAAAGCTCCCACAGCTCCTCTTCATCGTCCCTCTGTGCCAAAACCACCCCCCCATGCTGGGCACTGCCCCGGCCACCCACCCAAGAAACCCAAAGAAAAGTGGGTTTTGCTGTAGAACCTCCCTGGGTGATTCCATCCCTGGGACTCACCTTCTCTCCAGCAGGACCAAGAGGACCGGGATCTCCATTGGGGCCAGAGCGACCTTTGGGACCTTCAGGACCATCCTCACCCCGGGGGCCAGGAGGTCCAATTTCTCCCTGTTAATCACAAGACAAGCATTGACGAGGCAGGCAGGTCCCAGACCCCGTGTTTGCTGACAGCGATACCCTCCTGGCTCCAATCAGATACTCGATGGAGCTGCTGATACAACTCTTAGAGAAAGCTGGTCTTCACCAAGAGGCTCAGACGAGACTGTAAATTGCCAAGCGTTATTAGAGCACCAAGCTTTCATTCACACAGCCTGGCCATTATCTCCCACAACAGCCGTCTTGTCCTGTGGCCCAATTATCCCATCTACAACGCAGCATCTCTCCACCGAAACAGCCTTCATTAGCTCTGATTGCAACCCACCCTTTCACCCACCTCCCAGTTCCCAAATTGCAGTTTGATGTGCAAGCAAGCCCTGGGAAGTGTTTAATTGAGGGTTGAACCAGGCAACTGGAGAAGAAAGACTGGGCTGGGGTTTTTATGCTGAAAATCATTAGGAAATCTGAGAGCGGACCAAGCTATTAACGTGAATTGTTGTGACGCTGCAGGCTTTGGCACACAAAACAACAGTTGTCATTTTGTCACACAGGGTAACGGGAGATGCCTCCACGCTGCGAACACAGGCAGCCGCCTTCTCGCTCACCAGAAGCTGGGGGGGAAGCAGATTTATCTGCGAGGCTCTTGAGTACCCCTTGTCTTTTCCTTGCTCATCAGAAAAGAACAAAGCAAGCTTGCTCATGGGAACTGGAGTTGCGAGCTTTATTTGAAGAAGCTTATGTCTATCTGCCTTTGGCAAGGACAGGAGTCACCTCCCTGAGATGCCACCTTTGGTTCTTGTTACTTGGTGAGAAGCGGGGGCTGGGAAAGCTTCTAATTATTTTAACTGTTCAATTACACAGTTGAACACCAGGAGAAATGGAGGATTTGATGTCTACTTTCACAAGTAGACAGGCGAGGCATTCATTTTTCCTTAAGCACAGGGGTGAGCGACAGCAGAGCTCTCCTGACCCCTGGGAGGGCTTCAGAGCTCAGGGGGAACACCAAGCCCCAGGCGATGCATCACTCAGAGAGGGGACGAAGACGGCCCCTGTCCCCAAGGGCTGGGTGTTGGGGGACAGACAGACACACTGCAAAGCCATGGGCTGCAGCCACTGCCCCCATCTGAGCGTGGTCTGGGGTGTCCGGGGGTCTGAGTGTTCCACCGATTTTAAAAGCTTTTGAGACCAGGCAACACGCCTTGCTGCTAAAGACGCGAGGCTAAGCGAACACTCCACCCCTGGCAGCTCTCACAGCGCTGCTCTGGTTTCTGTTAGTGTGTTCCCAGTAACTTTATACGTCACGTTGATGGGATGGAAGCACATTAGGCTCAGCAAATAAAGATGCCTACCAGACCCTAAGTGTAATATTACGGGGAAAAAGAGATACTGGAAATAAATACATGATGCAGCTGGATCACACAGTATTCCTAGCAGTCAAAGCAGCAAGACAGGGAGGGCCCTGTGTTATTGCTCGGTTTTATTTTACCTTCAGGGTGGGATTAGCAAATTTAGGGATTAACAACTGCTATGCTTGAGGTGAATATGAAATTCTTCTGTTCCTGCCTCGAGATCGGACGTGCCAGGACTCTGACAGGAGCCCACCTTGCTCTCCCCGAGCCGCGTTTGCACGATAACGCACGGGCTTGACAGGCAAAGCACTGCAAGATCACATTGGTCATAGACTCTTACCCGGTCTCCTTTGATGCCCATATCACCTTTGAAGCCAGGGAAGCCATCTTCACCCTGAATAACAGAGAGGGGTAAAACCAGACAAGATGCATAGATGGAAAAAAAATTAAAAAAGGCTTTTCTAGCCTCGCTTTATGGCCCCTACTTGGGGAGGACAAGATGAGGTGCCCGCACTACCCGTCACATTGGCTTCTGTAAGTCTTTGGTGTGCACAAACGAGCGTGGAAACCCAGCCAGGAGGTGACTGCTGAGGTCCCCAAGGGATCACAGCAAGTATTCCCTACATCCCATCCTGGCTGCAAGTCAAGATCACAAATCTGGCCCGATGTGAACAGTAACATCTTGCCAGTACTGGGAACCAATTATTTCTGAAGTACAACTGGTTTTATTTTCATGGAGGATGTTTTACACCATGCTTCGAGGCAACCTCTAAGACAGCGGCAACATTTCTTTCAGCCAAGAAGGTTTAATTGCAGAGCTCAAATCAATAATGTATTTCATCCTACAGCAAATCTCTCATAGACAATGAAGACACAGTTCCCAGAATGACTTTTAAAGTTTGGAAGATCAGGAAGCCTGGACTCCCTAGTTAAAACTGCTGGCTCTGCTGTAGAATTGCTGGGGGCAGGAATGAAGGAACATGGATCTGTTTATGGGTCTGGGTAAGATTTTTTTCCACTTTCTGCTCTTCCTCTGGAAGAAACCAATTGCATCTTTGAGACACGCAGAGATAAACTGTGTGGACCTTCTTATTGACTTGGATTTCACAAGCTCTGATGACCAGGCTTGCAGCATATTCCATATGCTGTTACCCAGCTGTAACACACCACAAGCCCTTCCACTGAATCACTCAAGCTGCAAATTTTGTCAGGAAGAAATGATCCCAATGCTGGACCCTGAGCTATCAGTGACAGTTGGCCCCAGCAAAAATCTCAAAACCTGAACACATAGAGGCTCGATTACTCCCAGGTCCAAGCCAAGATGTGGCAGAACATCACGGCAGGTACCCAGCCTGTGCCTGCTCCAAAGATAAAGAGGTTACCAGTCCTTTGGGTACTCAGCTCCCTGCTCATCTAAGAGAAACCCCCATGCAGCAGAAAATGCCCTGGGGAGCATCTTGTGGGACAGATCTGCAAAAATGCTCAGAGACTGTAGAAAGTCAATCTAAATGTGTAGTGTTAACTCACCTTTTCACCTTTGGTGCCTTTCAATCCACGAACACCATCTGCTCCCTTGCAGAAGATAAAACAAGATGTTATAAACTTAAGAGTGAAAAATCATTAATCATTGGGATTTTTGCTTCCTCCGATGTTGACAATGGTATCTCTCCAAACTGTGATGCTCCTAAACATATTGCTAATCAAATAGCAGTCACTGACATCTGGCTTTTGGGTCACCAGTGAGTACCTTATAGTCACAAACCTCTGCTGACTTGATTTGGCAGGTGAGGCAGTGGTCTCTGCCCATTCCCTGGCTGGGAATTATATTTCTAGGGATAAAGCTTACTATGAAAAGTATTTCTGTGTCTATTTTCCAAAAAAACATTTCCACAAATGCTTTGCCAGCATGCTGAGCTCACTCAACTATTCACAGAAAACGAGTGCTCAGGCTGTGCACGGACACTTGGGAAGTGAATCCATTTTAAAATCTCTGAGCAGATAGCTAGAGAGTTCTGTGCTGCTCTGCAGCGGGTAGCAGCACTGAGTCTAACACCCCCAAAGGTTAAGCTTGGTTCTTTTTTACCATGGTTCTCACCTCTGTGCACGCACTTTTTAAAAAGTACATTTAGGCATCAAAAAGTGGAAAAAAAAAAAAAAAAAAAAAGTGACACAACTGGTGTGGGTGTTTGTGACATGGTGCAGAAGCCCTCCAAAGCTTCACCAAGGCAATCAGTCCATGGAGTTCAGCCTGGAGGTGCTGAGTGTGGTCAGGATCTGGCCCCTGCTATGCCACTAGCCCAAACCTGTTGGACCCCCATGCATCCCATCTATTCTGCTTCCTGGGACAAAATGTCACCCTCAGGTACCTACATCAGCTGTACTCTGCATTGCAACTCTTAAATTAAAAAACAAGCTTTTTTTTTTGAGGGGGGGTATTTTCTGTTTTTTTTTTTTCTTCCCTTTAGTACATCAAGAAAATGTATAATTAAAAGTACATCAATACTTGTGCATCAGGACAGGGTTCTGGTAAGCGAGGCAAGATCTAAAATTTATTTATAGCTGCAAACCCCTGAGACACATTTTTTTTTGAACTGGAGGCTCATGCAGTTAATAGAATGCTGCTTGTAAGAAGCAAAACCTCGTGTGTACGTGCTACGGGTTTGGTGCATGACACACTTTCTCTAGATCACTCTAATGTGGAACAGTTCCACTTTAGTGGTAAACACAACAGCAAACCATTCCCTAATGGACCACTACGTCTCAATCTGCAACCTTGCAAGAAATGAGATGAAAGCTTGCTTTGGCTAAATACATCCTGCTTAAATTTTGAAGGCAGAGCAGCAAATGGGTTTCTGCTATTGAAAAAATGCACAAGGTGGTTTAAGAGGGCTTAACTTCACCTACAGTCAGTCCCCGAACTGTGTTTGTATCTGCTAGTACAGATCCCTGCAGATTCGCTGGACCTTTGGGATGCAGGATGCATCTGCACCTGAACTAACACATCTTGATGGGCAGAATACCCAGAGCTGAACGGGTCAAAAAATACCCATCGCCTTCTTATCAACATGCAAGTGCTGCAGGCAGCAGGAGCAAGGAAAGAGCTGGAATTCAGTCCAGTGAAAAAGCACATTGCTGAGACGCACAAGCTTCATCTAACAAGGTTTTGGATCAGGAGCATGAAAAGCTTGCTTTGTTTTAGTAATAGGCTATTTTGTTTTATTAACAAGCCTTGTTAAAGTCTTCACATTCTGGCTGAGATTTACTTTGGTTGTAAACTGGAAACGATTGGAATGGGACTGAGCCTCGCTCATGAAGAATTAAATGAGAAATCTCTCCAAAGCACTGAATGATGCTAGAAGGGGTTATAGGAGAGCAGGGGACCTGCAAGCTTCATGGCCTGCAAGAAGATGCTGGACCAATGCTCACTTGAGCAGTAAATATGGTTGGTCACAGAAGTGGCCCTCAGCACCCTGGCAGGGCATCTGTGGCCAGTGGCAGTGTCCAACTCCAGCACAAGCCAGAGAACTCAAACTGAACAAGCAAATCCATGGACTGGATCCTCCTTACCTTGACTCCACGTGGTCCTGGATAACCGATGGGGCCCTGAGGACCTGGTGGACCCTGGGGTGAAAAAAATGCAACCAAGAAAAACCCATCAAAAATCAACACAAAGGTGCAGCGATAAGGAAAATGTGTGGAAAACAAATATCCCAGCCATCTGGCTGCTTCAGACCAGGTGGAAATGGCAGTGGCTAACTGAAAATAGCTCAAAATAGTATAGAGAGCTACAGGAACATTGCCTTGAGCGGGTGCACTGGGCTGAGCCAGCAGCAGAAGTCCACACGATAGAAAAGGAGGAAGAGAAAAGACAAGACAGCAACAGCTTGTTAGAGAGGGTGCTTATACATAAGATTGGCGATTTATGTTTTGGATTAAAGAATAGGACAAGTTCTCTGAGAGAGGAAGAACATGTGCTGTTGTCTCCCCCCTCCCAAACCATCCTGGTTTTGCAGCGGTGCAGCAGAGCTTGTCATGATGATGATCACAGAGAGGAGTTATTGCTTGAGGCATAAGCCTCGGGGTGATGTCCTTTAGGCCTCAGCTGTGTGGGAGAGGAGATGTTCACAAAGCTCCTTTCTGGCACCAAGAGCTACAAGTCCCCAAGGACATCCATGAGCTGTGCTGGAACATGGTGCCCAATACACACCCTGCAAAAACTCTCCTTCCCACCCTCGTTGCCACGCTGCCTTATACCTGCAAATAAATCACATTCTTTATTGAACCCAGTTGGCTTTTATTTTGTTCAATTACCTAACTAAACAAATACCCTTCCATTTCTCTCAGCCCAAGATGGACAATTTTTTCCAGACTGGCAGCCAGACGGAGCCGACGGGCCCGCCAGCATCCCAGACCTTGCACGAGCGTTGTCTGGAGGAGACCTGCAGCACCAGTGCTGTTCCCAAATCGCCTCCCTGATATTTGCTAAACATCTCCCGGCACAGGGAGCACTGGCACACCCACTTATTAGTTTCTTGTATTCTGCAGAGACCAGCATTTGCATTTTTGGCCTCATGTGATGCCAGCTGGACAACTGTGGCTGTGGGTTGTGCTCTGTGAAGCACCCCAGCAAGACTCGAACGGATGCCCATCAAACAAGACTGTGCTCTAATCAAAGACTTTTGACAAATGTAATGTTTTTCAGCTGAAAGGGACACAGCGGGAATGCAGATGGTAAATCTCCCAGACAGACAGATGACTGTATAATTCAAGGACTCTAGCCTCCAGCAATATTCTCAAATAAATTGTTAAAGAGGGAGGGGAAGAAAAAGTAAGACCAAGAATATGAAAATTTCTGCATTCTCTGTGCCACGAAGGATATTTATTTGTGTCTGATTAAGAGAAGGCTTCCCTTCGCAGTTTCAGTTTTCGTGTCTGTTGGGCTACGGAGTGCTGCTTGCCAGGGAGGAGTTGAGAAAAGACCAGCCCAAGCAGCAGGAGAGATGCCCAAGCAGATGAAAGTTGGGCTCAGCTTTCAAATTTCCAGAGGGTTTGCTTTTTGCCACCTTCACTGACCCACATCCCCTGGAGCCCTGTAGAGATCTGTCTCCATCCAGCTCCCACGACCTTCCCCCTTAGCCGTGATGAGGATCTTGTTGACACCTACCTGACTCCCCTTCTCTCCAGGAGGACCTTCCTTGCCAGGATGACCCTATTAAAAAAAAAGAGAACAGGGAAATGGGTTTAGTGCACACCTAATGCTTCAGAAGCCAACAAGCTCCCTCAGGCAGCTATGATTTATTTGTAAGAGAACAGTTGCTCTCCAGGAAGCTCATACTGACACAAGTAACCCCCTGAAGCCAACTTGCAAGAGTCAGCTTTCCCCAAATTGAAAAGACCTGCATTTGGGTCTCTGCTGGTATTCTAGCTGGCTATTTTACTCTTCTACTCTTCACCACATTTCAAGCAGGGAAGCACAAGCCATTTTGCAATATTCTTCACATATTAGAACACCTCACTGAGTTCAGCAGCAAGCAGCATATAAATTTTGCAGATAGGAAAGCAGACAAAATTGTCTTCACAAAAACTTGTGAAGGTCACGAGATGCCCAGACTGGTCAGAGCCCCTCATTAATTTCCTAATTCCTAGAGTCCATTACAAGATCTCATGACAAATGCTCAGCTAACCTGCATCCCCATTAAACGCTGTCTGGCTGGACACTGGCCAGCATTCCTCTTGGGATTTGATGCTGAATAACTCAATATCCAAGAGTTTCCAACACATTCTCATTCATAGCTTTTAGAAGCCTTTTGCTGGGACTGCAGTCAGTAGAAAACAAAAGTGTGAATTGCCTCAGATATAGCTTGGAGGATTAGTGGAAAACAGGGGAAATCCATGACTGTAGTTTTCAGTGTTGGATCTCCCTACTGTCAGAACCAAAGTGAAGCCAGGATGGAAGGTGATCCTTTGGTTGGCAATGTCTGTACAGAAGCAATAAGCCCCCACAAGGGCACTCACTGCACACCCAGGGACCTTTTATTTTATAAAGACAATGAAAACACATCCAGCTGCTCTAAAGCCACTAAGTCCTTCTGCAATCAATGGTTTCTTTACTTATGAACTCTCCTCTAAACACACAAATTATTTTCTACCAACATAACAAGGAAATTCATAAGAGTATTTTCCATCATCAGTCTTCAGAAGAGCAATGTCAGACAAGCCAGATTTCATAAAACAAGGTGGTTTAATAAAGAAACAAAATGACAGCTGTCATTTTTACATCAATAAAATGTAGGAGAAAATGCAATCTGAATTTGTCCTGTGAGTTTAAATGGCACCAAAAGCATCAGTGCATAGAGAGGGTCATGTAACCGTGCTTGCCTTCAGCTCCAGATATCTCTCTGCACCCCAGGGGAGGCAGAATGGAAGTGGAGCAAGATTTCAAAAGCCTTTGTCCACTCTGCACTAAATCATCACCGTTTCCAAAATGCCCATCTCCATTACTGCTACTAAGCGCAAGAATTGATGAGCAACTTGGTTGACATTTGCAGTGAGATGCTTCAGGCACTCAGGGATTTTCAGATATCTTCCAAAACTAATTTCTCTAAAGAGAACGTGGGCGGGTTTTTGTCCTTGGAAAGAGCAACCCATACGCTTACAAATCGGCTGCAAACTACAGGGTTACCTGTGGCAAAGGACCCGTGTCCATGCACACCCACACATGCTCAGCCTGCAGGTTTTATACAGCCTTCAGTCTGCATAAAAATAGACCTGGCGTCTTCTCCAGCTGAACTTCCCTGGAGGCTGCTGCAGGAATTTCACATCAAAAACTACAGCTTTAGAGATGTTCTGGGCTTTGCTTTAGCTGCTCTGTTGACTCAGCTAACAATTGTACGAATGTTTGAAATGTCCTCTGTAGGAATGATAATCCCAGGGTGGGAAATGTAATTTTTTTTTGCCATGTTCTGCATTTGCATTAGTGGAATGTAACTATTTTACATTTGTCACTCTTAAAACCAGGTGCCTCTGAGGTGTGTAAAAATGAGATCAGGTTTAAAGGCCAGAGATTTTTAAGATCAATTTCTAGAGCAAGGAGCATATTACATTTAAAGTGGGATTAGGAGGAAGCTGCAAGAATACAACACTGACACGCAATTTCAACCTGTTCTTATCACCGTTCCGCAGCAGTGCCCAGCAGCCCCGAGCAGGATGAGGACCACCCCACGCTAGTGCTGTGGTACCCACAAACACACACAGAGAGGAGATCGTCCCCACCTCTGTGAGCCGCCAGCCTACCTAAAACAGAGAGGAGAAGCAGGAGGAGGGGAAAGAGAGGCCCGAAGAGAGGGCGAGGAGTACCTAGTGCTGCGCTGCGAGGCCAAGCAAAGCTTGGAGCAGGGACGGGGCTTCTCAAACTCAGACCCTTCAACCCAGCTGAAACACGGGCAGGGTGAGCCCAACCTTGCAGGCTCATGTGCTTCACGAGCCCACGGTGCACCCCAGGGTGGATGGGTGCAGGATCAGGAGCCCCAGCCCCGGTGCCAAGCAGAGACCCAGGAGAGGATGACTTACCGGAGGACCATCTGCACCAGGCATGCCAGGAAGACCGGGTTTGCCCAACGGCCCCTGAAAACAAACAGAAAATCAACAGCTGCAACAGTCAGAGTCTCCAGAGCATCAGAGGACGGGGCTTTTCAGACACTTTTCTTGCTTTTCCTAGCTGTGAAAGGCTGCAGAGAGGCAAGTCTGTTGGAAAAGCTGCCGTAACTTGTAAGGAGTCTGCTTATTTCTGTAGGCAGAGTTGTTCCAGCATCCTGGAATGCTGCAGTATTATTGCTGGCACCTCACACGTGCAGACACGATACAGCAATGAGAGCTCAATGGGAGGTGGGGCGTGAGGTGCCAAGCTGCTGTCCGGTTGAAAGGGCACGACGCTGCACACATGTATAAGCACAGGTTGGAGGATATCAAACTATGGGGCTCACTGGACTGAGAAATGCCCATTCTTTGGTGACAAACGGCAAGGCGATTAACTGGAAGAGTGGAGCTGCCCGAATTGACTTGTGCTTGCTGCTTTAACACCATTCAGTGATTACTTTTTTAATTAAGCAGCCCTCTGATTTCTCACACCACCCAGGAGTGCCACTACTGTTGTGTGTGACTCAGCGCTGAAACCCCAGAGCCCTTTATGTGGCAGAACTGCTAATGTGCTCCTTCGCAGGAGAACTGTCAGTGATTTGAGTCCACCCCACACTGCCAACACAAGCAGGGGGTTCTCCTGGTGCACACGCCAGGACGCAGCTCAACAGGAGCTGAGCAAACACCCGGAGAATTACTGCTCTGTAGGCAAAACTGTTCCCCTTGTTTAAATCCTGATGGTCTCAGGGTTGGCTGGGGGGAACCGAGGCCAGCACCTACCCCACGGCAACAGGAGTGGAAAATCTGAGAGATCTGGCACAGGCGGGGAGCAATGAGGAGGCAGAAGGACGGGATCTCGGCTGAGCGAGCCAAATTCACAGGCTCTTCCCATTACCATCCTGCTCAGACTTCTAGGCATTTAGCCCACAGAAAAAGACAATTTTCGGTCCTCTCCTAATGCTTTACCATAGGCTGCCTTCAAAATGTTTCTCTTAAGAGGGGAAATGAATGCAAATATTATGAATTAGAGGTAAACCGTGCTTTCTTGTCTCTTCTGTCTGGAATGAGAGGCATTAGACTTTCATAGACACGGCTGCAAACAGATGTTGCATATGGGGCAAAGGAGCAGCTGAAGTAGCAAATGCATATTAATGGTAACAGTTGCCTTAGGTCAGAGCTCCAGTATTTAAACGTACTTTCTCTCCTGGGGGACCGATGGCGCCTTGTGGACCTGGAAGACCCTGTGAAAAGAAAAAAACTAAGGGTCATTAAGGAACAAGTTATTCCTTCCAAATGCATTTTGGCAGTGCCTCAGCTGAGCATCATTCTAGTGCCTGCAACGGCTGGGGATTTCCCCAGCTCCATTCATTCTCAAAACGTCTTGTAAGAGACTATAAAATTTCATTTCTGCACGGCATGCCTCCTCTGGAGAGCTGCACTGTTCTACTGCATGCAGCCAGGCTCATCCCCAGGATGGAAATGGAGATGCTCTGAGGAGCAAGACTTGCTGAGAGCCGTGGAGAAGGCTGACAGTAAGGCTTGGACATCTGTATTACCCATCTGGCTCCAGAGCAACCGGACCGTGGGATGTTAAAAATCAGACATGAGCCACAAGATGTGTCTCGGCTGAAGAGACCGCTTGGACCAGGGTTTGGCTTTGCATCATGGCACCAAAGCCAGGTGAGGACCAGGGGGCTCTGAGACTGGGAGCATTTTCAGGAAGATTTTGGGCCAGCGATGTATCGTTAAGCCAATTCCCAGCAAATCCCCTTATTGCTGGTCCCATCTCTGGCTGGGGAGCAAAGCTTGTTCAAAATTATCATTCCTTTTTCCTACTCATGGAAAAGGAGTTTTCCTCTTACCTGAGCACCTGGGTTACCCTGCTGTCCTGGGGGACCCGGCTCACCTTGAGGACCCTGTGAGGAGACAAGGGCAGAGCTAAAAGCAGAAGCAAGAGCAGGGCCAGTGCAAATCCCCACACCCTCTCGCAGTATCTCGACACCCTCTAACCCATCGCCTGTACTCGAGAGCTCCTGGGAAAGGGAAACAGCTTCCCTCTGCAGTGGGATAGGGAGGGGAGAAGTTATTTCAGGGCACGCTCGCTTCTCTGCATGGACACGCAGCCCAAGTGAGCTGAGCACGGCTTTGACACAACCTGGCTTTGCACTGGCTCTTCTGCATGGAGTCAAGTATGAGGCACACAAAGATTTTTTTTTCCTCTTGGTTAAATTACTGTATTTTGACATTCATTAGAACAACACACATCTCGATGAAAATGTTTCATCTTTCATGGGGAAATAATGTGTAATTCCATCAGAAATTATAATAAATTAACATCCATTTGTTCTAGGAGATACGCTGTGGTTTTCACAGGCTCTGATAGGAATCTAGACCAGGCTAAAAAGCAATTAGTAAATCTAATTTATTAGAGTACATTTTACATTTTGCTCTATATAATATCTGAACTGTCTGTAAAATTTACATGGAAAACTTACCACATTCCCCTTGGGACCTGTTTGTCCATCCATACCAGCCACACCCTGAGAAAGGATTTAAAAAACAGCACTAAGAAAATATCTCATTATTTTGCACTGTAAAAACAGAGAAATTGTCATAAAAACAACAAAACTCCAGGAGGCCCTTTGGACCACGTGGAAAGAGAACAATTTTCTAAAGGTGTTTGGTAAAGCGGCCAATCTGACAAATCCAGTTTACTTTAAAAAGTCATTTCAGTGTTTTCCCCGCTGGTTTAACCTGCCTGTGAGGCAGAACCAGCACCAGGTCAAGCAAATCCTGGCTAAGTACCGCAGCCGGATTGCCGCCGACAGCGAGCAGGAGTGGAGTAGCACATGAAGAGGAAAAACTGCACAAATGACCTCGCTCGGGACACAAATGCATCGTTCAGCCAGGCAACAGGTGAAGGCAACGGGGCTGCGCTGCCTCGTGCCAAAAGGAATATCTGACCACAAAGGGCAACTGGGGTCAAACACACCCTGAGCATCTTCATTAAGGGGGTAACACGGTACACGGTCAACTGGAGGTGTCCCGCCGGGGGTTCCCCGGCCACTGTTTTACTCTGGTGGAACAATTTATCTGGGTGTAACGGCCTTTTCGTGCAATACAAGACACTTTTGGAGCGGATCCTGAATCCTCATTAAATTTCAGCAGGACTAGGAGCTCAAAGCAAAGACGACTTTGTGTTCCAGGAGGGGTTAAGGGCTTCACGACGCTCCCCATTAAATGCTGACCCCTTTACCTCTAGCAGCAGCCCGGGTTTTGGTTTTTAAGTTCTGGGACTTCAGCGAGCTGCAGTGATTTATGGAGAGAGCCCCGGCATCAGCACTTCCAGCAGCGCATGACAGATAAGTTGACTGTCTCCCGAATAAAAAACGGCACCGTTCTTTCCTCAGCTTTCATCCGAAATATGAACAAACTGCTTTAAAGTCTCACCAGCCCTCAGGCAAAAGTTAATAGCAAAGCCACTGTGTTAATAACTCTCATTCTTCCCTTTCAGCCTGAGCAAGGCATTAATATTTACTCAGGTGGGCCAAATCTTGAGCTGCTGTAAATGGACGTGATGCCACTGAAAATGGGGGAGAACACAGACTTTGAGGCATAACTTTTCTTTGAATACTACTTCTCACTGCACAGATGTATAAAATTATGTAGCTGCATTATCTACTTGAATGACTAATGGGAACGGGGTATTTTGCCCGGAAGGCTCAGCTGCCTGCCCGAGGAGGGCAGCAGCCCCAGGAACTCACCGGTGGCCCCGGGGGTCCCGGCGGCCCCTTCGGTCCCAGCAGTCCTCGAGGTCCCTGTTGGGGGAAAGAAACGGGGTTAGTGTTCCTGGGACCCCCCCGTACTGCCGGGAGCATGGAGTGGGGTGAGCTGGCAGAGCTGAGCATCGCTCTGCCCAGGGCAGCGTCGGTGCTGGCATGGCAATTACTTTGCTGGTTTTGCAGTAATGGCAGCTTTCTTGGTTTACAAACTGGTAAGAGAAATCCTGTGTGCACAGATCCTTGAATTCTAAAGATAAATAATATAGGCATAGACATTTATTCTTTGGATTGGAAGAAGGCCCACTGTAACCAACTTTTTTATATTAATTTAATCATATTCCTGGATTACCCTGTAATTCACATGATGCAAAATACTTTGCAGCCAAGTCATTCTAGCCAGGAAGTATTATGAAGAATGACCTGATACCACTAATGGATTATTAGGGTTAGCATTTCAAAATCTCCCCAGATTTAATTTTTATCATTGACAATCTATACATCTCAGCAAGGCTGGAAAAGGTTTTCAGCCTGCAGCATAAATGTACCTTTTCAAAGGCGTTTAGTGCTTAAACCTTAAGCAGTCAGGACTCGTGATATCACAGTGTTTTCTTTCCATTTCTAGCTTTCTCACCAGATTTAACCTTGCATCATCTCCAGGGAAATTGGGAGGATTGGAGCATCACATTGAATAAGCAGAGACATGGCAGGAGAATTGTATTCATTCAATAGGACGCTTTGCAAATCACACACCAGGACCTCCTGTACCTTGAGACTTCAGGTGGGTTTGTAGCAAAAGGAAAGGGATGGAGTCATGTGTGCACTCAGCTGCAGATCTGAAAGCTCACCCTTTAAACGCAGGCTCTTTCTTAAATTAGGGACCATAGGGGAGGCTCTGGATATTTAAAAGGATGGTGCTTGTTCACTGTCACAGAGGAAAATTGTTCTTGACTGATGGGCAGTTTTACCTGTCTGCCCAAATATTATACGTCCCTTTTTATGATGCAGAGAGGACAGAGGATTTAAAATGAAATGTTACAGGATAAAATAGGAGACATTAAGGACGTGTCTGATTTGGGAGGCTGCGGGGGTTTTGATCCTGCAAAAAAACACAGTTTGCAGCAAAAACTGGATGCATTGACCAAGTGGTCTATCCCAGCCACTGAAGACCTTCACGGGCTAAAGCCTTGCATGCTGAGCCCCAGGCAGAGCAGAAACTCTGCTTGTATCAACTGGAGTTGTGAACTGGAAGGAATTGGAACAGGATGAAGAGAAACAGATTTTGAAGTCCCACTACCAGTTTCAGTTATCATTAAATTTGGAAAGACCCTCTTTTGGCTCAGGGCAGAGAAGATGACAAACATGCAGATTTAGGGTGTATACATTTATGACCAAAAGTTTTCTGTAATGCAGTTTAAACCTTTACTCTTGCCATCACAGGTATTTTTACAGGTTGCTGAAATAAGAATAAACTTCCCTGCGTACATTATTGTCATTTAAGTTCCTCTCTTTTGTTACTGTATTACCTGAGCATATAAACACTTTTAAGAAGTTAATAATCCATAAGTTATTGCTTAGACATGTGCTAAGGAGATAGCTGAGTTGATTAATCTTTCCCAGAAGTTAATCAGACATCTTGTCTATAATTTAGTTCCAGTGAGTCCTTAAATGCCAACTCTTCCCTTTCTCACATGAAGTGTGTCCAACAGTTCTCATCAATTACTCTCAGGCCACCACGCTGGGCCTTGGAACAACAAAATAAGACAATTTGAAAGCAAAGACGATAGTAAATGATAGATAATGTTGTTTTCATAACCAAGGAAATGCATTTTGGATGAAATAAACAGCCAACAACTGTACTACACACAAAAATCTACAGACAGCCAGAAGCAGTGTTTACCATTGCCAATAAAGTAAAAAATACTTGGTATTGGGGAAAAAAATGTTTTCAGTATCTCAAATTGACAACCCAACTGTTTACTTTCAGTGGGATACTCCCTGAAAGCATTTCTTTGGTCTGGTCAGGAGATTTTTGTTCAACACTCCTAGCATCTCCTTTTAACCTTATCAATACTAGGAACTCCCTCCTTCGCCAGCCCTGGTTCAGCTGCACTGGTGTTAGCAGCATGTGGACGCCCAAACATTGCCAAACTCTGAAGATTTATGAAGTTTTGTGCACTGTGAACAGAATATTGACCCCACTGGAGTCAGGGCAAAATTCCTCTTGAGCTGAATCCTGTCAGGATTTCATCCTGAGATTTAAAAGGGATCACTAACACAAAACTAAGCATGTGGGCAAGGGAATTGCATGGCTAATTGCTGCCATTGCCTGTGCAATAGCAGATAAAACCACTCCTCACTGGAGTTTGATATGAACGCTCACAAAAGCTGTATTTCACATATACCATGCATAATTTCTACCTCAGCCTGCTTACCTGAATCCTAAATAACACATCAGGAAGAAGAATACATGCAGGAAAGGTATGAGAAAAACCTAAGCTAAGCTTTAAATTCAAATTTATAGGGTTTAAAGTTCAAATGTTAGCCAGAGAGCTATCAAAATCAATGAGAATTTTGCTCATTAAAAAATTAAATACAAAAAGTCAACCAAATAAAACAAACAAACAAAAGCCCAGAAAGCATCTTCTCTTCTTGGTAGTCCTCTTAGTGGGAAAACAGAGCTGTTACAGCAAATCTAACTCTCTAAACTGCTCACACTGATCTTCAAGCAAGAGGAGCTCAGTCCCTGCAGGAACTTGAGGGTCTTGCTTAGGACCAGAAGAGCTGCCCCACGGGACCCCACTGTTATCTGACCAAGACTTCAATGAAAGCAGCGCTGCTGTGCACCAAGCCAAAGGAGGAGATACTCACAGGTTCTCCAGGTAGACCTCTGGGTCCAACTTCTCCATCATCTCCCTGCTCAGCAGCAAAGGCACAGAGAGAAGCAGCAAAAGAGACAGAACAGGCCAGTTATATTTCAGTCACATCACAGGTGTTTCATTCTTGTTCAATAATCATCACACAGAAAACCAGCCTCCCTGGAGTAATCACAGAATCGTTTCAGTTAGAAAAGAACTTTAAGATCATCGAGTCCAATTGTTAACCCAGCACTGCCAAGTCCACCACTAAACCATGTCCCTAGGTGCCACATCTACAGGTCTTTTAAACACCTCCAGGGATGGTGACTCAACCACTTCCCTGGGCAGCCTGTTCCAATGCTTGACAACCCCTTCAGTGAAGAAATTTTTCCTAATATCCAACCTAAACCTCCCCCGGTACAACTTGAGGCCGTTTCCTCTTGTCCTATCGCTTGCTACTTGGGAGAAGAGACCCACACCCACGTTGCCACAATCTCCTTCTGGGTAGTTGTAGAGAGCGACAGGTCTCCCCTGAACCTCATTTTCTCTAGGCTAAACAACCCCAGTTCCCTCAGCTGCTCCTCAAGACTTCTGCTCCAGATCCTTCACCAGCCTCGTTGCCCTTCTTTGGACAAGCGATAATAAAAGGGTAGCCGTGCATAAGGAAGACCTCATAAGCCTGGAGAATAATACTGCATGTGCAGAATTACTGAGGGTTAGAAATGCTGTAAGGATACTTCATTGTTCATGTCAATGTTTATAAAGATGGGTTTTGCTAATAGACAAGATATTGTAGAAGCAATTCAGGGCATGTGAGTCAATGACCGCATGATTTAGTATCAACCTGAATGGGAAGCCAGCATGGGAGAGCTGCCCTGGGAACGTGATTTAGCCAAATTAGGCCATGGGCCCCTCAGAAACACCAGAGGCAGCAAAGGAGTAATTGCTCACCCCTCCATTCCCATCTCAAGCAGATGCCCCACTGAGTATTAGATGGTGCTTCCCCTGAATTCCTTTTAAATCACCCAAAACCTGAGGCTCCTACTTAGGAGATCAATTCTAACAGCCAGCCCTTGTAAACCCTCCTTTTCTGCTAATAAAATTCATGCTCTTCTTCCCAGTTATGCCCTTCAAGCTTCTCTCCCCAAACACCTTAAATGGTTTATTTTTCTCTCTAGGTTTAAAGTTCTCCAGACACTTGTTCTTCCCCAACAAGACACAGGTTTGGTCTTTTCAACTTAAAAGCGCTTCACAGCCGCAACTAATTAATCCTCACAACCTCATGGTGAGGAAGGTGTCATTATCTGTGCTTTATAGAGGAAAAAAATAGCCAAAGGTGGAAAGAAATTGTGGAGAGGGATTAGAGCCTGGGAAATCCATACTCGCTCCTACGATTAAACCACACGTTCCTCATAGCATGTATTCAGCATTTTCAATCTCTCCTCTTAAACCAGCCCTTCTAGACCTGTAATCACTTAGTTTGAGCTTTGCTAAAGGCCTTCAACTATTGACTAAACAGTGTAGAAGAAGTGAACAATTTAATCTATAATTCCCACATCTGTCCAGAATTTCTGTTCCCCAAGTCTTGCTGCAATTTGCTGGATCTTAAAAAAATGAGCAGCAATAGTTTGCACATCCAGAGGATGAACATTTTTCTTGTGTTATTTTTTTTCTTTTAACAAAAACTGAGTTTTCTGACCAGATCCTTAAAAACAAATTCTTCTTCTCACTTTTATTCCCACCCCCTTGCTCTCCTTCCCTCTGGCCACGGCGACCTGCAGTATCCCCAGCACATGAGGACACAAGGCAGCAGATGACATACCGGTGCTGGCTGCTCTTGCCACGTCTCTGACTGCTACTGCATCTGCTTCTTGTTTGCAGGAGTTAGTTATGAATTCAAAGGATTGCTGAATCCAGAGATAGACTTACCCTCTCCCCATCCTCTCCAGGTGCCCCAGGGGGTCCATGGGGGCCTGGCTCACCCTATAAAGAAACAGCAGGAAAACTTAAGAAAAGGCAGAGATGCTCTGGCAATAGAAAACATTGGGTAACGTTGAGAAACCAAGCACCAGGCTTGACTCTTCTGCCTGCACCATGTGCCAAAGGTACTCATACCCTCATGGTTCCCATCAACCTGGGCTCTCTGAAGCAGCAGCCCTTCTCTACCTGCCCAGGACCATGCGTGGGCTCCAGCACTGACAGACTGATGTCCTCCAGGGGCTAGAGCTCACAGGATTGAGCAGTGACACTTTGGCAGCGGTCTGGGAACCAAGCAGGAGCTGTAGCTCCTTCAAGAGAGGGACTCAGGCTCTGCTCACAGTTATTGCTTTACCCAAGGCACGCTATTCCATTTCTGGCTGATTAAGCATCTCAGGCACCACCTTCCCGTTCCTGTGTAGCTTGTAATCACGATGCAATCTCTGCTGTTCAAACACTCCCTTGCTTTATAAAGCAATGGCTGCACTCTCTAGGGAGGGGAGGCATGCACAGCCTGTCAAAATAACCTGTTTCTTACATTTTTTCCCCATTGTTTAATTATAAAGCGAAGAGAAGAATCCCATTACAATTTTTGGCAATTTCCATCCACAGTTGCACTGTCTAAAAGCAGATTTTGTTTCTTGCTTTATTTTTTAGTCTGCATTTTATTACGGCAATCTTTTTCCCCACCTTCCAATTTCAAGCAGTCCCAGAAGGATCTCGTAGCCTCCCGGGATGTGGATGCCATGCCTGGGAGGGACGCTGTGATATCCTGCACGCTCTTACAGGACACTCATCCTCTCTTAATTGCGTCATTGTGGCTCATCCCCAGAAATAGCTGCCCTCCCTCTAGCACCTCCCAGCCACCTCCTCCTGCCAAGGTTTCATTACTGACTGTGGCCAGAAGACAAGTGGAAGATAACTTACTCTATTTCCCTTCTCACCAGGCAAACCAGCCAAGCCATCAAACCCTCGGTCGCCCTAAAAGAAAAACCAGTTTAGTACACATTTACACCTGCTGTTGAATATCTTCCCAATTTGATTCCTTTCTGTGTCAAGGAGGGATTGATTTTCTCCCTCAGACATTCACCTTCCCCTCCCATCAGACCAGTAATGGTTTCAAAGTTATAGATTAAAAAAAGTAAAAAGCTCAAGGACATATTACCTCCTCCCTCTTCCCTCAGCACCTACAATTTTTAATGTTTCTCCATGTGGATTTCAGAGTTTCTCTGGATGACTTCTCCATGACCTAAAGCATTTCACTTCTGGACTGGTTCTTCTAGTCCAATTGTTTATTTATATGTATTTTTTTAAATTCCATGGAATTACGAATGACAAACCACTGGTGAGCAAACTGGACACTAGTATTCCCACACCTGCCAAGAGGTCCCCAGACACCACCTTGAGCTTTACCATAATCTATCCCACACATTCTTTTAACCCTCCTGGACACTCCAAGGAAACCAATATTAGGCAAATAAATTCTGGAAACTGTCTTAATGAAGTCAAGGTCAGAAGATAGATCTGTTTTGACCTAAAAAGGAATGTCATCAGCCGGTAAATTTGGTGACTTCACACGAGTGCTTGAGGGTATTGCAAGAGGGGCATCTCCATGCTATCCTGCAAAGAGTGAGCAACCTGCTCTGCCTGACCAGGCACAAACCCAGCTGTGAGACCAGGGACGTACAGGAGATATACAGCCCCAAACTACTGATACAGGGAAGGCAAACCAAGGCCAGGACAGCTCACAGCATACCGCTTTTCTTACACATCTCCAGTAGCTCCTGCCACTGCCTACTGCTGTAGACGCAACTCTGGGCCAAACAGAGATTTGGGCATCCTTCTGGGGAGCGTGATGCCAAGCTCAAAATACCGAGCTCTGCTAAAAGTCTGGGTGTGTTAATTTGTGCTTGGCATGGTGTTGAGAAAGTCATGCAACCTCACGCTGACAGAGCGTGGGCAGCGCTTGCCAGCACCAGCCTGCAAATGATGGTGCCGGTCGTCCCCTAAGCGTGCTCCTCCTGTCCCCTGCCCAGGTCCGTGGGTGCTCCCAAAGGAAATGGGCAACGGTGAGAAATTCAAGCGTGAGGGAGAAAAAGAAAATCCCCATTAGCAGGAGCCTGCCTTGCCGGGGCTTTCACCCGTGCTCAAGCAGCTCCTCCGAGTTTGTACGTGGAGAGCTCGTGGTGAACAACAGGGTTTCTCCCCAAACTTGTGCCCTGTTCCAGGTCTCCTGTGTTCTGAGGAAAGACGGGGATAGGAATGCATGGAGACAGCCTTTTCCCAAAAGCCTCAACTCTTTGGAAAAGAGAGAGGACACAGGGATATTTGCAAATCGTGGGTGACACTATCTCCTAATGCCCAGGGTAGAAGGTAGCGAGCACCACCCAGTAGACAGAAAAGGCCCTTTTCTCTGTAAAGAGGTGAAGCCATTTGTACCAACTCCTCCCTCCCACAGATCCTTTACCTATTAGGAAGGAAAGGAAAGTCGATTACACCTGAGCAGATCACAGGACAGATCGGGCTGGCCAATGCTGGCCAAGGTGTGCCCAGCTCTTTCCCTCTGGCAGGTCCCAGAGCATCGTTCTGTCTCTGCTCACAGCAAATTTCCTTCTCTTTTCCAGCGCTGCTCATTATTCTGTTTTCCCTTCTTCCCTGGCATCCACTCCTTTGAGGGCAGTTGACACTCATTAAAGCACTTTACTGGATAAATGATTCGCAGTCTCCTGTCTCTGTATCAAAACCCCCATCTATTCCAGCTTTAAGTATCTACATAGTAAAGTACTTAAACCTTCTAAAACAGGATTCCCTGAGCAAACTTTCTCTGCATTGAATTTCAGTGGAACAGCTTCTTTCTTGCTTGATAATACCAGCAGATCACAGCTGAATGAAAGGATTTTGTCTCAAATAAAAACACAGGGCATTAAAATTCTTCACCACGCCTTCTATATTTCCTCACCCAGTTAATAGGTATTTTTTTGGTAGTTATATTTTAGGATGTTTCCAACTGCTCATTCATGTTTGTTTTTCATAATTGGGATTCCAAAGTATTTGTTCTACAACTGCAGCCAAGGGAACATATTTCATTCTTAAGAGGATCCAGCAATTTAAAAAAATTTGCATGAAAAAAAAAAAAAGAAAAAAGGAAAATAAAATAAAAGAAAGATTGTTATTCTGCCTTCTAGGTGTGTGTTTAACTTCCTTGTCTCAAGCATGGAGCCCATGATTTCACAGAAGTTGCTGGACCATTTCAACAACCTCCTCCGAGCAAGGTGGGCTCCTTCTGCCAAGGGTCTCTCAGTTCATGCTTGCTAAAAAGCAGATGCAGATTCCAAAAGCACATAAATACGTGGCGCTACCTTTGGTCCTGTCTGGCCTGGCATTCCCCGGGCACCATCACTGCCAGCTCGTCCCTGCAACACAGAAAATCAAAGTCAAATACAAAGGGTAAGGCAGGACCACAGAGACATCTGCTCTTTGGTCTGTGGCTGAGTGAAGTTTTATTTAAGTCAGAGCTTTCGGGCTGGGGAGCAGCTTCCCTTGGCGAGGGAAAAAATGCTGTTTTTGAAGCAGCATTCCGGGCTCAGCCTGGTGCTAATGAGGGGTGTGAGACAAATGGCAGTGAAGTTGCTTTACTACATGGGATGCTGGGACATGGTCATTGATTTTAATTTGAAATAATTATCTTCCAGCACATTTTAAGATATGCTAATGATAATGTTGAAATGAGATAATTTTTTTTTTTTTTTAAAACAGAAATAGGTCACACAAAAACTTTCTTGTTCCTTCCTCTGGCAAGCCAAATCACGATGAGCTAGAGAATGGAGTAAAATAAAAATCAGCATCGGGGATATCGACAGAGCGAGTAAGCATGATTTATACTGTCTTCAGAAACCCTCTGGGGACTGGATCCTCCTCGTACACTACTGTGACTTGGGGACTGTCCAAACCAGCCTGGAGCATTTAGGCAGCTACAACCTCAACGCCGCAGAGGCAAAAATAAAAAAATTAAGGCGAAAGAGTGGCAAGCGTGGACTTGCAGTTCTCTCCACACCGCCTGGCTTTTAATTCTCATCCTCATTTGCGTCTGCCCAGATGGACAGAGAGGTCCTGGACGAGCCACCGGCTGGCCGCCAGCCCGCTCTTGTGCAACGCTCTCGGTGCTCAGAAATTGTTTGGCAGCAGAAACAATTTCTCGCAGCAATTGTAGTTAATGTAGTCGTCAGCGCAGCTCCCAGGACACTCACCCTGCGGCCTGGTTTTCCTGCCGGACCAGGAGGACCCTGGATGCCTCGTGGACCCTGCAAGGCACCAAGGAGAGAGGAAGAAATGCCATCACCCAAGGGCAGGACAGACGGACCCAGTGCCTGCCAGCATCACAGATCGGGTGCTGCTGGGGCTGTCAGGGTCACCAAGGCACCAAAAAGGGATGCGAACCCCTCAAGCAGAGCCCGTGGTTCAAAATACACAGGAAAGGCTCAGGACTGAACACCTCTGGAGAGGAATTGCACACATTTATCCATGAAGAAGCTTTTGCCCTGCAAGCAGCTCCATGTGGTGGAGACAAATCACTTTCCCCCCACCATTAGAAAAGGGGAACTTTCCCTTAATGCAGGATTTACAGCTTGGAAGAACAATTTCCTGAGCATTAGCAAACTCTCCACACTCCAACTTATCTCATATTTACAGGACTCCTCTGCAGATGTCTTTGCAGGAAAGGACTACCACCTGCATACTGTTGGCTTAAAATTATGTCTCAAGTCTGCACTTGGATACTTGAAGGGACACTTATATACAAAACAGATGTTCCCACACCTTCCTACTTTCAGCTGGCATTGGGTTACTGGATTGTTCCTTCACAACAGCCTCTAAATCAGGAGTGGCTGCTCCACACCTTTGTTGTCCCTAGGACCCCCCCAGTCGCCCAATTTGCCCATACTCACCTGAGGTCCCATGTCTCCAGCTTCTCCCTTCAGTCCTCCACTGCCTGGGGGTCCCTTTGGACAGAGAACAGGATTTAATACATTTTTTTTTTTTTCCACAAGAGAGCCAAAGGGAAGATTCCTACCATGTCAAGAGCGAGCCATTCATGCAGGTAACCCAGAGCACCCAGGGAGCTGGCTGGGTCTGCTCCATCCCCGCTTGCCCATCTACTTACCATGGGGCCCGGCCGCCCCGTCAGACCCATCGGACCCGCTGGTCCCCTCAGCGCCAGCTGCAACAGAAAGAGAAACGTTGCTCGGCTGGTGCCTCTGCTTCACTGCTGCCGCAGGGCAAAGCCACCGTTGTGCCACCAGCCACACGTTCTCTCCACACTCCGAGAACCACGTGCCCTTAGAGCAACGCCCGGACCCTCTGTGAATTTACCCCAGAACGTCCAACTTTCTGCCCCATCGACTCCTCTCTGCCTTCACAAATGGGCAAAGCCCTTGGACGCTGCATGAATCTGTTGGGAGGACATACAGACCTACACCCCTCTGCCCGTAGGCATCCTCACCCCACACACCCACCCTGCACCGTGCCCACGAAGCACAAAACCCCTGTATAGGTGCGTATAGACACACCTGGCCCAGACCCAGGGCGGGTGGAAGGACAAGGAGCCGCCTGCAGTTAAACCAGATGAGAATCAGCCTCTGAAGGTCCGATCCCCTTTTCCATCATCACACACAGACACAATAAAATGGATGCTTTTGGCAAAAAAAATTATTGAAGGTAAGTGTCAAAATTTTGCCTGAACAGACTATAGGAGTTTGTTCACATGTATTTAAGTTCCCAGTTCAGTTCAGGAGGATTTTTTTCTCTATCATCCTATGAGTTCAATTTTGGAGGAATTTTTTCCTTTTTTTTTTGGTTACTATTTAATATCCTGCAAACAGAATGACAATTCTATTTACAGCAGGGGGATTTTAGCTCAATAATTAAGGAGTCATGTAACCATGCATCAAGTCAGTTATTTCCATGGTGGGTAGTGGGACTGGTCCACACTTTAAAACATCGTTCGGACAATTTGTTCCCTCCTGACAATTCAACACTTTAAAAGAGTTGTAATTATCTGTGTAGTCCAGTAATTAAAATCTACCCATGATTGCACTTGGAACAGCATAAATATTGCACAAATGCTAGATTATGTGGCATCTTTTACAACACCCCATTAAAAGGGAAATGCTCTGAAACACTGCTGGCTGTGACAATGTTCAGTGTCTAGTGAAAGCCAAATTTTAAGGGAATAAATCAACCTAATAATGCAATTAACAAAAATGGTAACAAGAAAAACAAAACCTCAAAAAAGGAAAGAAGATATCCTCTACCCTGGAGGACTCCTTTTCCATTCCTGTCATATCCTGTAACTTCCCTACCAAAAAAATGTCATTTTATTTTCCTTTCTGCTTTGGTATCAGGGTTTTCTGCCGGAATTGTCTGATGATAGGTTGAAGTTAACCAAGAAATAGATTTTTTTTCCTTTACATAAATATTCAACTTTTCATCCACAGCCCAAAAGTCACCCAGGATTTCTTTGTATTTTAAATTTTTCCCAAAATCTGAAAATTTAAAACAAAACAGAGAAAAAGGACTTTGAGTGAGTAGAAGAAGGTTTTTTGTTTTTTCATAATATTCACTATTTTCAACAGACAGGAAAAAAAGAACAAAACCAGAGAGTCTGAGAAAGCAGATGCTTCTCATGAAATGTTCATCTGGTCAAAACCCCTATTTCCCAGCAAAATAAAACGCCGATGGAAAAACTGTAGGCAGCCTTGAAATTAAGACTGACAAGGTAACAACAGAAACATAATCCACCAGTATTATTCTCAGAGTAAGGTTAATGGACAGGAAAATGCAGTGGCTGGTGGCATCAGGGCCCTGTACACTACCTGAATACATATAAAATCAAACTCCTTTGTAAAAAGGGGGTTGGATGGAAACCAGAATAGTCCCAGCTAAGCCAAAATCTTTGTTATAAACCTAAAAGGGGCATGTGCCACCCAGCTGGGTGGAGACCCCAATGGCCTTTATTTCATTCAAGGATTAAATAAATTGCTTTTTAGCCTATTTCAGCAGACTGGCTCAAAAAGTCTGTGCTAAAGTGACTGCCAACAGCTCTGAGTAACAGACTGGCTACGTCTGAGCCACACATCCCAGCTGCAGACAGATGTGGGCTTCGGACCCGAGGAGCACACCCAAGCTCTGGGCTGGATGATCGCCTCTGGCGGGGAGAGGAGCAATGCCCCCAGAGCTGTGTCCCTTTGCAAACTGCCTCCCTAAACTATCTTATATTTTCCCTTTTACTGCAAGAGTGTGCTTACAGCTGGGATTTGATCCCTCCTGGACAAGATTGGGGCAAACACAACAGGAGGGCACTTGTGGGGTTCCCCAGGTGGTCCCTTCTGCTGTAATTGTGCCTCTTGCATCTCTGCTTTTAACATGTTAATGATCAAATGTAGCTTCATACAAGCACTCATGGAAGAAAAATTTCAAAGCTGTACCAGCTAGAAATTAAGTTTTATTTTGAACAGATGAGTATGAAGCCTTATACACTAAGGTACTTATCTAGGCAGGGAATGGGAGTTGTACTGGGAACATGCACAGCTGATCTTGTTTCACCAGCAAGCCTACATAATAAACACTGCCAGGAATTATTTGATCATCAATCAATAAGGTCATCCAAGGGAAAAAAGGTTGCATGGATAGTCATCATGTATTTCCAAATAAAAACACTGAAGAAAATTGCAGCTTGCCTGTTGAGATTTGTGGAGCTGGGAACAGCTTACATCTGTGACATACATTTAATTATTACAATTTACTGGGAAAAAAACCCACAACAAAACAAAAAGAAAAAAAGAAAACCCCCTATAGCGCATACCACAACTGTTCATACAGACTCTCAAAACTGTCAGCATAAACAGCAAACCCCACTGAAGCCAAGAGGTCTATGTCTACTGGCATCAGCAGAAGGCCTGGTCCATGGTCTGTAGCCAATTTCAAACCCCGTTTCTAGGGCTTGGCCTATTGCTGGCCAGTAGGAAAAGGCCAAGTCATCCAGATGTCATCACCTCAACCACACAAGCAATTCCATCTCAGATGAGAGGCTGTCACCACCACCAGCACTACGGATGGTGCAACTACGAAGTCACCTCCCCCAGTGCACTTATTCTGGTCCTCGTCCACTTCCTTGGGCACCTGCTGCAAAAGACTTCACTTACCCTGGCCTGCTGCAGGATGGCTTGGGCTTGAGCCTCCTGGGCTGAAACGAGAGGTCCTTTAGAGCCAGCATCTCCTCCTCCACTGAAGCGGAACTGATGGGAACACGAAGAAGAAAAGCAGGTCACAGGGTTGCTGTCCCTCCACCCTCAGGCTAGCCTGACTCCTAAACAACTCTGTTCAGCATGACTGACCCAACCCCATCACTGGTCCTTCCAGACCATCCTATTAACCACCGCGCTCTCAGGTCACCCAGCTCACAGGCACAAACCGACCGTTTCCCACGTCCGTACCCACACAGCAAACCCTGCCAGCTCACCGTGATGCACAATAAGAGGGATTGTAGGCTCTGAACTGTAAGGGCCTCACACACCACCGTTCAAACGAAATGCAAAGTTCTCACAGGGCTGATATTCCCCGTGTGGATGCTGTTGGCCGGGAGACCCCTGGAGATGGGGTTGCATCAGGTTATTTGGCTGTAGCTGCCTGTTTGTCCCAGGACAAAGGCTGTATTTCTCAAGTGTGGCAGTGTGCTTCAAAGAGCATAGTTTGGCCTATTGTTCAAGCCAGGATCCTTCAGCACACAAAGGATTTTAAAAAAACCCAAATATTAATGTTTTATTTTCCCAAACTTGAAAGGGACAGAGTTTAATGTTTTCTTCTGTCTCTTCCACCCCCAACAGCTACAAGCTCACTTTCCAGTATACACACCCTTCTCCCGCCTCTGTGTTTGGGTTTTTGCAAGAAGGTCTCTCCAGGCTGCAGAACCTACTTGGACAGCTCTTTCACCTCCATTTCACCTCTGCATTTCACTTCGTTGGCGCTAGGTATATGACCACACGAACTTGGCAAGCAGATTCAAAGAGATGCAATTTATAGGCCTACAGTTGGTTACTGTAGGGGCCAACAAATGTATTGTAATGGCCAGCTAAGCTCCATGTTGAGCACTTGGCCCAGGCTGCCCTAGGCACCCTGCCAGGAACCTACACAAGTATCACCCTACCATTTGGAGCCTGTACAAGAATGCGGCGTTTTTTTCACTAAAGGCTCTTTCCCTTTGGTACCTAACCACTTATTTTCAGCAGCTGGTTTTGTTAGGGCTTTCTCACATCAAAGCAGACACAAAATATATCCATTCCTTTAGCATCCCAGGCCCAAGAAGGCTGACTCGGTACTTGCTAGCTTCATGTAGGTGAAAAAAAAAACCTGCAAACTAACCACTGGTCATCAAAAGAGATTGCTTCATTCTGGTGCTTACAATTTTGACACCTGCTTTGAAGAGCTACTAGAGCTTCCTCACTGTAGGAGGGAGGGTTCTGCCTGGAAATTAGGCACCTGGAGGTGTCTTCAGTTGCTTCTTCATGACTTTTACTCTCCAACACCATGCCCAGTCAGAAACACTTAAGCTTATTCATCACTTCTGGAAAGTTTAACTTACCAGCCCTGTACTTTTGACCAGTGAAGAATTTATAGTGCTTTGCAAAAAGTAAACTTACAAGGGAACCATCTAGATCCATATTTTATACCAAGGAAAATGCATCCTTGGTGTAAAAGAGACAGGGGACTTCTGCAAGAACAGGCACTAAGCAGTAGCAAAGCAAAGAAGCCCAACTTATTTAAATGCTTTTTTAGTTATGCTTGTACTTACAGGCAACATAAGCATTGTCCCTGGTGGTCCTGGTAAACCATCTGCTCCTGGAAGACCTGGGCGACCAGGTGGACCCTACAAGAATAAAAAGTAAAAATAAACATCTATAGTGTCATTTTAGTCAGGTCAACACATAAATAGTCATGGCTGTAAAGGTATATGTCACGACACAAAAGGCTCCCTATCTTGACAAACAGGCATTGAGCATGTAGGCATCCCAATGCTATGGCAAATTTTGTGGCAGCACATGTGTAAGCACTCATGATTTTTTTTACTAATTCTTACTTCTTACATCCTGGCCCCCATATTTTCAGGGTCTGCCATATGCAATTTTCGAGCGAGCAATAAAAGTTTCTGCAGTGTTCCAAGTTAATGGAATCAATGTTTAGTTGAGTCTGTTAAAACCTATTAAAAAAGTATATGAAACTTCATAACTCAGGTCAGTGAGATAGAAATGTGGAAAGATAAATACATTTCAGTACATGTTAAGTCATTTAGGTCATTCCATTTTTCTCTCTTCTGTCTTTTTTTTTTTAGTCCTATGAGGTTACTTCCATCTACAATGGAGTGATCCTGTCAGCAGCTGTAAATCAGCAAAACTCTGAGGATCTCAGTGGAGCCGTGCTGATTAACATCAGTTGAGTGTCTTTAACTTGTACTAAAGAAACGAGTATGCAGTAAAAGATCTATTGATGAAGCTATAAATAATCAAATATGGCAAATTTTCCTATAACAGACTATAGATTATTTGTATTCTCAACTGTGTACTTGGCAAAAAGTTTAAGTTAACCCAAATTTGCACATCCATCCAGCAATCCTACCTGCAAGCGAGGATGACATCCAAGTACTCAGTGTGCATGCCTAATTGCAATTTTCACACTTAAGGAGCTGAAGGCAAGAGTGACTTGATCATGTCCCAGCGAGGCCAAGAGCAGCCCTGGTGCTCGTTTCATGGCCAGACAGACAGCACTCCCTGTCCAACAGCTCAAGCTTGAGGGCTTGCATATTCCCCTCTTTAGTAAACACCAATAATAAATCTACCTGTGGAGAACCTCTTAGACGAGCAAGTAACCAACATCCATAGTAGTTCTCACTCCCTTCAACCTGCCTGAAGCCCTCCAGCCCGAGCAGACACCAAAGAAAGGTGAAAATAAAATCCTACCACAAATTGGACATACATGGACAGGCTACAGGGACACAGAAGAGCCAGACCTTGCTGCAGAAAGTCACACACCCCACGAGGCAAAGGGAAGTGGATAAAGGTGGGAAAGGGAGGAGGGAAAGAGAAAGAGGTAACAAAGTCCCTAAAAATCAGAACATTTAAAAAACAAAACCACCAAAAGAAACATGTGATGGGTGATCTTTGCCCCACTGTCTTCCAGTAAGATTTTGGAGCATCTCTTTGCATCTCTGAAATCTCATTGTTCCCTCTTCTTCCATTCCCTCTACACCATGTTCAACTTAAAATTTCCCTCCCCGTCTCCCTCTTAAAAAGGAACCCAAAACGTTCAAGCCAAAGTTTCCAGCGCTAAATTAGAGCCCAGCACCAGGGTGGGGGTGAAGAGCTGCTGCTGCTACTCCACCCTGGCCCAGCCTGCCCGTCGCTCCGGCCGGGCTGTGGCTGGACCTGCCCCACAATTACAGGGCAGAGCGGCGCTGCGGGCGAGGAGCCGAGCTCTGCACCGCAACCGGCCCGGAATACCAACGCTGCTCCCAGCGCTGCAGCAGGCAGCGCTGCAGCCAGTGATTTATCAGCAAAAAAAAAAAAAAAAATTAAAAAAAAAAAAATAATCCAGCAGCTCCCTCAGCACCAAAGGGAGGCTGCATAACACACCAGCCCATTCATTTTTCAAGACAAGCTCATGATGCTACGTTCGTGCTGTTTACTTAGTAGGGCCGACACCAGAGTCCCTGACTCCGCTGATGAGGTGCAGAGGGCAGTCCCATCTGTTGAAGCAGAAGCACAATAAATAATTTAGGCCAGACTCATTTTATATAATAAACTTTTTTCCCTCTCCCTCTTCTCCTTTAACTCTGGTCCTGCAAATGATGGATCAGGAATGAGCTTGTTTATCTCTCTGTGTGTACTCTGCCTGACAAATGTTGATGCAATGTTTTTATACATAAACACCTCTTTTTGTTTCAGGTTGGGCGTGTGAGGTCTTTTCCTTGCAGGGTGGAGCAGCAGGGGGCAATGGTATGGAGGAAAATCAAACCCATAAAACACTTTGTAAATTTAAATTCATGAATGCCTTTAAGAAATGCAGCATGCCAGACTCTCAGTTGGTATAAATCTGTGTCACTCTCATTATGTAAATAGAGATTTGCTGATATATAGCAGCCAGGGATGGGGACTTCAACTTTCATTTGGTGCAGTGCTCTAAAATGCCATGCTGAGTGCAAACACTAATGCAATATTTCAAGGGAATGTTTAAACTGAAACCTCAGTGTGTTAGTGCTCAGGCTCCTCGAGTAGCAGACAGTGACAGAGCGATGCCCAGCAGCCCACAGTATTGAGCCTCAAAATTTGCTTTAAGTGTCCTCTCGGCTTATTTTTCTTCCACTTTCAGCCCTGGTCAGAAAATTATGCAACAGAAGATCTTTTTTCGAAGTAGTTGGGGTCTTCTAGCTAAGGCAGCACTTGCCATCTGATGGAAAAAAGGGCATTTGGAAAACGTCAACCCCAACAAGGATTTTAGGGACCTATTACTTCTGAGATGCAAAACTGTCCTCAAGGGGAGTAAGTCCATTGGGACGCAATGACTGCACGGGCTTGGAAGATACAGCTTTTGCCCTGTGACCAGCTTTCCCCCAGGGGCATGCTGATGGACCCAGACACCCCAGATTTCCAACACGCAGCAGGGTTGGTGACAGAGCTGCAGTTTGCTCTGATGCTGCAGCTCATCTCTTTCAGAGGAGTAAATTTTCCCACTTTCTTCACTCCAGTCTGGAGCATCCATGAAATAGCTTTCTGGTCTCCTAAGTGCCATATTTCCTTCTTCCCACTGCTTGAAGAAACCTGCCTAAGTCATCCTAAACCACCCCCCTCCACCCCAGACGAGTCCTCTGAAACCTCCCACAAACAGGCTGCTCTGCAGCTTTGTCGGTGACGCAAGCTCTTCTTCGCGTTGTAAAATAACTGGGATAAATGAACAAACTGACATCATGAATAAAACAGAGCTAAATGAGTGTTGGCCAATATTAACATAGCTGAATATTGTTGGTATATTAATTCAGTGCACCTGCCTGATTGCAAATAAAAAGTCTTTCTATCAGATGCAGGCGGAGGAAATGTTCTTTGCTGTACACATATAAGTGTCATGTAAATTCATGAGCTATGCGCAGGGTTAATAACAAACAAATTAAAAGAGGAGCTGCTCTAATTGAAAAGGAGTATTTTAATACAGTTTCAGTTCCTGTCTCTGCAAGTTCATCGCTTCTCTGTGCACAATATGTTGTATTACATTCTGTTCTGGACACTCAGAAAAGCAAGATGTGCCGTCTGTGCTAGAATGCAAATTATGCCTTTCATTTCAGGGTGTGGAACAACATCATCGAGGACAGTGTGTCTGCTGCTGCTTGGCTTTGGTTGGCTACAAGAGGAGCCTGGCCAGCAAACGTCTGCATCTGCCTGGACAAATGGCTGAAATACTGACTCCCTTGCCAGCAAGGTCAGCATCCATCCTGCCAGGAAGCTGAATTCTTTGGAGCAGAGGCAGCACTTCAAGGGGAGAAGAAGAGAAAGCTGGGCGACATGTAGGACCCATGCAGGATGAAGACCCACCGAGAGCCTGGTGAAGCCATACAGCCCTTTTGACTGATCCTAGACCGCTGCAAGATACAAACCACTGCTGGGACCTTGCCCAGCTTGCCCATTCTCTATGAAGTCTGCCACCCAAGGATGCAGAGCCCTCCCTTGGTCCTTCTGCCAGGGTAGTGCAGGAGGAACCAGGACCATGGGGTCTCAAGGGTTAAGCCAACCTCTGAGCAGTGGCCCTGGCTCCCGGCCAAGGGATGAGCCCGCAGCTGCATATTGACTTTCTGAGCTTGCAGGCGCCAATCGATGGAGCACAGTCAGGCCCTCTCATTCTCAATCATGTCACAACCACAAGAAACGTTATTACTGTTCCATCAAAAAACAATAAATACACCAGGAGTGTAAAAGAGGTGGGGGTCTTTCCAGCAACGGTCCAGGGGCAATGCAGGAGTGTAGTGGCCAGGGGATCCCAGCTGAGTCCCCAGGGACCAACCACGAAACAGTCTTAATTAAAAAAAAAAAAAAAAACAAACAAAAAATCAAACACACACACACAAAAAAAAAAAAACCACAACAAAACCAAAACACCAAAAACAACAAAAAAAACCCACACTGCACCAGGGCCCAGGTTAGGGTCATTACCACAAGAATGCCCCAACACCTCAAGTACACCTTAAAACCACAGCAGATGCTTCCCAGTGCAGGCCAGCAATGATTTTCTTTCTCTCAGGGGTTGCATTTTGCAACGTGCATGTCATGGGGCTGGGAGGTGAATGATGAAGGTTTGGAACCAGCTGGTTGCTTTGTCCTCCAGCAGGCAGGGAAGATGGGACCCCCTCCTGCCCATACCCCAGGGGAGGCAGCCAGGCCCCGGGGGGGGGGGTCCCAAACCCACCCTGAGGGGATGGTAATTTGGAAGAGCACTGAAGTGCAGAGGGGCAAGTTATTATTGCTGATGAGCAGGTGGGATGGAGAACCACCTCAATTGGTGAGAGAGGAAAGGGTACATCAGACAGAAAAGGGAACACAACTGCATTTTAAAAGCCCAAGGGAGAAGAGAGGGGGTAAAAAAAGAAAAACCTCTGTGAGTTAAGGCACAGTGGCTCAGCTTCCACTTAACCTGTGCAGAGAGCTGGGCTAGGAAGGACTTAGGGAAAAATATTCATCCTTTCTGTCTAATTGGGGAGATATATCCCTTCTTGTGTCCCAGTGTATAAATATGCTTAGTCCCTTCCAGGTGGTGTTGCCGTGCCCACAGCCAGGCCAGGAGTAAGAAGAAAAGAAAATCAGAGGGTTTGATGCAGACCCGATGGCAACCACAGAGGAAGCCACAGCAAACCTCTGGCATTGCTCCAGCATTAAAAACGAGGCTAAGGTGAGATCCTTGTTAGCACAGAGATCTTGTTCTGATCCTCTGCATCGGAGTGAATTCTCCCCCCTATTCCTTCTGGGTCTTAGGTTAGTCAATTAAGAGAAAAAAGAAAGTAAAAAAAAAAAAAAATTAAAAAAGAGATAAGCAAGGCAACAACATAAATCCTTAGCAGCAGTCGCAGCAATTAGTTGTGCTAAGACACACATCAGGACAGCACAACCACCCTTCCTTACCCAGGCCCTCCCATTTGAAACTGGTCATCGGCTTTTCCCGCCTCATCTGGGCAGAATTCAGCCAAACTCCACCAGAAGAGTAGGAAGCCCTGCAGACACAGAGAGCCTGGCTCACCCCAGCTTATCTTTCCCAGACACCCCGGAGGCAAACGGGATGCGGTTCCCCATCTGGAAACCAACTGTTGGATCGGTGGAGGATGCTGCAGCACACGCGAGCCTGTCACGGGTAGTGAGCTGCCTTATCTGCCAGAAAAACGTGCTCAGAACCTCAGTGATCAGATTAGGGAAGTGTTTGCTGATAAGCACTCCCTTCCTCGGGAAGGTGTTTTGCATTCGCTGGGTGACAGCACCGGCAGCAGTGGGATGCTGTGTGCGCGGGCGCATCTCCTGGGGTCTGTGTCGCTGCTGCTCTCCTCCCTCCTGCACTTTCCAGGAGAAACTCTGGAAAAACAGACCTCGAACAAAGCCTGTCTTCAGAAACCCACCTGTAGGCACATTTTTTCGCCCTTTTTGCTACCAGGACTGTCAGGATGCCTGAGGCCACAGTAAGCCATCAGTGGAGGCTGGCATTCAGGCTGCTGGGAGCCCCATTCCCCGGATGAGGCAGCAGTACACTAGAAGCTATTTCGAAAGCGTATTTGCCTGCACTCAACACCACGGTGCGCCAAGGCACCGAAACAGTGTCAAACTCCAAAGCTCCATTCGTTTTCCTCACGCAAACCTGCTGAAATCGATGGATTTACTCACGCAAGACAACCGCTGCTGGTACACGTCCCCCCTGTGCCGCCGCGGCACCAGCCTGCAGCCCCGCACGCCGCTCCGCTGGGCTGCACCAAGGCAGGAGCCGCTCTTCTCCTGCCAGCACAGCCCCCATTTTGGTGCTCCATCACCCAAACCAACATTCCCCAAGGGCACTGCGTGCACTCCTCTAGTTTCAGACCCAAACTGAGCTGCTCCGGCGGCCTCGGCTGAGCCCACCGCAGCCTCTGTGCGAAGCCAGAGCCCGTCTGTGCTACAGTGAATCTTCCCACTCGCTATCGGGCCAAAATTCCTGCTGGAAGCGGTGTGCAGCCTGGTCCCTCCTTGTCTGCTGTGCACGGGTCCCTACTCACCCGGCTGCCTCTGCCAGGGAGGGGGAACGGGCTCAAACTGCGGGTGAGCAAAAGCAAATGAGGATTGTATTGGTACAAGGGTCCTTTCAGAGAATCAGTTCGGGGAGTGAGGAGAGCGGGTTTTAATTTTTGGCACTGCCAAGCAGACGGATTGCCACTTGAATGGTGCTTGTGCACCGCTTACTGACCAGAGGCTCAAGTTCAGCTGCTCCCAAAACATGGGTCATTCCGGATCCCAGGTGAGGACTCAGCAATAATGAATAAATATGCAACTCTGACCAATGTGCAGTGCTAAACTACGGGATTTGGGGTCACAGTCCATAAAAGTGCTTGGGAGCAGCTGCCTTCGGATGAGACACCCCAAAGATGGAGGCTTCTGCAGGCAGCAGTTTACAAAGCAGTGGGTGCTAAGGACAAAACTAATTTAAAGTAATATCAAAACCAAACACGCAAAACCTAAGTTGCTGCATTCCTAAAGCACATAAATCAGTCTCTAGTACTTGCTGGTACAGACCAATAATCGACCTACAGGAAAGGTGAGGTGTTGCACAAGAGCCACATTCCCACGGGGAGCCGTCTGGGACACGAAACGGGTGTAAGGAAAAACCCACCACAGGAGTGCTGGCATAGCCCTGGGACCATCCCAGACCCAAACAAAACTAAACCCTCTACCAAGACTCACAACACCAGCTGGAACGAGGACGCAGAATCACCGCTGAACTTCATCTCACTGTGCTAACAGCTATTTCGTGTGTTTGCTCATTCTGTTTTCCCAGTGCCACAGCCCAGTTCCTGCACTGGAGTGAGCAGCCACATGCCAAAGGGTGCAGACAGAGAGCAGAGGGTTTGTCAGCTTTACTCTTGGTTTTAACATGGAGAAAACTGCGGAAGGCATTTGACTAGTGTGAATGTGTTCCCCAACCCTTTGTCCCTGGATGCGAAGTTCTGCCCTGTACCATACCATAATCTCCTTTTTGGGCTGACTCAGAGGAGATTGCTATTAATGAGCAGTTTTTGGGGGCTCCAGTGATACACCACAGTCCAACTTTACACACACAAAATGATCCAAGGCATCAGACAAAGAGGAGAAAATCATAGGTACTCACTCTCTCCCCAGGGTCACCCATTAAGCCCACGGGTCCAGTTGGTCCTGGAGGTCCTGGAAGGCCCTAGCATAGAAAAGACAGAAAAAAAAAAAATAAGCCAGTGAAGGAAAACGTGTTATTATTTGTAACGTATTTGTACAGTGAGCAGGAAAAGAATTAGAGCTTTCTGTTTGTTTTTGCACCAGAAAAATCAACCCTGAAGCGCTCCATACACATGCGGGGCATATGGAAGCAATAGAGCCCAGGAGCAGCTGGGTGCTGAGCCCCCCACGGGCACCCAGCACCCCGGGGCCACACACATCCTCCGGTGCAAGGTGTAGACAAAGTGCCACTTACTGCAGGGCCTTCAGGACCAGGTGGGCCTTCCACCAGCATACCCTGAGCAAAAGGAAGAAAAAAAAAAAAAAAAATTGATCAGCAAAGCACATCATCAAAGTCACTTTGACTACAGGGCTGGACAGCCCAATGCTTTCTCTGTTCTTAGATATTTCAGATCTTGATGCTAGGGTTAGGCACCCCAGAGCTGAAGGAGAGGGGTGGTATCTCCTGCGTCCCCACTGCCAGAAGCACAAAAGGCACTGCCCATTGAAAAGCCAAATACTGCCTGTTTGAACCACACAGGGGATGGCAAAACAGCCCTTTCCCCCGGCACCAAGCCCAGCCTCACCCCAGCACAGGGTCACCTTCCTAACCACAACCCTTCTCCCCTCGCTCATGCCCAGACAAAGGGCAAACCCTGGGACACATCCAGTCTTGATGGTGCTGGAGCAGAAGAGCTCCTCTTCAGGAAGAAGCTGCTTCTAGATCCAAGCAGCTTAAAAAAAAAAAAAAAAAAAAAAAAAAAAAGAAGTTAATAATCAAATTGCAAGGGTTTTTTTAAATTACTTTCCCAGCAGACTGCATGCTGTGATTTACTCTGTGTACCTAGGAAATCACTGTGTGGGCAAAATGGTAGAATAATGTTATTCCATTCCTTTTAATCTAAATATTTTGTCATAACTTTAAATCAGTTCTATCATGTACTCAGTAGAATTGAGCTTTTTTTCCCCCCCCCTCACGGGTATGTAAAAGGCAGGAAAGAAACCTCCCAATAAACCTGGCAAATGCTTTCCAGAAGGCACTGGGATGATCTGTTGGGATGCACCCCCCAGCGAGCACTGCCCTTGTATCTCTGGACCAGTGTCCGTGCCCCCAGCAGCACCCAGGTCGAGCCAGAGCAGACCCAGAGCTTGCCAAGCTCATCTGTAGCAAAGAGGGACATTTCTCCTAGAGGCTGAAATCAGCCTGTAAAAATCTGTAGATAAGCAGTCGGCTCATACGTGAGAAGCCCGTAGGAAGCAAGTGCAGGAACTAGTCTCAGGTCACGCTTAACTGGTCTCCTGGGCTCAGGCTCTGGTGCTAAATTTAAGCCTCAGCTGACCCCACAGCAGCCACTACAGCAGACAGGGCTGAGCTGAATGAATCTGAAATGTCTAGAGGAAAATCCAGGCATTCCTGCCCCAAAAGCCACAGCCTCTAAACCCAGAGGAGCAAAAAATAGGGTGAAACATGCTGCCATGTCCCTCCTTCCATTATTGGGATGCATGTTTCTGCACCACTAATGCACGGCCAGCACTATTTTCTGTCTTTCCCAGTGTCCACACTACTCATTAGCACCTCGTTTAAAATCTGGCTTCCGCTTCATTTGGATGTGTGAGAGGAAATATTCTGCTGCTGTCATCACAGAAGTGCCTGTGCAGTCGTTCTTCACCAGGAAAGAATTTAGGTCATGGACTTCACCCCGTGCCCATTTTGACAGCGGTTTCACTGTCTGCTATGGAGACACTGTTATCTTCTGGGTGAGAATTAGGGGTGAACCTCACACAACATTCCAACCTGCACCAAGTATGAGCTATCTGCTGTTGGAGGCTACCGAGAAGAGGTGAGTTATGTCGATGGAGATGTCCCCCCAGGACAGTCACTAAGCACCAGCTCCTTTTCAGACCTGTGTTGAGGGCATTGCACAGGAAACCCCAGAGATCCCAGCAAACCTTTCCTCATACGGACACCCCAAGGTCCATCCCTGTTGAGACAAACGGTGGCACATTTTGGTGGGGCAGGCTCCAAAACAGAAATCATTGTCTCTGGGCTGGTGCAGAGAGTCATGGCCCACATAGGTCTCCCCAGGACATTTTTGGGCTGCTGGGTGCCAGCATTACCATGGTCTGAGCATGCACAGCATTGAGGCTCTGCTTCCCATGGCCAGCTGCAGAGCCTCAGGATGCTCCTCCACATGGGGGAAGAGTCTGGGCTAATTAGCCAATTTGCAATGCAAACATCCTTGGCATCTTCCCATATTTATCCGTTGGTTTATGTTGAGCTCTAGCTTTAGGGACATCTGGAGATTCTCCTCGGCAAAAGACCTCCACTGTTTATATGACTGCTCATTAACAGGAGCGATGGAAACGTGGGAGGGTTTTGGGACCAGGACCAGTGGGGGGGGATGCCACCGAGGGTGAAGCAAGCAAATCATGGATTTGGGACTGTCCCAGGGGAAAACAGGGTGTTGGTTCCACTCAACACCCAGGTGCTACCCCTAAACGATTACAAAAACAGCCCAAAAGCTGGCTGCAACACACAAAGGTGCCACGCAAAGGCAGAGCAAACCTTCCCCAAAGGCAGGTGCAAGCACCAGGGTCCCCCCCAAAAAGAAAGAGGGCTTTTGAGGAAGCAAAGGCAGAGATGGGATGGGGGGGGGGGTCCCCAGCCATCCCCAGCTGCATCCCTCCTCGCCCTGCGCTGCCCCGCTGCCTCCAGCGAGCGTCAGCACAGAGCAAGGATTGAAGGACAGGCGGTTTGAGTGAAAAGGAGAGAAAATCGAGCAGAATCCGACTCCTGCATTTGGTTTTTATTCCCCTTCTGCTGCAGCTCCCATCAAAAAGAAATAAAAAAAAAAATTGCGCAGCAAATCTGAATTTCTTTGCTGAAGAGGAACTGCACGGAGAGGGAAAAGGCAGCATTTGGTCTTGTTTACTTTCTGGCAAAAGCTATACATGCTCCAGTGTTTTGAAATAGTGAAGGCGGCCAAATTCTTTCTGGATGATTAAATTTAACTATTTTGTTCTCTTTGGAGCATTTCAGATTGGTTCTGGACAAGGAAAGCTGGGTTTCTGCTATCGTCTTCATGGGGTTCAGCTGCCCCCCCACCCCCCACCCCTTCCCATAGCCCTGATAAACAAATCACTTGCTCCTCCTTTTGTTTGCAGAGAGTAAGACCCAGAAAGGAAGAGAAGGAAGGAAAGGTCGGAAATGCTTTTATAAGGCATTCGTTCAGGCTTTTCAAGCCCCACTGCTACACCCCAGCTTCTCCCTGCCCCCCCCTCCTGCTATTTGCAAAAGTGTCAGGCAAAGAAAGAAAGGGAGGAAGAATTAAAAGAAAAATAATGGCCTCTGAGTGGATGGGAAGTTCTGCCACGACGCTGGGCACTGTGCTGGCCCTCTGCCAAGGAAAATGAGGTTAATTGAGTTGCTGGTGTGCAGCGAGCGCGCGCTCGGCCCTTCGGGGACGAGGCGCAGGGGAGGTGGTTGCAAGGATGCAACGCCCTGCCTTCCAGCCCAGGGAGGAGCAGGCACGGGGGCACCTCAGCATCCTGACACGCACCGAGGGACAGACACACGACCACCAGCCAACGGCCACTTGCTCTGCTCAGTGGTCACCTCCGAGCAAACGCCGGCTGTCCCCACCGTGAGGGGAGCAGCTCCATCCTCGCCTAAGGGGGTGCTCAGTTGGGCACCCGCATTTTTTTTGCAGACTGCAAAGGGCACAGGCAGATTATAACCATTCTTTAGAAAGAAAAACAACCTCAGAAACAGGCCAGGGCAGAATTGTAAAGAAAGAGAGTGAAAGAGAAGAAAGTTCCACTCCCGGGGTGACACCGGGTTTCTCTGAAAGCGGAAAGCTGGTGGGACCTTGGGGCAGGCGCAGGGGCAAACCTCTCCTCTCTTCTCCTGCAGCTGTGAGGAGGGGGAACCCTTTTAGTTCCACAGAGCTGAACCCATTAGTTGCACAATTAAAGCCGGCCCCAAGCTGCAAGTTCAGGTCAGGATATGACCTGGCCACCGGCTGCGGGTGCTCAGGGGAGCAGGTTTGCTGCGAGCCGGGGACACTTCCAAACCTCTGGAGAGGTGAGACATGCCCTCTGCCTAATGCTTCAGTTCTAAAAGGCCTAGGTTTTATTTCGGTAAATGAGAGATTTCGTGGGAAATGTTGCACTTCCTTCTTCATTTGGGTCGCTTCTTGAAGTTTAAAAGAAAAAGAATAATTAGAGTATTTTATATTAAAAGTTTTTAAATGAACCAAGTAATTCTTCCATGGGAAATTTTCCTCTCAGCTGTACCACTGAGAGCACCAAGCCATACCAAACATACCCCTTGTGCTTTTTCCTTGGGAAAAATAAACAGCAAAACCACCAAAAAAACAGATGGTCCTTACCGGCTCAATAATTGCAGGCTCCCCCTTCTGTCCTTTCTCACCCCGTGGGCCGCCAATCTGTAGCACACAAGGGACAGAGAAAGCCAGACAGTCAAAGAGGACATCACCTGCATCAGCATCACCGCTCCGAGCAGGAACTGGAGATCCTGGGACAACTTCTGCAACCAAAGGACTGCTGATGTTCATGTGGAAAAGAAACGGGGCACCCTCCTCCTCGCCTTGTGCAACACACGTGCATGGCAGGTGGATGAATGCAAGCGAGATGCTCTTGCTGGTTTTTGTGTTTTTAATCTAAATTATGGGAAGACAAACATTTTGAACTAGGCTTACCCTCAATGGAAAATTAACTCTCTTACCCCTTCGTAGACGGTGTCCTGGTTAGCAGGCATGCCGGGGCCAATATCAGGAGAGACTGTTCGGTCATAATAGTTATCATAATAATTCCCATCATATTCTTTTATTGTTTCCTCGGTGAAATCTTTATCCAGATCCTCTCCTCCTTGAGCAGCCTAGAAGCAAAAGAGCAGCAACGTGTCAGGCTGCAAATCAGCCTAGGCTGCACATGCTGGAAATATGAGGTGAAGACTGTGGGTTTTCTGAAGTGAGGATGCTTTATAATAATAGTTGCAAATAAAAAGCACAAGAAAAGTGTAATTCTGGAGTTTTAAGATCTCCAATAACCTCCAAGAGTCTTTCCCAAAGGAGGCAAGAAGGATGGGAGGATCTTTATGTCAAAACATACACTCTGGGTTTCCCTGGGATTTCTCTGTTGATCTTTGAAATAACACTTTGAGTGTAAAAGTTTGAATGAGGAATACAAAACACAACACAAAGCAACAGCTTGCTTCAGGAGGATCCTGCAAACACTAAAGGTCTAAAGAAACTGGGAATGGAAGTTTCAAACTCCAAGCCCTACTCATCTCTCACAGCCTTGGTATTGGAGACACTGGATTATTAAGTGTAAAAAGTCACCCATCCAGTCGCATATTTAGAATGCATATCAAAAACACAATGTGTCACAATGAGTATCCAATTACAGGAGGAAATGTGGAAAAATCCAAGTTGACTTCTACAAAAATCTCTTGTTTGTTTAGTCTGGGATCCAAGTTGCAATTGTACTTGTCCAAAGAGCAGAAGCACAAATTTTTACAAATCTGATGCATTAATCCCTGATTCCTTTCTGAACCCTTACAGCAACAGATGTTATGGACCACAAGCAAGGACATCTAGACAAGTATCAGAATTTCCTTGCTTCTCTCCACACCCCTGTGCTTTCTGCAGCCTGGCAGACAATTGTCTGTTGGCATCCTTTAGACTGAACAGCCTGGTAAAGAAGAACATGTGCTGATAATATTCTTTGCTGTTGTTTCTTTCCCATCCAGGTGATGACCAAAATGGTCCATAAATTGAATTAATTTCACTGCTTCCCAGAGAAATAATCTCCTCACTACTATGATTTCAAAATCACTTAAATGCCCCCACCACTTGCAGACCTTATTTCTGTGCCTGCACTGCTCAGAACCCATAAGCATGAACATCTGTATCTGAATGAAAGAGATTTGAAAGTAAGAATAACCTAGTGCTAAGGCAATCATTGCTCCACTCCCCCATCTTCTTTTACCTCTGCAAATACCAACTGGTCTTTGCAGAAATTATAGTTTGGCAATTACTCAGCTAGAAAACTTGGAAAAGTTAGCATTATTTTCCTTTCTACCATTCAAATAGATCTAGTACTATCACACTTCTTTCATCCTGTTCAAAATCTTTTATCTAGGTTTGCACTTTGAAACCTTAAAACCTGTTTATCTTGCTATAAAGCTTTTGGGGATAACATATCAAGCTTTTCTCAAATTATATTTCTTGAAATGAAAGTCAAAATGTCTAGTTTGATGTTTTGATGAAGGTCCCTAAGTCAATTTGCATGGAAAGATGTGGTATTTTGAATCACTGGGCAGAGAAGGAGGAAAGTTCTCCATGCTGAGATTTGCAGGTGCTTTGGAGAAAACCCAAAAGCCTAAAAATAATCTCCTTAACAATGCTGTTAGACAACCTGAATCAGAAAACAGTCCACAAAGAAAAAGAGAGGTCCAAAAATTCAGCGTGGAAAAAAACTGTGATAACAGCTTCATTTAAATCACCTTTTAGTCTTCCCTTTAGAGAAAGCGATGCAGATATGAAGCCCTGGTATATGCATCTGGACAAGTAAAGCAAACTGCCTGATGAATAGCAGGCAATGAACAAAATATATTTGTCCCCAGTTCCTCTTGTTCATGGGAGTATTGCTACCTACTAAATCTTGGAATTGCTTCACTGGCATTTATCACGGAGTTATTAGCCATAATGAAACCCAAGCCCAGGAGAGCTCAGTGACTACGCCTGCCTCCAAAATCTCTCACACAGGCTCCACAAAGTTTCACTTGTGTAAAACTAACCCCCCCCCCCCCCTTTTAATTCCCCTTGTAGGAATTCCAGAATTCCCAAAACACAGACAGCTGAACTTCAACAGTGATGGGCGCATCCCCCGACCTTGCAATGGGGTCAGTGAAGGGATGCTAAAACTGACCGTTCTGCACCAGACCGACGTTACCCCATTCCATCCCACGACCTGCAGCGAGCCAGGACTGGGCAGCTCCGGGGCCACCCCCTGTCCCAGCCCAGTTCTGCCCCACCACACGCTTCCAGCCCGGCGCAACAGCCACGGGGCTCTGGCTGAGGGCAGAAACCTGGCACTGCTTCAAATTACGCCACGCTCGCCTAGGACCACGAGCTCTATTTTGTTTCCTAAACCAGCCAAAAAGCGTCGGAGATTTTTTTTTTTTTTTTTTTTTAAGAGCAAATAAACATCTCCAACCACTTTAGCAGGCTGTATCTCCCGCTGAAACCCTGCTTCTAATAACAAGAACTAGACAGGCAATTACACGCACGAGATCCTGATCCTCACTTCCGTATTGCTCATAAAGCAGGTTGGTCTGCTGCTGGATTAAAGGATTCCGTTTCCCCAGGAGCTTGTGGCTGCAGGCAGGGCCCTTCGCTCTCACTCCGAGGTGTAAACCTGAAATCCATATCCTCTCAGGTATTTGTCCCTCAGGCCGGCACTTTTTGAGTCTTCCCTGTGTCACACTGCGTTAGGCTTCATCTCAGCGCACGGCAATCTCCTTCAGCCAGGCGAGTTGTGCCCTTTTCTCTGCCCATCAGCTAAAAGACACACTGGAGCAAACCTCTCAGCCCAGGAGCAGCCCTCGAGCCCTCCCCACCCAACCGCTGCCTCTTGGACCTGCTGCAGGTGGACAGTTTGCTCGCTCTTCCCATGGGAAGGCTTTGCCATGCGTCTCCCTACCTGAACTCTCCTCATCTATATCCTTTTCCTAATAACTGAAGTGCCCTCGAGTCTCTTACTTCCTCCCCCGATGTTTTTTAAGGACACGCTATCCAATCTTTAATTCATCTCTATTAGAAAGTTCAAGCTTGGCCAAAGATTTCTGGATCTTTGTCAGGAATCAGAAAAGTTTCCCATCCACGGGTTCCCTCAGGTTTGCACTCGCTTCCTCGATACGCTGGAGCCTTTTCTGTTTCTCCCTGTGTATCACTGTGGGCCGCTCAACCTCCTCCTCCTCCACCGCATTTTTTTACCCTTGGTTGGCTGGACTCCATCCCCGCCACGCCACCAGCCCTCGGGGCGGCTGGCTCCCTTCCTGCCTCGCTCCAGCTGCTCAGCTCTTTGCTTGGACACTTTCCCTGACACCTTTTCATTCAAGCTTCCAGGTCCAACTCCAAATACGTTAGCCAACTTTTGCTGTCTCTTTTGCCACCCTCCAGTGCCTCCCAGAAAGCCTTTTATTTAGAGTTTTGACAGTCCCATAATTTAATTCTTCTCCATTTGGGGAGGAACCACAAAACTCTGCCAAGTCCCATCCTACCTCCCAGCAAACATTACCCCACTATTGACTCCCCTTGCTGATGTTCCTGGATAACTAAGAATTGCCTCATTTAGCGGAGTTATCTCCTTGCATAGTGAGCTATACAGCACACAGCTGCACAACAATTTATCTCTAAGGATGAGACCAAAGTTCATTTATTTGACCACCAGTATAAAAGGAAAGAACTGGGCAAGTCTTAAGAACAGAAGAGTCTCAAGTGCAACATATTTCAGTTGAAGCATATTAAAGTGTGGGTAACTAAAGATGTAATTGCTCCAACTGAAAATGTCAGCTGTGGGATCTGGACTGACCTCATCTTTGAGCAGATCTGTGCACAAAACGGAGGGGTTCTTTCTGCATGAATGCAGTAGTTTGCAATCAAGGGTTTGTCCCAGTGTTGAAATGTTGGGTTTTTTTTTGTTTGTTTGTTTGTTTGTTTTTGTTGTTGTTTTTTTTTTTTTAAATTACAGTCTGAAAAACATTCAGTGGGAATGACAAAATGAAAAATATTGATGTTCTCCATCAAATCAACATTTTAAGCATTTGTATTAATAGCTCTGAAATAAAATGCTCTTACTTAGATTTTAGCACCAACCGTCATTTTTCTTTTTGTCAGACAAGCACTTCGCACGGGGAAATGCAGATGTAAATACAAACTGATTTTTCCAGGGGACTAATCCTTAACCAAGTTCTAAATATCCGTGTTCCACACTCTGAAATATCTGGAGTGAAAATATTTTACAAAAAACTTCCTCTTCCAACAGCTGCCCAAACCACTTACAGATTTACCATATGGATGATCACATCTCCTTTGCTCTCAGGGCTATTAAATACCAGAACTAATAAAAAAACAAAGCGAAAGGGAAGAATATTCATTAAAATTACATCGGTCTCATTGTAGGTGATGACGGTACTCGTGGGGAGTTCAGCTTCCACAGCATTTTCAGTGAGTCCGCCCTGGGGGTCCACTTCTTCATTATAGTTGACATCTTCGTAGGGGAGAGGCGTGAAGTACTCTTCGTTGATGGTTTCATAGTTGTACTCATCCACGAGGGGATCATCCACCGCAGCGTCCTCCTTCGTCTGCTTGCTGGGGTCCCCTCCATCAGGTGATGGCGTGGGGGCAGGATAGTCCTATAGCAGAAACAAAATTGCCAGAATCAGAGAAAGAAAATTAGGCATCATCCTTCGCCTCCCCTTCTATAAAGATGCTATTTATCAAGCGCATCTTTGCCAGGACCCCGCGTCAGTACCTGCTTGCTTTCAGGTGTCTCTCCAGCAGCCACTTCGGGAGTGCCGGGTTTGGTGGTGGGTGCTTCTGGTTTTACAGCTTCATCAACATCTTCGTAGTAGGGGTACTCATAGTAGTAGGTGTCACCTTCTCCCTCCCCGTCGGTGTACTGCAAAGAGAAGATGAGAAGCCAAAAATAAGCTGGCAGCACCCAAATACATTCCTGCCAGCTCTTTTAGACATTATTTCATGTCAATGGGGCCATGCCATGATGCAGATCCATGCAGTGAAAACTTTCCCTTCCTCTTGTTCACCAAGAGCCTGGCTTTGGGCTGCTTTGGCAATGGCTGCGATTTGAGGAGGTTCCAAATCATCTCTTCATCCTGTGGCACGTTCTCTCTTATCAGAGAGGATGGATCTACCCCACGGCAATTCAGGCACCCACGATAACACAATAAAAAAAGATGAACTTTTTTTTTTTTTTTTTTTAAAACCTTAGATTGTTGAGACCTCCCAAGTCACACGTCTGACATATTCAGAGAAGGGAAGAAAACATTTGAATCACACAGCGGCTCTGAGAAGCAGTGATGCTATTTTCATTCATCCAACTGCGCTAATAGCATCCGTGTGACTTCCCATCCAGCCGGGGCCCACAGGCAGAAGGGCTTTGAAAACAAGATATTTTCAGTGCTTTCCACAAGGCGTCAGTCATTCTTCAAAATGAAATACAAACAAAACATTTGGTTACAGCTGGGCATGGCAAATTTCTTCGCCAGTCCATCGCTCTCACTGGCAGCAGACGCCAGAGCGTGGAAGAGTTATTCTTAAACAGAGCAACACAGCCTTAAGACAAGCCAGCCCTTGTTGAACTGCTGGCTCCGAAAGAAGAGTTTTATTTTCCTACTACCACATATTTTGACTATACCGAAGTCTATTTTATTTTACTTATTTATTGTTTCTCCAGAAGTGCTGGCGGAGCGGTTACAGCACTTCCCCGGGACTGGGCAGCTGTGCCTCACCTGCGAGCGTTGCTCTGCTCCCCAAAGCCCTGCTAGGTGCAGGTTTTTAATTCAATCCAAAGCTAAGCCGGAGCAGGTTGATGGCATTACAGCTTCATGGGGATTCGGCAGGAGCACACAGGTCTGAGACCAGCTGGAAGCAAGAGGGTGCATGGACCGGCAAATTAGACCAAGAGAGCAGCCAAAATGCTGAGAAACAGCTGAGGATGCCAACCACTTTAATTGCTGTGAGCTGAGCCTGAGACCTCTTAAAAATGTGTAAAATTTAGGTGATGCTCCTCTGGAAATCGGCCACACCCAGACATTTCTAATTGAGCAGCAGAAATTAAAATGTATCCTGTATCAGTCTGTTTGTTCTTTTCTTTTTTTAAAGAAAAGATCTGAGGCTGACCCTCTGTAGAAAAAATACTGAGCACAGCAGTTTATATAGATGAGCTGGGAGCATTTCTGGCAAAATAGAATACAAATGTCAAATACGTGGGCAAAAATGTTTTTCCCTCCTTTAACACTGGTTGTTTCAAAGAATATCGGAAAAGAACTGCTTAATCGTTTTATAAGTTCAACAGTAAAATTTGAAATTTAGAAACATGTGACTGTTTTGGACAGGATTTGTCCTGCCAGGGAAGGTCAGTATTTCTCACTCAGCTCAGGTTGTCTGTCCTGCAAGTTTCTGAGCTCCAGGTGAATATTCATTTCAGTCTTTGGAAATGGGAGGAGCGCTGAAAGGAAGGGAAACTCCCGAGGGCAAGAGCCAAGACCAGAACCTGCAAATCCTAAAAAACAACCTCTGTCTGGGTCCTTACAGATGAGTCGCAGGGAAACTGAACAGGAGGAAGAAGCCGAATGCATTTGGAGCTGCAATACGGAGCTGGATGCTGCTGACCCCAAAACATCCCCAAATCCTACAAGAGACTTACGTATTCATCCTGGTTGGGGTCCTGGGACTGGGGGGAGTCGGGGATGGCGGTGTCGCAGTCGGGGCTGTAGTGTTCACAGTAATCATGGGCTGCTCGGGGGTCTGCCACGATCAGGAGCTGCTGGATGTCACCCTGCGGGGAAGGAAAGGCAGAGCGTCAGGGGGAGGGATGGTGCAAGCCCCAGACTGCAGTCAAGGGGATAAACGCTGCCAAGAAATGAAAAGCAAAACGCTTGGCAGGGCCACCCCCCTGACACGGGCACGTCGCCTGAGATGAGGCAAGAGAAAAACTCTCCGTGTCCAGGGCCGGGTCAAGCAGCCGCTTATCTTGGGCAGCTCTGTGAGGTGTGAAGCCACCACGCTTCACGCCTGGTCCTAAATGCACCTTCCCAAAAGATAACTGCATCTACAGAGAGGTCACCCACCCCCCCCCCCCGCCCCAGTATGACAGCGCTGACAGCCCTGGGCAAGGTGGGTGCAGTAAAAATAAAGGGGCTCTACACACCCCAAATCAGCAATGTCCTGGGGACAATAAACAAACTCCTTTCCTGCCCAGTCTCGTGCAGCTCCACAGGGCTCTGGAGTTGTCCTGCCCAGTCCAAAAAGCTCTTTATTGGCCTCAAAACTACTCTGCTTCTCCCACCCTGTCAATTGGTCTCATTAAAGACATCACCCCCCACCTTCTATGTCTTGCCTCACCTCAATTTTCCACCCACAACAGTGCAGCAGACATAGACAGAGATTAGAAATGCATCTGATAATCAGAAAAAGAGAAAAGAGGAAGGAGGCTTGCAGTGGCTTATTGAAAACCAGGTGCAAAGCAAGCTCATTAGGCACTGAGGCTGCTTAACAGACCACTCTCTGTATAGTGAATGAAGCACGACACAGTCACAGCCCAAAGGTCAGAGCAGAAATCACTCTTTAGTTTCCTAAAGAATCACCATACTGCTTAACCATAATGCCAAAACCCAGTTTATTCAGTAGACAGTTACATAAGAAAAGCCTTTACTATTTAGATTATTAGATCTGATATTTTAATTAGGGAAAAAAAATCTTATTTAATAATATAAAAATATGGCTAAGGCATCGGGGAAAAAGAAAGAGCATTACAACAAAACTGGGAGGATGACTTGGGCACATAATAAGAACCAGAAGCTCCGAACAGCATCTGGCCAGACCAGCGAACAGCCTTGTGGAAAACCAAAGGATATTTTTGAAATTATGGGCCAAATCTGCCTTTGTGCACGCAAGCTGCACATGATCCAGCCGCGGGTGCCGGGGGGGAGCTCAGCCTCCCACGAACACACACCATTGACTTCACCAAAAAAAGCATTGTTGACGTTTTTGGCAGAAATTCTACCAGGAAAGAAGGTTGCAAGGACCAAGGGACCTGGCTGCATCCTGCCTGGCTCTGAGGGGCAGAGACAGCTTACGGCTGCCTGGGGTTTCCCTCCTCAATTTCCAGGTTATCACATCCATCTCTGCAGCAGGTCACCGTAACGTCTGGGCACCTTTCAGATGCTACACAAGTTACCCTGAAATTGAGCACTAGTTTAAGTTTATTAGTCATTGCTTCCTGTGAATAACCTTTACAAAATTAACAGAAGCGTCTGCAAAGCGGTTTTCAATTTTCTATTTTAAGAGAAAGAGTCTTTCCTTCTCTTTCCTTTTTTTTTTTTAAAAAAAAAAAATAAATCCATAGACCAGTTCTGTCATTACTGTTCTAGCTTTTCCATTTTCAATGTAACCACCAAAAATGGGGACGCAGTACTGGGAGAACAGAAAATGTCACCTTTTTGTTTCACAGAACATTTCCCATTTCCAGCCAGATCTGGCCACCACCAGACACTGGGCCCTGCCTCGGCCGTGATGTGACCTAGACGACATTGCCCAGCCCTGAGCAGAGCCTAGAAGGAACTGGGGGGGGATGTTATGGGATTACTCGCACCATGTATTATCACCCCTATCTCCAAAGCCAGTTCAGAACAACAAAGCAGGCTGCCCCTTTGGAGCTCCCTCCAGTGAGGGACACCCAACCCAGCCAAGACAATTTGCTTAAAGTTGATGATGTGAAGATACTTCCAGCTGCTATTTCTGCACACAGGATATCAACCACCTCTGCTCCTCACTGACACCTGACTTCAGCCATTTACGCCCTTCTCTCACTTAGGTGGTTAAAGCTCCCCAGGTTCCACAGGGGCATGGAGAGTGTCCGGCACTGCTGGGATAAGCTGAAATAAAACAGCCACAAAAGCAGACTTGGTACTTGCATCCAAGAGGCAAGGAAGGAAGGCTGAAAGCTTTTTCTTTCTGATAAGGTTGGATTTACACCTCAAGGAGAGCTGATAGTCTGCATCCTATAAGTGACCAGGACTATAACTGTGTTTCCTCAAGGAATAGATAAAGCAAAGAAAGGCACGTTGGCTAAACACAGTGCAAGAGGTTAAGAGGAAGAGAATTTGCTAAAGCTGAGTTTGCTTTTAGTCTCAGCTGATGGCAGCTCCTGAGCTATCCCTGGGGAGAAATCCTGGCTCTATCCCACCCTGCTTCCCTGAAGCACAGCAGGAGCTGAGCAACCTCCGGGTTTGCTGGCTCAAGGCATTGGCAGCGCCTTTGAGTACGTGGAAAAACATCACCTGCAAGTCCCAGGAGCCACAGGCTCAAGTCTTGGGGCCATGGTGGAAACCTCAACCTCACTCAACACACCAAAGGACAGCGTTGGCACAGCAGCTGCTGCTGAGTGAGTGGGGGAAGATGAACAAGGGAAGCTTCCTGCTAGTTTTGGGTCAAGAACCTGTGAAATTCAGTGCGTAACTGAATAAATTTGGCATGTGAAAGGTGTCAGGAAAAAACGTGAGCCACATCAGACTGCTCCTTCAGAGCTCACCTCACATCATGAGCATTATACAACATACCTACTATTTTCCCATTTCCTTTTCAAACCAAATCAGTCACCCTGCCCAGCAAAGTCTATCCTTCTCTTGCTGTTCCAGCAGCAGCATGCATGTATGCAAAATCAGAATGAAAGCCAAATGCACCCAATTTTGGAGGAATGAGCTCCCCAGGGAGCAGCTGAGCTCAAGTACACTGACATGGGTTGAGCAGCTCAGGGGTGGGGGAAGAAGGAGAGCTCACGGGGTTGCTAGACCATTCATCTTTGTTTCATTAACAGCAAGTGCACTGCACTGGTGGATACCCTGTGTTAACACGTGTAAAAAGCAGACAGGAGTAAAACCTTGTTAGCAAGATTCCCGGTCAACTGACCTCATCCCTCAGTGCAAAACAATAAAATGGGCTAATTTAGCCTGTAATAAAAAGCCCCACTATCTGAACTTCACAAAAGATGCACAAAGCTCTGCTGTCAAGAGCCCCATTTCTTTGATTTAAAAAGCCGACTTTAAATAGAGCAAGCCGTGCTGGGAGGTTCGCAAGCCTTTTGTGTCCTCTCAAGTGTGTTCCTGCTAATAAATTTCACCAAGAGATAGCTGCCCCCAGCCCCGGCAGGGGCTGACAAAGGCAGCAGCCAGCTCCGCTCCCTTTCCTCACTCAAGTATCTATTTGTTTCACCGTTATGGTTACACAAAACACCCAAGCCTCTCTCCTTCCTATGTCAGCATCTGCTTTTTTCAGCAAGAGCAGCGATAACGAAGATACCATTAATTTCCTCCCCCCTCCACACACATGCAACAGCTATGGCTTTTCCATGAAGCCTTTGTAAGAGAGAAAACTTAAAATTACACCAAGAGAGTGGTTTAAAGACTTTACCAGCCAAGTCATTCAGGTTTTTAAGATTTATTTTCAAGTGATGATCGGAGGCTGGAGCAGCTCCCCTGGGAGGCCGGGCTGAGAGAGTTGGGGGGGTTCAGCCTGGAGAAGAGAAGGGTCCGGGGAGCCCTTCGAGCGGCCTCCCAGGGCTTAAAGGGGGGGCAGGGAAGGTGGGGGGGGACTCTGGGTCAGGAGGTGGGCACAGGACAACAAGTAATGGCTTTAAACTGAAAGATGGCAGATTTAGATGAGATCTAAGGCAGAAATCCTTCCCTGTGCGGGGGGTGAGACCCTGGCCCAGGGTGCCCAGAGCAGCTGTGGGTGCCCCCTCCCTGGAAGGGTTCAAGGCCAGGTTGGACGGGGCTGGGAGCCCCCTGGGCTGGGGGAAGGGGGCCCTGCCCGGGGCAGGGGGGTGGCACTGGATGATCTTTAAGGTCCCTTCCAACCCAAACCAGGCTGTGATTCTACAATGTAGAAAGGTATCTAAGTCAGGGAGCAAGTCACCGGCACAGTGCCACCCAGCCCCCCTCACAGATGGGGGGGTAAAGTCCTCTTTTGGCGTGTGACTAAGTTGGGCTCATCTGGGCACACAGGGCTCAAGTAAGCACTCCTGTAACTTCTTATCATGCAGAGGCAGGGCACATGTGTGCTCTCATGGTTTCACAAAAAATTTGCGGTGGAGGAAGAAAAAGTCCAATTTTGCCTGAAAATAAACAGTATTTCATTCATCAGAAGAGGTAGTTTTTAAAAAGGGGAATAAATCACATTTTGACCTTTATTCCTAGAGCTTCCTGTGAAGAGGAAGAGGCAGGACAGCACATGGATGAAAATGATTGTGAATTGTGAAGCTTTTATTTGCTCCAAACAGATGTAAGTGCTAACTGTCAGGACCAGTAAGAGTCTCTCTGACATTTATGGTAAAGCCATTTATGCCTGATGACTCATTTGCTTTATGGATTAAGTTCCATCAAGCCAGTTTAATTCAACTCCCCAGCCAGCTCCCAGACAAGACTGGAAAAGCTCTTCTGGAGCATTTTCTAACACTTATTCTATATGTGTGCAAAAATGTCACATCACTTCCAATGACATCAACTTCAGTAACTTGGAGAAATCGCTGTGGTTCAACAAAACAAACAGCTGGCGAGGATAATCGGAGTGACTTCATCTGGTATTGGCAGCAGCCCCATAAATACTGGGATTCTTCGGGGCTCTCATTGTAACACACTGATAATTAACTGGACTGTTTTAGTTTATTAGCCCAGAAGTCTTAGAGACTCTTAACATCCATACGAATAAATGCTGCTCGATGTGCTTTTTTAAACTCCTACGTTTAAACTGGATAGCCACCAGCCCAGGATGTACAACTGT